CTGCATTGCCGTTGTGGATTCATCCATTCAGTAGGGAATAGTCAGTATTGATGGATACGGCATGTCTGTGTGTGTGTATGTGTGTGGACATGCCTACTTGTTTATCTAGAAATATGTCATGATGATGCGCGAGCAGCTCGGCTCTGGCTCGTCCTTCGGAGCGGATGTAGACGAATCCAAGCTTTCAGCAGAGCAGCGTAAGCAGCTGCAATCCCTCGAGAAGGAGATTACAGGGCAACCACCAACGGGATAGCTTAAGACAGAGTGAGTTCATGACGTGATGAAATGCCAGGAATGTCGCTCACGTCTCAACGCAAGAAGGGCCTGTATGACTATAGCCGTGGAGGGCAGTGCCAGCGGAAGTGAAGACATGTTGATTGTGATAAGCCAGAAGAATGGCTCATCTTTCTCGCCCTCTAGCTGACCCCAGCCGGGTAGTGTCGAGCACTGAATTGTTGGTCAGATATTCATGTCAATGGCCAACGGCTGCATAGGGGACTGATGTTCCTCGGCTGAAATGTACTGCTGAATCCCCATGGACCACGTATACTAGTACCTGGAAATATCCATTTGTCACCCAACGACTGTCTTGCTGAACTACATGTGCAAGTACCGTCATCAGTAGAAGCCCAGTCAGGTCTTCTGTGGTGTCAGCGTCACGCATATCCAGGTCCCTGGCATGGGTAGTTGACTGGACAGTGACAAGTGAGTGTACTGTGTGCTGGCTGCCCTTGCACTGACGTTGCTGTGCACCTCAGTGCTTGTGCAGCAGTGGAGGAACAGTTGCTCTCTGCACTGCTGCAAATAGTAGTGACACGTTTGCTGCACTGGCTTTTGGCTATGGTGCACTATTGCAGAACGAAGGAATGTTTTCAGTAGTAACGTTACATGTACTAGCTGTTTTGCAGCATTCCATCTTTGCTGACTAAAATTAATTTAACTTGACTTCCACCTGCATACCATGTATTGTGGAGCTCGAACGAATTCCTCAATCTGTCTTCTTTATTCTCCTGCTCACGTCCATCTTGATTGAACAATGAGCTATGAACTGGAGCAGTGTGCTAGCGTTTCATCAGGGTGGGTTTCACTCAGCATGGTTTCACAACCGATGTACTGTACAATATGGAGCAAGAGTAAAATTTGCTCTCACTCTCGAGGTAGCTTATTTAAACCCCTTGAGAGCTGATCTGTCTCTTCGTGATACCAACAGTCCATACTCCCCCAGAAGACTGTGCAACTGGCATGGGGTTGTGGGACGGCGTAATCCGTGATTTACGTCATTTTTGGGTCGAACTTGCGTCATTCCGTCGACTCGGTCCACCACGTCCACACTTCCCCTACTCATGACGTCACACTATGACGTGCAACGCGGATTTCGCCGTCCCAGATCTGATCTGATCAGTGAAGTTGCGCACTCTGGGGAATTATGTACTCTTGGTGAGTGCATCTTCCAGAGAAGCTCACGTACTCTTGGTGATACTAGTACTAGTACTCAATCTACTCGATCTCTTGGTGACATGATGTATCAACTTGGGTCAACTTACCTCTTCTCTTTCTTTTACCCTCTTCTAAGAACCCTACCTACCCTTAGTACAGTACAGGACGGTGAGTATGGTCATGGCCGTAGCAGCTTCACAGAGAATACCAGCATGCTTTTCAGTTTTCACTGAATACCAGTTCTCCAGTATCCAGTACTGTAAACCCGGAAACCTTTGCGATCCGCAATCCTGCCCGGTTTTCGCGATGGGTGTGAAATCGCAAAAGTAAGCCGGCGCGAAACGTAGAACTGTAGTAAAGAAACTGAGGAAATTGATTCCAATCGCAGACATCTCCAGGCGCAAATGTACCTGTGCTCGCTAATCGCGAACTAAACTACCCCGCGCAAACGTTTCTGGTTTACAGTAGTAGTCGGGCATGGACACACTTACCTCATCCTCGTGCACTATACATGTACTATAGTATGGTATATGCAAGCCGGCCCCGTATGTCAGCAAGACCGGGTCCGCAGGGACTCTACCAACCGGTTTCTTGTTGCAGTCAGGAACACTGTTTTCCATACAGTATGTCCTCCGCCTTGTGACATGCCCCATCACCACTGATACACAGGCGCGTGCTCGGCGATGGGCACGGGGGGCACGTGCACCCCCCAAAAATTTTCAATCTGGGTAATTGCAATTGTAATGTATGCAAATATGCTCTAAAATTCAAGAAAGGTTGCAAACAAATTGCAGAAAATTGCCGGGGGGGGGGCTCCCGTGCACCCCCCCCCCCCCCCCCCTAGTTGGGGGGCCGAGCACGCCCCTGATACATGTACTTGTACATGTACAGGTATGTACTACTGTCTACAGGTAGCAGGGTTTGTTCTCTTTATCTTGCATGGTCAAATCACTTGGACTTGTTTTGCCACTTTGAGATCCTTTGCCAGTAAAAAAGAGAATGTGTAACGTTTGTACTAGCTGGAGACCTATCCTCTGATGATGCTGAGATTGGACCTGAGGTAGTGGTTAACACACTGAAGCCATGGGCTGTGCTACCCTTCAGGGAGCGACGGATATAGTACTATGGCCTATTCCTGCAGATACTAGATAGAGCTATCACAGCCTATGACTATGAGATGGCCAACAACTTTGCAAGTCCAGAACACCAGGCATGCTCAACTGTGCAATGCACAAAAGCAAGAGTACGTGACTGTACAGAAAAGGTCACTCAGCTGTTCATGTAGAGGGGACGGTTTCAAATAGGACACCGGTTGCAAACCGGAACGGACTCAATATTCACTTTCTCTCTTGGTATTTTGATTAGAAAACATATGTCACAGTGAGACTACTATGTGTTATACTCCGAGCCAAAATGTCATGGCTCTGCGATGACCAGAAGCGCCATATCAAGCAGGTGAGTTTTTGACGTGTTGCTTCGCACTGCGACTTGAGTTTTACGACTTTCGAAAAATCAACTTCTTGTCGCAGGTAAACAGCGGCTCGCCTCTCGCCAATAAAGCACCGCATACAAATCAAAACTAATGGAAGCACACACAAGGCTTATTGTTACTCTATACTGGCCGTCGTGGAGCGATAGCAATTACCTAATTTCAGACCCAGAGTGAATTTGACGTGCACTCTAAAACGTGTCCGGTTTGGAGCCACCTCTGATTTGAACTTTTTTGAAGCGAAAAATTGGGCAACTTGGAGGCAATGGGTCAACACAAAGGAGTGGCTCAGTTCGATTGACTCTGGCCCCAGAGCAAACTTCAACATGCCAGTTTCCTTCCACAAACATATTTCGAGTGAAAAATCAACGCTGATGATCGGTTTGGGTCTATACAAATTTGGCTGTCAAAACGTCCCGGTATCGAGCCGTCTCCTCTACACTTGACACCATGGAGTTGGCAGATCTTTTATGTCTTGTAGATCTACATGTACATCTGACATGACGACTTCCTGTTGCAGCTGTCCCTGGCCTCCTGATATAGTCAATAAAGACTCAATATCCATGGGACCATAGCCGCATAGCAGGCACACAGTCTGACTTGACAATAATTATTATGACAAGCTGTGACGCAGAGGTCAAAGTTCAACGTTACATGTAGAACTACTTCCGCGGTAGTCATGGTAGTGCCCCGTGTAGACCAGGTAGACGTGGTAGCACTATCCAGGGCATGGATATTCGCCATTATTCGGCAATGACCATGACCAGGCAGGCAGTCGTAGAGTCCACGACCCCCTTGGCCTGCAAAATGACAATACAGGAGACGAGACGAAGAGCTACATTGTCATTAGCATTCGATGGCCAAGTTACGGTAGTTTATCCACCCGTCCAGGCGTTTCTATCAATCAGCAGCAGTTTGTAGCGGCTAGTTGTAACAGAAACCATACATGTACTAGTCAGTATACTTGCAACTGTTACGAATTACCACAGCACTTGTATACTCTTTCTGAAGGGAGGCGGAAGATGGAAATTGGGTTCATGCAAGTTCTGACAAGCAGTAGCGGCAGCGGTGGTTTCGTTATCCACAAGGAGGCAGATTGAAGGGGACACGCACTCGAAATACGGGCGACAGTATCATTGTACATGTAGTACATGTACACGAACCTACTGAGTGAAAACAATGGACCCACAGCCACTCATACGAAATACCAATATTGGCGTATCAAATGAAAACAATACATGTACAATAATACGGTCAGTGCATCCACCATTTTATTGCAAACCTATGCCTACTGCCTAGGCTCTAGTACTGACTCTAGCATTCGCAGTTGATCATGTGACATATCCCGACTTCGAAGTAATCTACGGCACCCCATTGCAAACAGCAATGATGCCTGTCTACAGTCTAGTCTAGTCACCAGGACATGCAGAGAGTACATACATAGCCGAGAGTGAGTGAGTGTCACAGAAAGAAACCGGTGTGCTAGTATAGTGTATACAGTAATGCAGTATTTGATAAACGTTAGTTACCGGTACGTTACGCATCCGCTGTTCCGACTTCCTCGCCATATTTTCGGCAAGGGTGCGCCAGTGCCATGCCATGCGCCAGTGGCAGTAGTGGGTGTTATTGAATGGGTGTGACAGAACACCTTGCATGCATTGGCTTCATACTCATACTTGAGTCATAGAGTCATACTCATAGCTAGGGAAGTAGCGAAACCGACCCGGCCGTGAACATGGTGAATGCTGGTGCAGCAATACCATGAATACGCCACTACTGACTGTATTATGATTGTAGTATGTGCATCGCGGTCGCCGTAGATCTACCGTGCTGGCGTCCTCGATTTCCTAGCCTGCGAGCACGAGTGACGAGGTCCACCAGTTGAGTTGGTCCACCAGCTATCATGGTCATCTGCTGACACTCCGCGATCCGCACGGCAGCACTACAATTTTGTAGCCTCCCATCCAGGTATCGATCATTGAACTCACAGCCCGTGATGCTAGTGCAAGTGACAGGCAGGGTGGCAGAAGTCTTCCATCGTATCACAGCTGTGTTGCCCGATCAGTACAAGTCCTATCGACGTCGACTCGAAGCATGTTGCCACTGTGCGCTAGCCAAGCCCAAAAAAGACATTTTCCGCACATGGTTTGGCACTCTCGCCTGCGCGACACAATCGCTCTGTGACAGTGACAGTGTAGCTCGCAAGTGCACTGGCACTCCTACTACTGAGTCTGTCTGTGAGTGTGTGACCGATCCTTGAGACAAATGTACTGGCTCTAGCTGGTGTAAAGGGCGCAGTTGTCACTTATTTCAGCACATAAATCTGCAGTTCCTTGTTGTGGCGAGCAGATCTCCGCGTAGCGTGGTGCAAACAGGAACTGGGACAGGAGAGAGATTGTACTTTATTGCAGAGCAGTCTAGGATAGCCGCCATGGTCGTGGACAAAGATGAAGGTCGGCCATGCCTGTCCTGTGAAAAATGTGATGGCTTCTCGCTACACGTGTGGAGGTAAGCTACTGAGTCTGTGACAGTGTGCCATGTCACGAACGCAGACTTTCGTGCATGTTGACGTTGTGATTAGGATTGGTTTTGGGAGCCTAGCACATCGTACCCGTGTCAAGCGGTGTTACTGTCATTGCTTGCGAATCGTTGACTGCAGCTACTGCTGGTGCCATGGTGCCAGGCCCCGTAGCGTGAAAACCACTACACTCCACAGTCATCTGTGCCTGTGGTTTTATGTTTCCAGTTTCCCCCGCATACACGTACACGTACCGCAGCTAGCCACTCGACATGTCATCGACGGGGTTTCCTTTGCAATAACCTGTGTACATGTGTACTGAAAAATGGCGCTTGGTGCATGACAGGTCCTCCTTCACAACCCCACGCCTTGATCATTTCCGAAGAGGGCTGCGAAATGTTTTGTTCTAAGCCAGTACTGTTTACTGTTTAGCGACGGAAATTGTCATCACATTCCGCGCCCGCCGTGGACTGGATAGAAAAATCGTCTCTGGAAAAAATTCTTTCGTCTTCGTTCTCGGCCCCATATCATATGCGCATACTACTTACTAGCCTGCATGAAGCAAACATTTTCCGTGATTGAACGTTTCAAAGCGAAATATAATAAAATGGACACGAATGATGATCGTTGTGGCGGTGCTGCTGTGCTGGATGCTTGGTTGGTCCTGGCCTGGCCGCACGCGTTCTGTGCACGTGCGGCTATCCTTCTCAGAAGTGGCTGGCTACATCCTGGATCGACCGTCGACTGTATGTACGCTACATAGCCTAGCCCTTACCTGCATGAGTACTGGCACTTGGCCGGCTTCACTCAGTCTTGACAGACTCAGTGCAGTGCTGCCGAGATCATGCATGACGGTGTCGGTGGGCCAAGATTGTGCAGGGTGGGGCTGGGCCATGGACATAGCGCCTGCAAAATGTTTACCATGGTTTACAGTCTTGTAGATCTAAAGTCTAAACACAGCCCGTTGGATTGTACTTCAGTACCTTGAATACACTTAGTGACTTACAGACAGTAGACAGTACTGTTGTTGAGCTCCTCCCTGGGCCCAGCCTCTTGAAGTGCACTGAATATTGCATCTATCTACTGGCACTGGCTACATGACATAATTGTAGTTTTAGCATGGCTAAATATAGCACTGAGCCAGGCAGCAACAGCTCAGTGGTGCAGCTATCATGGTTATTGACAGGCCGAGGCTATAGTGCGGGGGGGTTCAACGTCCAAGTATATTTCAACTTCCCAGCAAGTGATCCTATGGTGGCATGCACCAGAGCACTACCATTTTGCTCCCAGTGCTTCAATTCAAGTTGGTCAAATTCGATTCTCCAAAGCGAAGCCGAAAATCTGCGGTGATTATCCAAATCTGCACAGCCACTAGTGCCGCGTGACTGGAGAATTGAGAAAAGAGCAAGTGCAAAAGAGAGAGAGAGAGAGAGAGAGAGAGAGAGAGAGAGAGAGAGAGAGAGAGAGAGAGAGAGAGAGAGAGAGAGAGAGAGAGAGAGAGAGAGAGAGAGAGAGAGAGGGAGGGAGGGAGAGGGAGAGAGGCCCTAAACTAGGCGCAGACAAACTATGTCAACTCGATGCAAACTGTGAAAATGTCTTCTCGCTACGCTGCAAGACACTGAGACACCGATCAGTCTCGCATCACAAGTATGCAGACATGTTTCCACTGACATCCTTTCCACATCTGCATTCTTTTAAATTCACATTTCGTGAGAGAGTTGTAGCAAACTGACCTTTCCTTATCCATTGGAAGACCGCCACTAAGTATACATATGCAGGGAAGGCTGCAATGTGTACGTACATAAGTTATACGTGGGAAGTCCACCACTATATACACAGGCCCGTCGCACCGACTCTGGAGGTGGGGTGGCCATGGAGGGGGGTCCTCCCGCGGGGAAAATTTTCAAAAATTGAAGCCGATTGCAAGCATTTCCGGGCATTTGGTGCCATTTCAGTGAAAGTCTTTTTGATTCTGCAACAAACCGAGAAGACGCTTCGATCGGGGACAAACATTACCCTCCCCCGGGAAAAAATTTAAAAATTGAAGCCAATTGCAAGCATTTCCAGGCATTTGGTGCCATTTCAGTGTAACTGCAATGAAAGACTTTTTTCTGCAACAAACCACGATCGGGGACAAGGATTTGTCACGTTTGCGCTAAGCTGGGATCATCGCGCTTTGTTGTAATGTGCTCCAAAAAAAGGCCGAAAAAGTGGGGCGGCCTCAGCCGCCCAAGCCGCCCCGTCTGTGACGGCCTTGATACATATCCATGGCCATCCTCAAGGCCACCACTTGGTGCAATCAGAACGTTCACATTGTGTACAAGTAAATACCCAGCTATTGCTAGGAGGGACAAACTCCGTGGCATACAGGGACCTTGCCATTTTTTTCTTCCCTGCCATCTTCATAAAGTTACTGTGGTTTAGGGCTCTCTAGGCTACCCATGGTCATAAAGTTGTGTACATACACGTACGGACAAATTGGGGTTCGGTGACCTTGGTTTCTGCTGAGCTGAAAATTGAGGTAGGGATGAACGTGCGTCTTGCTGCTTGTGTACTTGATGACACCCATGCTGCAGCAACCAGTCCACACGGAAATCCCGGAATGGGTCTTCTGCTGCAGACTCTCAGTAAGACGGTGCACAAAGCCAGCACAATGAGGCACTGCAGCTGATCTCTGCACAGCACAATCACATTTCCACACTACCACAACCCGTGACCAGTTATGGCAGAGTTCAGCTGCACTTCACTGACACTCGCTCTTTTCTTGTGATCCTGTTGGCTTATCAATGCACTAATCCTCATTCTCTTTCCATCTGTCCTTTTGTTTCTTCCTTCTCCTCTCTCTCTCTCTCTCTCTCTCTCTCTCTCTCTCTCTCTCTCTCTCTCTCTCTCTCTCTCTCTCTCTCTCTCTCTCTCTCCTTCCTATCTCCCACTTTCTTCTACATCTTTCTTCTCATTCCATGCTTTGCAGGAAGCGATGCCGTAACTGCTTCTGCAAGCGAGAGGAGCATGATGTAGTTTCAGGTGGCGAGTCAGCCAGTGAGAATGAGGAAGGAAGTCCAGAGAAGCGCACCATGGACTTTAACAGCGGGGCCCGACGAGGTCCACAGTCAAACGATCCGTCATCTCGAGTGAAAAAGACAGGAAAGAAGTGGGTCAGACCTCCGGCGGAGGTCGAATCCATGCCACAACGGCCAGCTGGAACTGGAAAGAAATGGGCACCTCCTGCTGGCAGTAGCTCTTCAGCAGGTGATGAAGGATCTGCAAGTGGATACTCTGGAAAACGGTGGAACACGTCTGCTGAGGGCGGCTCAGCGGGAGGACCAGGCAGTGGAAGCAGTGGACCCGGCAGTGTTGGCACTGGAGCTGCTGGCGGTGCGGGCGCTGATGCCAGAGGCGCTATCCGTCCGCCAGCAGGATTCGAACACCTAGAGTTGCCTCCACCACCCCCTCCTGGTGGTCCTGGTGGTGCCGGTGGTGCTGGTGGTCCTGGCAGTGCTGGTGCAGCCGGAGCAGGGGACGCCGATCAGTCTGGTAGTGCTGATCGACACGTGTCATTCCAGCTTGATCGAAACACAGAACACGCCGCGGATATGCCAGGCAGTGATTCAGGCTTCTCAGCATCCGCAGGAGCTGGGGGAGTTGGAGCATCAGCCGGCGTGTCAGCTGGGATTTCAGCAGGAGACTCTGCTGGTGCTGGAGGCAGTTCTGGTGGCAAATCTGACTTTGACATTGACATTGACTTCGATGTGGATAAGATCCTGGCCAATGCTGGTTTGGACATGGGAGACAGCAAGGCCGCGGATAGTGATGTTGGTGGTGCCGCGGCAGTCGGTGGTGCTGGTGCCTATGGCAGTGCTGACAATTCTGGTGCCTATGGCGGTGCTGGTGGTGGTGAGTATGGTGCTGGTGGTGTTGGTGCCTATGGCGGTGCTGGTGACTATGGTGCTGGCGGTGCTGGTGCCTATGGTGGTGCTGGTGGTGTTGGCGGTGCTGGTGCCGATGGCAGTGCTGGTGACTATGGTGCTGGTGGTGCTGGCGCCTATGGTGCTGGTGGTGTTGGCGGTGCTGGTGGTGTTGGCAGTGCTGGTGAGTATGGTGCTGGTAGTGCTGGTGCCTATGGTGCTGGTGGTGTTGGCGGTGCTGGCGGTGCTGGCGGTGTTGGCGGTGCTGGCGGTGCTGGTGGTGTTGGTGGTGTTGGCGGTGCTAGTGAGTATGGTGCTGGTGGTGCTGGTGGCGCTGGTGGCGCTGGTACCTATGGTGCTGGTGTTGCTGGCGGCGCTGGTGCTGGTGGCGCTGGTGCTGGTGGTGTTGGTGGTGTTGGCGGTGCTGGCGCTGGTGCTGGTGGTGCAGATGGAAGTAGTACTGGGGGTAAGTCAGTGTGGTAGTGCAGCATTTCTATGCCGGCATTCCTGTGTTATTATGAGGTGCTCTTGCCATGCACAAAAGACCAAACCTAAACTTACCTCACCCTTCTGTAGAGAGAGGACGTTGATTTGCCGGTATCAGCCCATGACCTGTTACTTGGATGTGCATACTGTAAAAGCAGAAATTTTCGGTGGTGTTTTATTTTCGGTAACTTCGGTGCCGAAATTTTTACCGAAAATAAAACGCACCGAAAATGTCGGTATAGTACTAGTACACTTACCTGGAACGCGGGTGTACCGAAAATTTCCCTCCGCCGAACTGCCGATTTTGGAGAATACCGAAAATATTACACCACCGAAAATTTCTGCTTTTACAGTAGCCTCTTTTCCGTTACATGTACAGGGGTATGGTCTAGGCAAAGAGGAACGTACATATAGTTACGCATACACTATGCAGCTTTACTGTGACACTGATGCTGTACAATCTAACTTAGCTGTGACGGGCTGTGACTGTGCAGTTTCGAAGTGGAGTGGATATGTGAACTACAGAGTTACGCTCCGCTTACGTGAAGAGCCAAGATAGAAATCTGTCCCATTATTGTAAATGAGAGCTTAGAATTTGTTTAGCGCAGTGCTGCTCAATGTTCGCTTAAATCCGGGCGCTGTGCGGCCCTAGACTTACAAATTCTAGGGTGTGAACTGGTGCAGGTCGCAAACTTGACCCACCCGCGGTCGGATTTCGTGGAGCTTGTGTTCAGCCAGGACTTGTCTCGTGGAATGCGAACAGAATTCAGCTGAATGGCGGGTTTTTGATGGCGTTATCACCATACAGTGTTTGTTGTTTTAATGTGCTGGATCTGCAGCGAGCATCAACGTCGAGTTTGGAAAGGGAGGTGGTGCAGGGGGAGATACAGGTGAGTGTACACGATTGAACAATGCTACCACCAGCCTACTGTATTTTGAGAAAGAATCCAATAGAAGTTTGGTCTCCGTAAAATATAGCGTTCCAGTTGAGTACCCTTTGAGGATGGGCTTTCAGACTAAAATGTCCTCGTCTGTAACGTCACTATCCCAGTGCCGCTACACAGATCATGTGCAGTATGAAAATCAAATCCAGTTCCTTGCACACCAGCCGAGCAGCACTTAGTCTTTTTTTTGCCCAAATGCACTGCATGTACAGTCTTCAAGCGATCGGTTTGCAGTGCTGCTCCTGTTGGTTGGGATTCAGTTTCCTCATTCATCAATCATCATGTACAAGTGCATACCTGTTTGTTTGTTTTGATGCACTTAGGCGATGCAGACTTCCCGGAGTTCAACCCAGGTGACTTGCCAGATCCACTGAGCGAGTTGGACAGCCTTCTGCCGCCATCAGCTGACGATGACAGCGGGGCAGCAGCTGGAGGACATGCAGATGGTGGAGCGAGCGCGTCGGGTCCCAGTGCAGCATTCGACATGCCCAGTACACAGCTGGTGGTGTCATCCTACACCTGGGTTCCGGTCGGGCTGTCTTCCGATGAGGTATGTGCGGCCGTTAGGGGCTAGTACTGAAAGGATACGATGGCATGCGGTCTTACCCGGGCCACCCACATACCATGCATTGGCAGTAGGCTGACATTTCATTTCTGTGTTGCTACACCTGTAGTACAGGCATGTGGTAATGCAGCACTGGCTCTGCCATTGTCACTGTCACAGGCTTTCCTTGAACCTTGGATTCGGTGTTCAGCCTACACCGGTTGGGACTATGTGTAGAGCTTATAATGTGTAGTCTCAGATTACCCAGGTTACATCACGGGGTCGTGTATTACCTTACGCATGCACTTCAAAGTTTCTACACTTGGGCAGTTTGCCACCTCCTTTATTGTAGGCTCTTTTGACACCTCTTGCCATGCTATGACTGTAGTGGCCATCACTACTAACTTAGGCCAGTGAGCCTAGTCAGAATTTGAAGTAAAAAAAACCCAATTTTGTCTTCTTTCCAATAGACCAACCAGTTCCTGGCAGACATCCCACTGGAGTTCCGTCCATTCGACACGGCTGATGGACGGCAAAAGTCAAACAAATGGCGACAGGAGCAGAACCCGCCTCATGACATCGACCCAGCTGCAGGGAACAACTTGAACAAAGAGCAGACGGAAGAGTTGAAGGAATTCATTCAACTGAGAGAGCAGCAGAATCATGGTATTGGCAAGGCAACATCATCCAGCAATCAGGTATGACTTTGAGTGCATTGCGATACTGGAACAGTGGAAGACCTGCAATATACATGGTACTGTAACTGATTTGTAGCTCGTTTATCCTTTACTTCCTGTCCGAAGCGTAGTCTCTGTTGTAAGTTCTTGGCCTAGATGCATACTACTTGTAGCTCATACTGCTGTACGCTTGCCGGAGATCTTCTGTCTCACAGTCTCATGGCAGGCTCTGTTCTTGCAGCAAATAACACCCAGCTTTTCAGCCTGGTACCTGAGCTAGTCCAGTCTCTGCTGTTGCTTTTCTCGTGTGCCGCTACTGTGACAAGGCCGGAATCAGCTGGCACAGTGCTTGTACAAGGCACATTCTATTTCATTCAAGTGCATGTATAACGACGGTATGTGCTAGGATTTACAAGTACATCTGTTAATTTTAAAGCTGTGTTTTTGGGTGCGCTTTCTCTTTGTCCCCAACCTGCAGACCAGCTGCGATCGGTGTCACAAGAGGTTTGCGCCGCCCGCAGTGGTTGTCGAGGCTGACCGCCTGCCCAACAGGGCGTGGCATCCGCACTGCTTTACATGCAAGACCTGTGACCAATTCCTGAGCCAGCTGGAGTACTATGCGTCAGACAGCGATCTCTACTGTGGTCGCCATCATGCCGAGTTGACCAAGCCGCGCTGTGGCGGTTGTGACGAGGTAGGTTTTGTGAATTTCGATGGACCAGCATTTTTAAAAGCATTACTTGGGGAAGTGGGGTTGGTGGACTTGGAGAAAATATTATCTTGCACAACCGTAGTACGTGTGCGATGAGAAGCTTTCAACGTAAGCCTCATACCCTACATGTAACTTAGAGCAAAACAATATTTATTTGTTCTACTGAGCATTCAATGGCTGCTCAAATTACAGGAGCTGATAGAAGAATGCGGTGATGCTGCGTCTGTACTTGACAACGAATTTTCGTGTCGAGCAGCGTTCGAATTTCCCTGTTTGCGCATTTCTTGAAGTTAGTGACTATGGGTGCGTTTGGTTGGTACGAACTAGAACAGGATTCACCAGAACAGTGCGTTTGGTTGGGACTGCACCTGTTCTGGGTCGGCCAGAACATGTTCTGCTTGCTCCGGCCTCGAGGCCGGAGCAGACCGAGCAGTTTCACTTTTTCACAGTGAAACCTGGCGGGAACATCGATTTTAGTCCCAAATGATCACGTGCATACGCTTTTGGGTTGGATTCGTTGTACCGTACAAAGTGACCATGGTGACCCATACGCATTTTGAAAAATGCACCAAGTTTGGCACATTTTTCACAAAAATGTGCTCTGTTTCTGGAGTACCGTTTGGTTGACATGAGGCTGCTCCATGTGCACCAGCTGTTCGATCCTGTTCTAGATCATACCAACCAAACGCACCCTATGACATGCCGGGTGCCCGTCTGATCAGCACAAATAGATTACTACAGTCGGATAAAGGATGCTATGTCAAGACCATTATTTCCCATTTTAAAAACTTCCACAGCCTGGTATGGTAAGCATCCATCAATGGCACCTATTAATAAAAACGTGGCTGCAGCCTTTTTGCGGGGCAACTTGTCCCATATTTGACAGGTACAGCCACCTCTAGTACATGTACGTGTGAGTATGACTAGTCGACTGTACATAGTTCATGGCCGTTTAGGCTGTCATCACACCACAGTACAAAGCGCTGCGTCTACGTCCACGTAAGGAGTTTTAAGTCGGTCGTCATGATGATCCGTATACGGGGTGAAAACGGGAGCAGAGGAAACGGGAAACGTAGACGTGGCGGGAGAGGGGGGGGGGGGGGAGGAGGTTGGTATGCGACTTTTTGGATGAACTTGCGCATCTCCCCAGTCTTTTTCCAAGTGACCTTGTACGTGCGTTTGAATTATAAAATTTCTCCAAAAACGTGACAGTGTGTATGCGTCAAGAACTGTGCCTGTCTGATGACACGACCACCAGTTCTGGGGGTTTTCACTGTAGTGTAGACGTAGACGTAAATGGGAGTCTGAGAATGTAGTGTGATGACGGGCTAATGCAGGGCTGGTCACATGATCACAATGCGTGTGGCTGAAATGGACTTGCCCCGCAAAACTAAATGGCGGGAAGATTATGCATAGAATGGACTCGGGTGGAGAGCCAAGGATAAATTTATAGAAAAGAAAAAGGACCAAGGAACTACAAGTTATCGCATGAGCTGATTGTTTAGTAGCTGGTGGTGTTAGCGGACATTATAGCGTAACTTGTATTGGTCCTTTTTTTCTTTTCTATATTGATGCATAGCTCCCATTTTGAGAATACATGTACATGATGAACCTATTCTCCATGGTTGTGCTGCTGTTGGCTTGCAGTTGATCCTGGTCGGCAGCTTCACCAAGGCGCAGGACAAGACCTGGCATGCACAGCACTTCTGCTGCATCAGCTGTGATCGGCCACTGGCGACGGACAGCGAGAAGGAGGAGTATGCCAAGTACAAGGACCAGGTCGTCTGCCTGAAGTGTTACGGCGACAAGTTTGCGCTGAAGTGCGACGCCTGCCAGCTGATGATACCTGCTGGTGCGGAGCAGTTGGGCCACGGCGATCGGCAGTGGCATATCGAGTGCTTCTGCTGCTTCAAGTGCCAGAGCAAGCTGGATCCGGACAGCTTCCTGGTCGAGGACGGCAAGCTGTGGTGCGAGAAGTGCTTCACGGCCGACAAGGGAGCGCGCTGCACGGCATGCGATCAGCTCATCTCGCCCTCAGCACCTGCCGTATCCGTGGGCGACCGGAAATGGCACGAGTCCTGCTTCCAGTGTGCGGCCTGCAGAGCTCCGCTCGCCGGCCAGGAGTTCTTCGATCACCCGACGGGTACGCACTGCAGCAAGTGCTATGGCGACAAGCTTGCAAACAAGTGCCGCAAGTGTGGCCAGCGCCTGGGACCGGAAGGCGGACTGACGTACAACGACGTCAGCTACCACCCGGCGTGCTTCACCTGCGGCCAGTGCGGCATCGAGATCAGCACCGGCGAGTTTGTGGCCAAGGACGACGAGCTCTACTGCAAGGGCTGCTTCACGGGAACGGTGGCGCCACGCTGCAACGCCTGCGACAAGCCGATCACCAGCGAGGGCCGCGACAGCAACTACACAAGCCACGAGGGAAAGTCGTGGCACAACACATGCTTCAGTTGCTGCGTGTGCGCGACCAGCCTGGTCGACGCAGGCTTCCTGTACAAGAATCAGAAACTCCACTGCAAGGGCTGTGTGCTGAAGTAAAATGATACCCCGGCTTCACTCTCTAGTATCATGTGACATGTGTGTGTTTCACATTCAGCCTTTCTTAGCATGCTACCACAGGTTTCCATGTATCACTGCTTTACTGCCCATTTAAATTTACATTCAAAGTCACTCCACTTTCTCAAAATGATAATGGCGTGTTTAAATAATGCCTCCTGGCCAACACATGTCATGATGCATTTGAGCAGATCATGCGGCTTTGGCTGCCTTTTATGGAATTTATCTAATTCTGGTTAGGCCGCTTTTTATCTAGGTTAGCTAATTAATTTAGAAAGATATTACTGGCATCATCGTTGCTTTCATGCCAACGGTGACCAATACAGTAGCTGTGCCCACACTGCCAGCTCTTACAATACCGGACTTGTATTGCGCTCAGTTCCTGTGATGGCCGACTACAAAATTGTAGATCGTCGGGTCGCTTCCACATGGTCACTGAGCAGAACTCTACAGAGAGCAAAATAATCAGATAAATGAAGATACATCTCCATGTAGATAGAGTCCACCAACAACTGAGTACATTGTACTACAGTACAGACTATGAGTATGACTTCAAAGATAACACAAGGCAGGGCTGCGGGGCCTGACAATAATGATCTGGGGCGTCAACTCATCTGCATCAGTACAGTGTGCTGTAAAAATAACATCAGTTCTACAAAGTCTTGTAGCTGCTGGGATATGTGTACGTGTGTGTGCACGTGGAAGGGAAACACCCTTTGCTCGGGGCTTCCCCGTTACGCACGTGACTGTACATCCTTTTACAGCAAATCAGTTTGCATCACTACACTTAAGTCTTTGTAGGGTCCAGTAGTAGTAGGGATCGGGAGTCGTCAAATATTTGACGACTCCCTGGTCTGCATATGCATGCACATTTTTTTCATTCACCACACCATGCTTTTGAATTTCACTCCACACCAGTACATGTACCTGGACTGAGCTACATGTAGTGAGCCTTCCTGAACTGCGAGCCAATTGCGAAGGCATTGCAGTATTTTCTCCCGTCAACATACCGGTAGTACGGTAGGAGCATGGCAGAAATCAGCTGTGTTGATGTCTTCAGTGAAGATGTGACGGAGTTCCTTCGTAATACTTTATGCCACCAGCAAGATCAGAAAGAGGTCAGTCAGCCTTCACTTGTAGTTGTATTCCATACGTTGGTAAACTAGTTACTTGAAAGAGAAGCGATGAAGTGTTCTAGATATTATTAATCTAATATGTACGCATGCATCAAATTCTCTCGCACAGCCAGCCAATAGGACACAGTTATTCGTATTAAAAGGTTTCGTTCCCTCCTGTCAAAATACTACAGGGAATGATAAAAATTACTCCGGAGACCATAACAATAATGGCAATAAGTGTAAAACTACAACACTCAATGAGGTGTAATAAAATAAGTGGGAAAAAAAGAATATTACGGTGAGACTAACAACACTAGCAATAGTTTGTTGGTGCAATCTTCAGTAGGTCCGTCAAATAGTAATGGTAGATTTTTCTTGTGACGAGACGAGACCAGACGACGCTTGCAGACACCAGCACGAACACTGCACCAGTCACACTCCACAACAGCTAGAAGTTGCTCCTGACAAGCTGTGTTTCGTTCCATTATGATGTTGGGAACTCATCAGAGGAGAGGTAGATGTTGAATGAAATGGGTTGAACTAAATTATATTGTTTTATAGAAGATATTAGCGCAATGTGTGTACACTCAACGAACTATCATGTGTGACAAATCAACATGAATGGAATAGTGTAGAACGGAAGTGTTATGAACCCTGCCGACACAACTATCGCAGGTGCTATGTCAATCACAAGGAGAAAGAGAGGTGCACAGGATAGGTTACACTAAAACATTACGCATCGCACGTTAGACGTCCAAAATGATTTTGTTGGCTGTCACTCAGCTTCTACTTCACCCCCATCTTTGTCACCACGTCAGTATACTTTGTGACATGTAGTGTGTGTGTGTGTGTGTGTGTGTGTTTGTGTGTGTGTGTGTGTGTGTGTGTGTGTGTGTGTGTGTGTGTGTATGTGAGAGAGAGAGAGAGAGAGAGAGAGAGAGAGAGAGAGAGAGAGAGAGAGAGAGAGAGGGAGAGGGACGGACTGACTGACAGACAGACAGACTGACAGACAAACAGAGACAGACAGAGAGAAACACCCTGGGTTATTGTGCACAGCAATTATTCTTCAAAGTTGATAAGTCAAGGAAACATGTTTAGCTGAATGTGCTAATATCGGAGTGAACAGTACTAAAGCCAAAACTACAATAATATCACTAACATAAAGACCACTAGTCAAGACGAAATGCACATGTATGTACCGGTAAGTGTCAGTAAATTCAATCTGTTGTTTTTTTAGAGTCGTTATCCCCGATCTAAAATAGACGTAAAGGACTTACTGTATAAGCAGAAATATTCGTCTGGAATTTTATTTCGTCTTTTTCGTCCAAGGAACCTTTGGACTAAATTAAATGCCGGACTAATGTCGATTTGTCCAGCTTTTCTATACACTCGTATGATCCATGGACGAAATTTTCAACCGGACGAACTCCCTTTCTTTGGAGTTGGACAAAATTATTGACCGACGAAATTTTCTGCCTGTACAGTACTAAACGATTTGGGCAACATGATTTTGTCGCTAAACTCGATTTGTCGTTATATGCAAGTTCGTTATATCCAATCTCCACTGTAGTGCCAAATTGCGCTTCTCCTAAACCAACATCCCAGTACGTTCTGTTCTCCTGTTTAAAATAGTAAGAGGATTTAGGCACCACTGCACATTGCGATTTTTCACTTTCATTGCAAGCTGTACGTTGAGAAAACAACCGTGAGTTTGTAGGCCTATTTTTTTTGTCCTAACTCAAGTTCACATTGACTATTATTTTGTGTTTTATCTATGTCAGCAGTGGTCATCGTGGTCTGAATGGCTGGCTACGCCTCCGTTATGGACGGTGCTACGCGTCAACAGCCACCGAATCACCAAGGCGGAAGCGAAGGTTCGGCTCGAGTCATTCTTGGCGGAGGTATGACGGATATCCTTTAACCCTTTACTGTCCGTACATACAAGCATCGATCCAATGGGATCGATGGGGTAGGCATTTTGAAATTATCGTAACTTGCTCAAATCTAGGTCTTTTGGAGAAATCGAAATATGTAGGTCGAAGAGAAAAGTCTCAGCTGTCGCCTCGAACAATTCCCGAAGCGATACGAAGAGCGGTTGCTGAGTTATCGCACTCGTAATTCTGGTCCCGGGAAATGTCCGTTCAGAGCGCGACGCGCATGTCGACGGCTGGGATTTTCCCTGTTTACGTCACCTGTTGGCAAGGCTACACCGATTCAAATTCAAAAGTAGGTTCCCGGGAGTCTCTACGAAAATATTTGAGCTCGATACGAGCAACAGGGGTGACATGGTGGATTGAGATCGATCTCGAGCGTGAGCTCAGCGCTTTTGCGCGTTCCCTGGCTTGCAGCGCTGGACCAGTGCATCCTGTGGCGCCGAGTGTGGGCTCATTGCGTTCGTCTCGTCAAGACCTTTCCAGGATGCCCAAGATCGTGGAAATCGTCAAATCCAAACCAAAGTTACGTCTAATTTTAGTTTCAGATTTTGTGGTTGCGTGGGCTTGTATACATTTTAATCGGACAGTAAAGGGTTAAGGGTTGTTGGTCGTATCTGCTTGCATCAGGACGAATCCAATGAATGGACATTCTGTGTTGGAACGGGGCAGTGGACATAGAACCCTGCTGTGCTAAAGGGTCTTTGGTCAAAAGTTAGTCACGTATAGACTGTGATCACTTTGCGCAAGTTTGCGGAGGTGGAACGGCTGGATACAATCAAAAGACGGCCGCGTTTGGAAGCCGGAGATAGGTGTGCTTGTTGCTACCCCCTCCCTCATTTTACAAGATGGAAAAGGTTTGAGTAGATTTGTAATACATTGAATAAGTACTGGCGGTCAAACAGTGACGCCCATTTTATTTTTAAAGTGTGTCTAGCTATGTGCTATGTGATCAATGAAGCTTGTAAGCTGTGTCCTTCCTTGCCGTTATTTCATTTGGATGCATGTACGTGTGTTTGATCACACAGCATGCCAAGGTGAACTCAGCATGCGCTGGCCTGTCAGTAGTGGAGCATCCCCATCTCGACGATGCGTTGGTAGTAGCCAGTCCCAAGACTTCCCCTGCGCCGGAGCCCGCTACAAAGCAAGTCATCGTCGGTCTGCAGTGTGGCGTTGCCGTACTGAGAGGCGCTGACGTCTTTGCACCCGGCGTCCTTGCCATGGATACAGGTATGCTTTGACTCTTTGAGTGTACAGTTACACGGGTATGCTTTGAGTGTACAGGTACACGGTTACCGTATTTCCCCCATTCTAAGTCGCACCCCCATTTTCAGGTTTGAGCAATATACTTTCTATAATTACTTTCTTGTTGAGCAATATAATTTCGATATACAGTCGTCCCTCTATAATCCGGCACCTTTTGCTACGGCGTTTTCTGCTGGATTAACGAGGGTGCTGGATTAAGAAATCCTGCCCTCTGACACGGCCCTACCCAATTGCATGCATGTATCATATGTACGTCAAAACGCAGGGTTTTTCCGTGTCGACCCAAGTATTTGGTGCACGGCTTTATATTCTCAATTGTTCTCCGGGAATATACACAGTGATAAAGTGATAAAGTAAAACAGAGAACATGTTCACATGTACTCTTGCACACACACGCACACACACACACTCACCTGAAAATTGGCAGGACACTACTCCTTGCTAAAATAAGAAAGTATGGTTGGTTGACTGCCGTTGTCTCCTGGACAACATTGACCAGACTGGCCTAGCCTGGCCTGGCAAGGAGTGCACCTGTACGGTACGCGATTTACGACTGCCGGATTATGAAATCAAACTACGTGCAGTTTGAGCGATTCGTTTCAAAAAGTCACTGCCGGAGGCGGAATTCAAGTGCCGGATTAAGATGTAGGAATTGAACGAAAAAAATCGGTTTCGTCAGAAAGTGCGCCGGTTGACAAGGGTTCCGGATAAACAAGTGCCGGATTAGAGAGGGACGACTGTATTCATCCTCGATTGTGCGTCACACCCCCTTTTTTGCCCTTGAATTTCTAATAGAGTGAAAAGGTGTGACTTCTACTCGGGAAAGTACGGTATGCTTGAGTGCACAGTTCCACAGGTATGCTTGAGTGAACAGTTGCAAACAAAGTTGAAAAAGCTGCCCACCGTATTACTTTCTCCGAAGTGGATAGTACAGCGATGTGTACTTCGAAGTAGTTTACAACTTTACACTGTATGGCGTTAACGCTGCAGACCGCATTGGTCTACCATGCAGCTTATTACCTTGCTGTCCCATTGTCAATGATCCAATCATACAGACTAGAATTGCACCACTGTAGCTGAATTTTGAGAAGCATTGACATAGCATTAGCTATACCCGGGCATGGGACGTGAAGTTTGACTTTTGCCCAAACCAAGATGTACACGCTCCCTCTGCATATGTACTTCATGCACCAGTATGTAAGGCGGGAATGGAAGTGAACGGTACACTTCCTTCTACAGCTGCTGTAGTCTTACGTTGATGCTCTTTCCTTTGCTCCTAGCTGTGCAAAAAGGAGACACAGTGTCTGTGTACGCCGACGTCAACGGGTTGTGTAGACGAGGCCTTACCAAGCCGTTCGACGGAGCAGTGCAGTACGTGGGCAATGGCCGTGCTGACATCAGCCGCTATGCTCTCTTCCACACCGAACAACCCAGGTTTGTGCACAGCGAGTACCAGTGCGGTCTTTCTTTATACTCCTTCATCTCTCATCCATTCATGTTGCTACTTCCTCTAGAAACAACACTTTGTGACTTCCATCAGCTTGTCCATTATTGTGAATTGAGCTCCAAGCAATGAAGTGGTGGTGACTCCAAGTTAGACTCAAACGGTGCCGGTTTCTTTTGTCCTCTAATGTACATACTTCAAGCAAGTATATCCACTCATTGTCGTGAAGTGATTTCGTTCCACTGAACCAAATTTATTGAGCACATTAACTCCTTAGAATGTAAATAAAAAAGTCACCATGTTTTGTTTGTGGAGGAAATAGGTTTTTCCATGAGCCACAACACCATAACTACGCTCTCCAGCTGATCTTGACACATTGCCACAGCACACCACCAGCAAAGCGACACATCCGTTCGTACTGAATTCCCTTCATGCAGCTGTTTTAGAAAATAGGTAGCCCACAAATCTGATTGCCCAACGTCCATACTTGGCCGTGGGTGCAGAACATGCCCGTAATGGGACTGCTATTTGCAGACTGAATTTCCATTGTGTTTGGTCTTGTGTCTGTTGTGCACCTCAGTGGTGTAGCTATCACCATGACTCAGCCACTGTTCACCGCTCCACCGCTCAGTGGACTTCACGCCGACGCGCTCTTCCCGCAGAACCTGCCGTCCATCGTGGCGTGCCATGTACTAGCACCGCGGCCGGGAGAGACCGTCTTGGACATGTGTGCTGCACCAGGTACACATACGTTGTTGTGGGGCCGCGTGCAGTCGTGAATGCTTTATCGCATCGCGTGATAATAGTAAGCATGGATCTGGGTGGTCTAATCCAGCTACATGTAGCTGTGTAGATAGATACTTACCAGGTGCCTGTTAGGAAAGGACATTGGGAGTTATTATTATTATTATTATTATTACTGTATTAACTTTTATTTTACTAGGGTGTTTCCCACAGACCTAGTTCATCATTATACTTCCTGGGGGCTGTAACACGTTTGGCAGCTACATGTGCTGGCCATCCCTAAACTTTCTCTTGGCCTAGATAAGTCTTACAGGCCACTCATTTGAAACTGGCCCACTGCATTGCTGGGAACATACTGAAGGCCACTTTTGAAAGTATTCGCACAATATTCGTCGGAGCACGATTTTCAAAAGCGCCAAGAGATTGGGTGTGAATGGAAATTATCGGACAAAGATCTCGAAGCGCGAATTTCTAAAATGGAAAGAACAAGGAAAGAGAACATACTAAAAATCAGCAATTAGTAATTTCAGAGCAAACCTGGCCCAAAAGGTATAAGCCACCAAAAAAGTTCAGGAGTAATGACAAATGAGGAACAGGCAATGATACTTGATTTCGAGTAGATCATCCCCGCTCGAACCAGTCATATTCATTTTTTTTCTAAGTGCTGGGGAATTTGTGTTGATATAAATTGACAAATTGACATTCAAATATTATGATACTGAACAAGCGGCATGTTGCAGGCAAGCCCTGGGGACTAGTGTTAGCACAGCCGGCCGGTATTGGCATCAGCATGTTGCGAGTGTCTGTGTCTGACTTTGCCTGTGTCGACTGTCGTGTTGCTACGGTTTGTTGGTTGGGTTTCCCTGTAGGTGGCAAGACAACACACATAGCCAGTCTAATGAATGATACAGTGAGTGCATTGGTCGTTGTTTAGCAGACAGGCACAGTTGGCACAGTTGGTATCGCAAGCCGACAGAAGATTATAATGTGATAAATCTTGCCAAATGTTTGCAAGTTGTGTCGCTTTCAGTGCTGACTGATTTCGCATTAGCGTACTGTCAAGATTCAATGCATCATGCAATCCGAGCTTTTGCTGCCCGAATTTGCATACCGATGCATTCACTACGGTATCATTCCCGAGTATGGAATTTACCATAAATAGCTGCTGAACTTTGCCAAAAAGCCCAAAATATGCTTCAACTTTACCTATAAGTTTTCTTCGGATTGCAGCCACTATCCATCCGCTGATTTTACTTTTAACCCTGTGGTATTTTATACTACTACTACTACTACTTTACTAGTACTGTAGCACTCAAATTCAATGTGTGTGTGTGTGTGGTACATTGTGTGTGTGTGTGTATGTGTGTGTGTGTGTGTGTGTGGTACATTGTGTGTGTGTGTGTTTGTGTGTGTGTGTGTGTGTGTGCGTGTGTGTGTGCGTGTGTGTGTGTGCGTGCGTGGTGCACAGGGTGTTGTTGTTGCGCTGGACAAGAGCGCAGCACGTCTGAAGCGCGTTGAAGAGAACTGCCAGCGACTGGGGATCACCTGTGTGCGCTCGTATGCCTGTGATGCACGCAAGTCGGTGGCTAGACCAACCGCCGAGTCTCCCACAGGTACAGTCAGTCATGGGCAGACTGTAGGCTATCGACAAGAGACCACACACTACACTACAGACTACAGATTGATTTTGCTGATGTGTCTGTCCAGGTGCCTTACGGCAAGCATACTCTATTTTAAAATTATAAAAAGAGAGGACCGTAAGTTTACAAGTGCAAGTTATCTGTTTTGTCCAACACTAACGATTATCAACAGCTTTTTTTAATAAATATAATCGTTAGTACGAAATAGTGGTTGCGACTTCGGCGATGATTTTTTTTAGGAATGGGTTTACTCCCACACTGGAGCTCGCGCTATTCCGCCGACTTGACTTGACACTTGACTAACTCACGACTGCCATCTAGAGCACACGAGAAGTCCATCGAACCTTCGACTCGGCAAACCTGCAAGAAAGCACCACGCCCTGCTCAATACACAGTGTTTCGGAGAATTCACCCCTCATCAGTTGAGCTTGAGTAGGGTGAGGAAGATTCTGCCTGAAGAGCACCACTTATATAGTGCTCTCCAGTGTCAAGTGTCAAGTCGGCGGAATAGCGCGAGCTCCAGTGTGGGAGCAAACTCATTCCTAAAAAATAATCGTTAGTGTTGGACGAAACAGATAACTTGTAAACTTTTGGTCCTCTCTTTTTGTAATTTTAATCCTTGGCTCTCGACCCGAGTTTTAGGGCACGTTCGATTGCACAAATCCATTAGCCCCGAATCCGGATTTGTCAAATTTGGACCTGTTTGTTTGTACAAATCTGGATCTCGGTCGCACGGATCCGGATCCGACCAACCCACCTCCCAGAGCCGGATTTGACGGATTCATTTGCATCGTATCGACTCAAAACTCGAAATATGCGTACACTAGGTCAAGAGTTCACCATAATGCGTACAGGTACATCGAAATAGTACGGGATGAGATGTAGCAACTCGGTTGCTAAGGTCTTGAAACGGATTATCAGTTGGGCACATTCGATTGTATTCGTCTGATCGAAGTGATCTGGTCGGCGGGGATCGGGATCCAGTTTCCACAATCGAATGCCTTACACACCGTACTCTATTTTGATATCCATTGTTACGGCTCAGATGTCATGATGCTGCTGTGCTAGGAGTCATTCAAGAATCAAGGCCTCTGTACTTGTAACTGTTGCTGTGGCCGCTATAGCTGAAAGTAACTTACTTACTTCAAGCAATGCTGAACTGTCGTCTGTCCTAATTTTGAAAATGCTTTTTTATTTTTTTATTTACAGACGTGTGCCCATGTTTCCTTTGCTTCTATATTTGGTTTTGTTTCTCGTCCAGCTTCAGCCACATTGCAGTCACCGCCGTTTCCACCGGAGTCGTTTGATCGCATTCTTCTAGATGGTCCTTGCAGTGCACTGGGTCAGAGGCCACAAATCCGTAACAGTATCCCGCTCAAGGAGCTGCAGTCATTTCCGCCGTACCAGCGTCAGATATTTGAGCGGGTTAGTTCCACGCATTGACTTGCACTTCACCATAGCTGGTTTTGCAAGAATCGTAGTCGTAGCAGCTGTCTTCTCTCTTTAGGCGGCAACCTGTTCATGAATTCTGTTAACACGTGCATTGTTTTAATACTCTACAACTGTTGGCAGGCTGTTGAGCTTCTCCGACCCGGTGGTGTCCTGGTCTACTGTACATGTACTGTAACACTGGACGAGAACGAGGGTGCAGTTGCCTGGGCGTTGGCTAAGTTCCCGTGTTTGCGACTCGCAAAGCAGGTACGTTCCAGACATCCCGTTTGTGATGATTGCTTCAATGCTGTCTTGTGTTTTCCTTGACGCAAGCATGGACCTGCTCAAGCAGCAGCTACACATCGCCTATAGTACTTGCATGTAAGACTTTGCCTCTCACTGCTGTTGTCTAAATTACCTGATACCCTTGGTTAGAGTAAAAAGTTTGACAGTCCATTGTTTGCTAGCAGATCGATGCTGCTTTCATGGGTTTGTTGGTCTGTGTGTGCATACTATCTGCCCAGGAGCCTCACCTTGGTGGGACAGGCTTCACAGTGGATGGCTTGGACAGTGCACAAGCGGAACTCGTGCAGCGCTTCTCACCGTCACCAGCTGGCAGCCCATGTCGCCACCATCCTGAGAGCAATAGCACTGAAGCAGCCGCAGCCAGCCTGTCTTCTGCCTCTTCATCGGACAATGCTGGCTGCCACTCCAATGCGGCTAGTGTGAACAACGACACCATTGGGTTCTTCATTGCAAAGTTCACGAAGGAACTTTGAGTGGCAGGTACGTTTCTATTCCTTGCTGCGAATATGCTATGAACATGGGTCACCGCCCTTTTGATGTGGGCTGGCCGGGAATGTAACTGTGAGCTCCAGTGAGACCCTCTTGTTCCGACTGGCCATTGCATCTCCAAGCTCACACCCCACCCAGGATGACAGCATGCTGGCAGTAGCACATGCTAGTGTGTAGGTTGAAGCGGCCATGTCGAGGCAGTTACCATGGTTACCCGCACAGCATCAGGTGATCCACTTCAATCACATGTCGCACTGTGTTTGAGGCAAGCACATGGGTATTGCAGGCTCAGAAGAGCAATACACAATGATCCATGTGCCTAAGCAACCTTGAGCCTGAGCAGGGATCTCTTCGAAGCCATGATCCATACCTAGGCTGAGTGTCCAAAACGAATGGACTGGGCAAGCGGGGTTCGTACAAGTTGCGCGTGTTGGACGGCAATGGTGTCTCAGCCCGAGTCCCACTTCACTCACTCTTTGCTGGTGAGCGCTGTTGCAAAGCCGGCCAATACAGTTGTACCAGGAATGATACCATACCAACGTCATCACATTTGTACTTGATACCTGCAGCTTACTGTACTTGTACCTGATGGCAGGCAAACAGTCGTGCACTTGTACACCATCGCCACTGACAATCTTGGATCAGCGTCGGCGTCAGCATGAGTTTCACAAAGTGCTGACGTCACTGCCAAGGATCTTCTATACGACTAGGAGTCCTCACAGAATTGTGGTCTTGTTCACTAACATGTAGTGACCCATTGTATTTTAATCTGTTTATTTTTCTCCGTTGGATCTTCCTGCTTGAGTGTCGATGGGAAGATTGGAAACATGATAATTATATTGATTATAATCATGAACGTGTTTCTGCCTCCGAGTTGTTCTCCCCGTCGAGGGAGTTTCTTCGTCAATTTTGACTGACTGATTTTGTCCAGGCATGCCCTGTATAAGAATGCTCATCTAGAGCGACCACCTAACTGATACTACTTCAAGTATTCGATATGAAATGTTCACTGTGTGGCTCTCTGCGCCTGGGTCTCCCCTACGCACTTGCTACTGCAATACAATCATACATGCATCACAGTGCATTCTCTACAAACACAATACAGCATGTGACAGACCTTGTACTATCTCACTTTGTCTTCACATTCCTCACACATACCTAGAACGGTGCCCATCAGGGAGTACTAAAGTTTTAAAAAACTCTTTTAGTACACCCTGGTGCCCATCACAAAGTTCTCCTTGCATATTACTACTACTACTAGTATTATTGCTAGTACTTGCCCTGTACACTCAAAAACTTTATTTGAAAGAACCCGATTAATATGTAAAAGGACAGTGATGTTGAATAATACAGCACCACTGCACACCAACAGAGCCTATAATGGACTCTTGATAAGTGATCTTACTGCACACATTGTGTAGAACAAAACCCTCTTGCCCAGGACCAAGTACATGCACTACTGAGCACTGCGTTACTGGTATCGGACTACCGGTAATAATCTTGGAGAACTGTGTCCCGGGTGCTTTGCATTCTGCCGACACCGCATGTACCGTTACGGGTGTCTATTATAATCATTGCTAATGTGAAGTGGGCCAAAGGCTAAGTGGGCCCGGCCCGCGCACTACCAACTGGCCTGGCTATAAGATGGCATGCATTCCCAATGTTTGGCCAGCCTCGTTGACATTGGTGATACATGGGTCATCTAGTACTACAGCACACACACATGCACATACAATGACATGACATGCACACCAATGATCTACCAGAGCTCCTAAAGGGAAATAATGTTTCTCCATGATCAGCCCATCATGCTCAGTTTACTGCCCCTATCTGCTTCATTATGGATACAAGTTATGATGTCTCCCAGTCGATAACTTTAGTCAATGTTTGGCCTGCAAGTAATCTTGTAGTGCTGGACGATCTTCAACTTCAGGGCTAACGTAAAGACCGACCATTCTTTTGAACAAGCAAAATACAGTACTTCAAGTACATGTATGAATTGTGTACATAATTGTACATGTGCATGACTGCAACTGCATGTAATGCGCTAATACTAGCTAGTAATAGCCCTTAGAGGATGATGCTCGTCAGATTCTGCTCCAAAGCAGTGAAATTGGCAGAACCATGCAAGCCTTATGGCTGGCACTTCCTTGAATTCGGCTCGATTTCTTTATCCACATGCCAAACATGCATGAAACATACCAGAAAATGATCCAATTCTGCCAATTTTTCTGCCGGCATTATCCGCCAAGGGCTGGGGGGGGGGGGGCATTGCACACAACAAAAATAGTAATAAAATTAATGGTATGGTGAGTTGAAGGCTATGATGAGTGTAACTCAAGTTATCAGAGAACATCTCGATGTGTTTGCAATGTTCAGTGCTTTGTAGTGTGGCCTACTGTGGGTTGTGGAGGATGTTCCTTGCTGATACAACTGACTAATTTCTCCTCACATTGCCCAGTTCAGGTTTCAGGATATCTGCTTTTGTGATTTCGGTCCGAAACAAAATTTCTTTCCGGTGCTCTGATATACACTGTACCTACATTGTATGCTTCAAAGTTCAAACGTTGTCTGTTCTGCATACCCACTGCCGGGCAAGTCACGCCGATGATGGCGGCTTTTCACTCAGGCAAGTCTCACCCACATATTTGAGTGTGAGGACTGTTCGCACCCGGTACCCTTGAGCACCAGCATGCATTCAATTATAATTTGTGTGATGCGTAGCACATACTACTGAAGTAGTGTTACAGTTATAATTACATCTATAGGTACAGTAGCTGCGGTGCATATCACTTGTACTGTCACCTCATGATAATTATTGCCTACAGGACATGACATGTCTGTAGGTAATAATTATCATGAGGTGACAGTTGTATTGTTCTACAGTCCATTTCAAAACTATAGACGCGTACCTAGGCAAAAACCGTTATGCCAGAATCTATACCACATAAAATCTGTGATCACTTTGTGCATAAATTTTTCCAAATTGGGCGTCTGTTATCCAATCCTTTAGAAACTATTATGAGAGTAATTGTGGAGCGATCCTGAGCAATATTCCGAAAACTATTCTCAAAAAGTTCCAGCCAAATTTGAAATATTTCAAAAACCCTACGCGTCTATAGTTTTGAAATGCACTGTAGGCAGAGGATTCTGGCAGTTTGCTATAAAGCCTGTATACTATAATTATACATGTAGTCATATGAAGTAACGTTACTGCTTTCAAACTGTCCTTGCCAGGGCTATGTAGGACCCAACTGGGTTTGTGACTGGGAAGCGGGGACTGCTTTTTAAAAATAACACACTATAGTGACTATAGAGTCAAATACTTCAAGCTACCAGTACTAGTCTTCATGGGTATGCCACATGACCCAGAGACCGTCCAGGTTTTTGAACAATCGGGAAAAGTGGAGTCCAGATCAGGGTACGGTTTGAGTGCACATCTGCATGTGTACTGTATACTACTAGTACATGTACTGTGTATACACAAACGTAACCTCAGTTCTGCCATTGTACATGATATTACTGAAATCCGGACTGCTGTGCATTTGCAGGAGTGCAGGAGGTTAGGCGCTCTAATCAAAACATTAGTAGGTTTGCAGTGCTGAAAGTGTGCATAGCTCTGGGTTTCACTTGCAACAACTGCAGTTGGCTTATCGTGATGACGGCATCACAGTCAGGAATACTGTTTTCAAATTTCAATGCAGGGTGTCCTCCTTGCCATTATGCTGTCATCATCATAAAAAGACGAAGTACAGTCATAGTAGTGTGCTTACATGTACTTTGTGGATACTCCATTAGTACAGTAGGCATTACCACTACATGTACTAGATCATAGCCTTCCTTTCATTGTAGATCTACAGTACACCGCTAGCTTACTGTGTAAGCTAGGGATCATGGTGATGCTGGAGAAAATTATTAGTTACATGTACAGTAGCTAGATGATTACTACAGTAGTCTTTTTCAGTCATGATGAAAACGACTGGAATGCACTCCTTGAAAATTTAATTCAGCCCAGCATTCGCGCTGAGCTGTGTCAGCGCTGCCGGACCCGGACCCGGTGGTGGACATCTACGGAGTAGAAGAGGTGCAGTGTGAGGGAAGACACTAGCGCTATAGCAGAGCAGTCGCTGACTGTCCATTCATCACGCGCACTGCAATGCACTACGAGTATAGCACATGCATGACTCTCACAAACAATTCAATGACTCACATATCCGGCATTGTTGTGAGCCAAGCCACTGACAGCAGGGTCTGAATGACTGGCGAGTGACGGGCCATTCTTCGTGCTCGTTTGACCTCACTTTCTACTAGGCACGTGAAATACTAGTACATACTCAAGTTGTCTTGAATACAACTGAAAGTTCTCGCTAGAACCACTAATGACCTACTGCATATACTGGCACTCGCTGGAGGCGGATGACTGACACCAGCCAGGCCTCGAGTTGCAGAACTACACAGCCTGCGACAGCCAACTACATTGTAATACTTCGTTAGGGCTAGCGTAGGCGGCTAATGCATCTTCGAAGCTTCAGGCTTGCCCACTTGCTAGGTACTGCACGCGAGACTCATCACTCACCCTGCGAGCTGCATCTGTCACGGTTATGAAGTGCAATAAATACAGCGCGGACACTGCAGTCTTGCATTATCAAACTCATCATCGTCTGGATCATATCAGTACGTGTTCCCCAGAAGAACCTCTTGAAGGGAAACTTCTTCTCATATTTGTCCTGTAAACTCCTTTTTCGTCTCGTGGTGCTGTTGCAAGTAGGTCAACGACGTGGAGTTCACCTCCCGCGTGGGTCTGACGTAGGCCTGAACCTGAACCGTATGGATAATCGTCCCGTATAAGCTGGTGCATGCTCTTTCGCAGTCTCTGCTGTCTGTGCCAAATTTGCCAAGGCACGCATGCAATCCCCAAAAAAAGTTGTGGAGTTCTTTGACCTGACCAAGCTCAGTTGAGCAGACAGTGTAGTGAAAGCGGCAGTGGTTTGACTTTGAGTGCTGGCCAGGCAGGAAGCAGTAATTTGTGGCAGTGAAACGGAAGCAGAGCAGCGTGATTGTAGATTGGTTCACGCTCGGCATCCTGATTTCCGTCTCTCGTCGCCATGTGGACAAGCAAGGACAAGAGCATCAGCGTTGAGGGCAAGGGAGATTTCTCCCTGCTGAATGCGGCCGTGTCCGACTTCCTTGAGCAGTACGTTCGAACGTGCAGTCCGTCTCGTTTGCATTTGTGCGATGGCAGTGACGAGGAAAACAAGAAGCTGTGCGAACTGATGAGGGAGTCCGGTATGGTGCGTCCTCTGACCAGCAAGGAGTACACCAACTGGTGAGTGACAATCAGTTTAGTATTTTACCAAATGGCTCCTGCTGTGCCCCCCCCCCCCCCCCCTCCGCTTTCTTCGTCAGATGCAGAGTCGTTTGGCAGCTTTGAAATCTGCAGAAGTACAGTGTTGTACTGTGTGACCATGTCTTCTTGGATGCTGTGCGAGACCGATGGCGATGTTGTTATGTAGGTCCTGCTCGTTTCTTTCCTGTCTTCCCTGCATGCTCGTATGTCACATGCCTGTCATGTTGCTCCTCCGAGATCTCTTTCGCGCATGGCCCGGCCGTAGTCTACGCACGGATGTCCGTGGAGGTGTGTCGGAGGTTGGTCGGAGGCGTTACGTCACGATTTCACGAGTGCGCGTACAAAACAAAAAACACTTTACTTCCAATTCCATGTTCCAGTGCTTAGTTTGAGGTGACACTTCGTTGTCTGCACACCAGCCAGTGACCAGGAGCCGGAGTCGAGTACTGCCTGGTCTGCACTAACTCCCACGCAGCGCAAACTCGACTTTGGCGTGCCCCATATCGAACGAAGTGCCTCGAACGATTTGTCCAGTGTTGCGCCCGTCAACCAAACAATGGCTCGATCACTAATGAAGTGCATACTGATGAATAACCCCGCATCATGCGACTTGTGTTTGCAAGCTAGCTGTTGCCTGAAATGTGGAGCCCGTTTGACCGAAATCGAGGACTCGGAATGTACCCGTGCCCTCATCCTCATTTCATTTGTTCTGTGTGTTTCGAGGAAGTCACCCGTACTACTGGGTTGTAGTGACTTCACTCCTCTCCCAACAAGTACTACATGGCACTGCCATTGTACTGTACCTGTGCTGTTCTTTCTAGACCTGCCCACTGCCCAGTCACAGCAGTGCCTTTTGCCGTTTTGGGATGCAGTTCCATAACGAACTACATGTATTACTTGCTTGCATAGGCATGCAGCAAGTGCCATAATCATTTTTGTTACTTATGGGCATGGATGAGCATGATGGCATGCAAGTGACATACAATGTACTTGTTACTACTAGTATTATGTACTTGTGTTGGTCTCCTCCTGCCCATCTGTCCACAGAGACGAAAGCTACAAGTCATTATAGTTGCTGAACCTAACAATGCATGCTAGGTCTTGGTGTTGCTTGTTTGTCCTAATGATCATGTGTGTGCACATGTGCGTGCGTGCGTGCGTGTGTGTGTGTGTGTCCAGTTGGTCTGTGCGCACAGACCCGACAGATGTAGCTCGCCTGGAGAGCAAGACATTGATATGCACACCAAAGGAAGAGCAGGTTGTTGCCGAGGGCGCAAGGCATCCTGGCACCCCGAACATGCTGGGGAAATGGATGTCGGAGGAGCAAATGGATGCTCAAATGAAAGACCGTCTTCCTAGATGCATGAAAGGTATGTTATTGCTGTCTAAAAACAGTCTTCTATTGAGATATGTTCCTAGTCATTGCTCATTTATCTGCAATTTGGGGAAGAAAAGTGGGCCGATGTGTGGTTTTGGCAAACTTTGTGTCACCCAGTCAGAGGTGTTAATCATGAGTAAGCATGCAACGATTGTGGTTAGCTTACCTGTCATATCCAGTGCTGGGTCCTTGACAGGGACTTTGTACTAGCTGTTGGGAAAGGACCAAAGCTGTTCACAGGCCTATCTGAGACTAGAGGCTGAAACAATGGCAGCCTCTGACTACAACATAGCTGTCACAATGTTGCTGCTATTGCACAACGTAGAAACAGCATTTGTTGATTTGGCGCCGTCTAGCCAGATTATCACAGGCTCCGATCTGTACATCCCAAACGTTAATCTCCAATTCTAATTTGGAATCCTATGCCTCTGGGAATCGCACAATGAACCTGCTGAGGTCTGACTTGCCTCAAGCAAAATAGCTGATGTTCACAGTGTTGACATAATTCTTTGCTATCCCCCCTCTGCTAACTAACCCACTTTTGCCTGAAACTCCCAGCAGGAATTTTGATGCTGCAAGAAATGGACTACAAGTCATGTCACATGCAACACCCCCCCCCCCCCCCCCCATAAACATACTGGTAAATCTAAACACACAAAACTCATGTACCCGATATTACTTTGTCTGTAAACATTTCAGCATGTGGAATGGGGGGATATCAACTTGTATGATGTACATTCGGAAAGGATATCAACCTTTTCTGACAACCCCTACTATTGGTGGCGCATGTACCAGTGATGTACAAGCTAAGAATGTAATATCATGTCAAGTGCAACAATTCATAGGCCGAAGTTCCTTTCTGAGAACTTACCGCAAAGTACCGTTGATCCGCCCCCTGTCGAATTTCTGCTTGTCAAGCGACATCGGCGTATACAACGAAATACGATGTTGAACCGACGAATGTAGAGCTGGACACGATACGTGCGATTGCAGGATGAAAATGTGCACAATCCACCATCCCAGGTCTGATCTTCTGCTTTGTTGTACATCGTACTGCACTTGACCGACTTGATCTAATTCCCGCCCCCTGCCGAAAAACCAGCTGGGAAGCGACATGGCGCAGGGGCGGATCAACGGTACTTCCCTTTGTAAACTTCCCCTCTAACTATACCTGTGTGTCCATTAAAGGGGAAGTTAAGGCAAAAATTAAAATTTCACCAGTTGTAGTCTTCGGGGTGCTGAGTCGAATGGTCTTGGTCCGAGAAAGCTGAGACGCTCCCTTCCTACTTGAATCCCAATCGAACTCGCGCACTTCCACCGAAACTGGGTGACTGCGCCCTACGAGATGGGGAATTGTATGCAAAATGTCACTAAAAGCGCCATTTCATTCATATAAAAGCACGGATGACCGCGATTGGCCCATATGTTGTAGTCTTTTGGACGCTGAGTCGACTGGTTTTGGTCCGAAAAGGCTGCGATGCAGCGTTCGCCCCTAATTCCCAATCGAACATGGTTGAACAAGCGGTCACGTGCTCCTGCGTACACCAGTCACCTGGTCACCGTGCCTGCAGGGTACAACTTACAGCCTGTTTTGACCTTTTTTGGGTGCAGTCCTGTCACTCGAGTTGAACCTTGGTGTGAAAGTTGTCGCCTGCTGGTGTGGTGACCAGGTGATTTTGGCACCCAGGAGCACGTGACCGCTTCTTCAACCATGTTCGATTGGGAATAAAGGAGGAACGCTGCATCGCAGCCTTTTCGGACCAAAACCAGTCGACTCAGCGTCCAAAAGACTACAACATATGGGCCAATCGCGGTCATCCGTGCTTTTATAAGAACGAAATGGCGCTTTTAATGACATTTTGCATACAAATCCCCATCTCGTAGGGCGCAGTCACCCAGTTTCGGTGGAAGTGCGCGAGTTCGATTGGGATTCAAGTAGGAAGGGAGCGTCTCAGCTTTCTCGGACCAAGACCATTCGACTCAGCACCCCGAAGACTACAACTGGTGAAATTTTAAATTTTGCCTTAACTTCCCCTTTAACTGTTTTATCCCGCCTCTTGATTTCTTTTAACCATTTGTTCTTGTCTTCGTTGTACTGTGTGTTATTCACTGCAGGTCGTGTCATGTACATCATACCATTCAGCATGGGACCTGTTGGATCTCCTCTAGCCAAGATTGGCATTCAGTTGACCGATTCACCCTACGTTGTCGCCAGCATGCGGGTTATGACCCGCATTGGCACGCCCGTCATCAAGACCCTGAACACGGGTGCGGAGCCGACGGAGTTCGTACGATGCATGCACACTGTCGGCCGTCCTGACCCAGCCGACCCCGCTGAGGTGCAGAAGGCCAAGATGCGCCTGCCGACGTGGCCGTGCGATCCCGAGCGCGTACTCATTGCACACTACCCGATGCGGCGCGAGATTGTCTCCTACGGGAGTGGTTACGGCGGAAATTCCCTTCTCGGCAAAAAGTGCTTTGCGCTGCGCATTGCATCCTGGATCGGCAAGGAAGAAGGCTGGCTCGCAGAGCATATGTTGGTATGTTGTTTCTGCCTATTGTTCACTTGAAATGTGCATTTTGTAGTCTACCAAGGGCGTTCAACTTTCCAAACAGCAACCATAACAAGCAGGTATGAGACACTTTGCTTGTCCGTGTTACTTGCTATACCCGTAACGTTGTGTATGAAAGCCGCGGCTTATATGACCTTTTGGAGGAAATTTTGGAGGCTTCTATACAAGGCAGATTTCTATTTATGTCAACACTAAAACCAGGCTTCTAAATGAGACAGGTTTTAATACAAGACACTACGGTACATGTGTGCCTGCTCTCAATCCTCTTTGTATTGTGTTGCTTTGTGAACTGGTTATTCCTCTGCAGATCATGCGTGTACAGAACCCAGAAGGAGACGTACGCTACGTGGCCGCTGCTTTCCCAAGTGCCTGCGGTAAGACGAATCTGGCTATGATGGAGCCGTCGCTGCCAGGGTGGGATGTGAAGTGTGTGGGCGATGACATTGCCTGGCTGAAGTTTGACAATGAAGGACGCCTGCGTGCAATCAACCCAGAAAATGGCTTCTTCGGCGTTGCTCCGGGCACATCCCTCAAAACGAACCCGAACGCCATGGAGATGGTGCACCGCAACACAATCTTCACCAACGTGGCCTACACCGAGAGAGGTGATGTCTATTGGGAAGGCATGGACCCTACCTATGACCTTAACAACACCAAGGTCATCTCCTGGCGGGGAATTCCCCACTGGAAACCGGGCATGTGTACCATGGATGGAGAGGTGATTACTGCTGCTCATCCAAACTCTCGCTTCTGCACACCGCTGTCTGAGTGCCCGGTTGTTGACCCACTGTACAACAGTGCTGAGGGCGTGCCCATTGACGCAATCATCTTTGGCGGTCGCCGTCCAGACACGATCCCGCTGGTCTTCGAGTCCTTCAACTGGCCACACGGTGTCTTCCTGGGCAGTGCCATGCGCTCTGAAACGACTAAGGCCGCCGCTGATGTGACGGAAAAGCTGCGCCACGACCCGTTTGCCATGCGGCCGTTCTTTGGCTACAACTTTGGCGAGTACCTGCAGCACTGGCTGAACCTGGAGAAGCCTGGTCGCAAGATGCCCAGCATCTTCCATGTCAACTGGTTCTTGCGCGGTGAGCAGAACGAGTTCCTCTGGCCCGGCTTCGGCGAGAACGCTCGCATTCTGGAATGGATCTTCAAGCGTCTGAACGGCGACAGCAGTGTGGCCCGTGCCTCTCCCATAGGTATGCTGCCAACCAATTCTGGCATTCGATCTAACGATCTCTCACCCAGTGTGGATATGGATCGCCTGCTCAATGTCGATCACAAGCTTTGGCTGAAGGAAGAAGAGGCCATCAGGTCTTTCCTCGAGGGCCAGCTTGGCAAGGATTGTCCGGCCGGCATTGTTGAGCAGATACACAGCCTGCGCGAACGCCTTGCGAATACATGCAGTGAAGAGTAAGGCTGAGGGTCAGTGGATGTCTCCCATCAGTTTGAACACCCCTGCTCCCGCATCTGAGATTTGACAAGCAATTGAGAGAATGGTCGATGCAATGGACCTGGTTGACCGTCACATCAGTCTTTTATAAAATATAGTTTTCTCTAGACATACACATGGCTTTTCGTAACGCCTGCAGTTTTATCGTTCCCCGTTAAAATCTATATCTCCAGCCTTGACAGTCACGAAACACACCCAGCCAACTGCCATGTTGTATGAGCATCAGGTATTTGACGAATGTGTTGTATTGAATAGTTCTCTTACAGTATAGACATTTTTTAGAGTAGAGTTGTGTTGATGTGTCCCAACGCATCTCCTAGAGTCTATAATCGGGCTTCACACCGGAATATCCCCAGCCAGAAATCTGGAATAGCTCAGATTTTCATGGTGCATGTATTGCACTCAATTCTTTTCTAGATAGAAGTGCCAGGTAGGGCATACGCGTCTCTTTCTCTCTCTCTCTCTCCCCTGCCTCCCTCCCTCCCTCGCCCTAGAAAATCTCTTTCGTAGCGGTAGCAGGAAGCATCATGAACTTAGCTCGTATATCTTCACAGAGTGCACAGACCGTTTGATTTTGTTTCTTGTACGTCTGGCGGTGATTCTAATTTTTATTATCGCATTATTAATTTTCGTTTTGTGCTTGTCTTTCAGTTTGGTCTTGGTGTGCATGCACGTCCGGACGTCCATGGATATCTATAATATAAGTGGCTGTTGTTTTGTTGCTATATGTATGGTATGCAGGGTTCCAGCCAAGGGGGCCGGGGGGGGGGGGGCACAGAGGCATCATCCACTTCCACCATGTACCAAAGTACATACATGTACTTGAAGTAGATCTTCTTCTTCGGTAACTACAAGTCATAATAAATAATATGAAAATGACTGTGAGAGTACAGTGTACATGTAGTAGAAGATCGGTTTCTCCAGAAGTAGATCGTTCATTCGATCGAAGCCATTTTTGCCACAAAACAGGAGCAAAATGGAGCAAACATTTAACAAAATTTTGCCGCAAAATATCGAAGCGCCCCGAGCAAAACTAAAAATTTTAATAATTTGGGCTACACTTGCTAGCTGCACATCACCATGATCACCTGGCCAGTACTAGTGGCCACCAGGAAATACTAAAAAGGCTGGGTTTATGTACTCCTGTGAGCTGCTGCGCCGCAAGCATTCTTCCGGATTGTGGTGTGAAAAGCGTAAAGAAAGGAGTTTGGTGGTTACTGTACGAGTCCTTCCTTGGGTATTTTAGATTCTTTGTTCCTTCTCTTCTTTGGCCAGTATTTCCCCTTAGTGATACGCTGCATGCTGTGCAGAACTAGTTACGCGGAAGCCTAAAGAGTGCTCAGCAGCGGCAGAATGTCGTCGACGAGAGTTTACATTGGAAATATTAATTACGACGCTACCGAGAGGGAGGTGGAGAAATTTTTCAAGGGATTTGGTCGTATTCGTGAAATTACCTTGAAGAATGGCTTCGGCTTCGCAGTGAGTAGTCTGTTCCTTTCATTCTTTTTTTCTTCCACGTGTACATTTGCACTTTGTAGATCGTATTCCGATGGTCGTGTGGTTTCTTTTGGGATTCATTTTATGTCATTCATTCATTCAATCCGACATCCTCGGACCAATCATTCCTGGAAAATCAGGCAATAACCAGTGCCAACATGTGCTGCTGTCCAAATTGTTACTGTTACTCGTATTGTTGTCTTCAATCTTGATCGTCACTAGTTTTGGAGTCATCCAACAAAAAATCAAGCCTGTCACGTTATTTTCGGTGTGTTTTCGGAACTAATAATATTACTTCCATTATTATTTCGGTGATTTCGGTAAAGAAACCAGGCACCTAAATTTAGATTACATGTACATCTAAAAGGCACTTGAGTACCAGTATGCACTATGTGTGAAGGGAATGCTGGTCACCTAATCCAACATTACACCTGAAACCTGGCAAGTCCCCGGCACCGAAATTTTAGTACACCTAAAATTACATGTCTTAGTGTGCGCAAGCACCACTGCAGCCACTTCGAAAAACCTTACACACGCCATCTGCAACTCAAGTGGTCTCTTCGCTGCAAATTACAATAATTATCTCAAATCAAATATTCGGCCAGGAGCCATCATCAGGATTGAGGACACACACACACACACACACACACACACACACACACACACACACACACACACACACACACACACACACACACAGATACCCATGCACATGCCAAAACACTGAGACACGCACTCATAGTCATACTCACACTTGCATCAACACTCACACAAGCTCACACTCCGAATCACACCCACACTCACACAAAAATACCAATGTTTTACAGTATATAAATAGACGGTTGATATGTTGCTGGCTATAACTATACACCATAATAGAACAAGGCATGTACCGCTGCCCATGCTTTCCAATGTGTTGGGGCTAGTTGAACTGAGCAAAGTAATCATTGAAATGGAATGGAATCTGCATAGGTCAGTCTTTTTAGAACCGTCCAATGGGATTACAGTGTTCTCTCTCTCTCTCTCTCTCTCTCTCTCTCTCTCTCTCTCTCTCTCTCTCTCTCTCTCTCTCTCTCTCTCTCTCTCTCTCTCTCTCGGGCAATGAAACATTAAACTTCTGTCCCGTTTCTGGCTCTCCACCTAACAATTGCCTCCCGGAACTTATCAGTGACTTTTGGGAAAGTTCTTTGTCGATACCTGACCTGATCGTAAGACTAAAATGGGATCGGCATCTGACTGGTGCTGTTCCTGCTGCTGCTGGTGGTGGTGGTGGTGCAATGGCTGTGTAAGGTACCAGGGTAAGGTGCTGGCATATGTGTGGCCACCATTCCTGCAACTCACCAGGGCAGCGTAATGTATGAGGCCTAGTAATAGCCTACTAAGTAGGCAATTCGCACGGCGTGTAAATGCACTATAGCCCGTTTGTGTAGAGGTGCACGAGCGGCCTAGTGGATTCACATGTTCACCACACTTTGCAAATACCTACCGCGTCAGTGTATTCACAGCCTCAATCCAGCGTGCTCATGTACTTTTGCTGGTGGTATTTGCGCAAAGCACAAACGTGAGCACAAGGCTCATGTCCGAGTGCAAAGTACTAGTATTTTGCCAGCGCTTTCCTCGCATGAGTGGATATAGCTACCGCAGATTGAGTGAATATAGCTCTATACGCGCAAGTTTACGCATGGTGTGAATCGCCTATAGCTCAGACCACTGTATGTCTGCTGTACTGGTATTGTGTGCAGGAATTTGAAGACGTACACGATGCAGAGGACGCAGTGCACGACCTGAATCAGACAACATTGATGGGCCAAACGTGAGTGGACTAGGAGAGTATTCATTATGCTACTCAGCTTTGCTCCAGCAGATTTTAGATTCATAGCCTAAATGTAGGAAAAGAAGCAAAGGAAAACTGTACCTTGGCTTTAGGTTGGTGACAGATTGTCATTTACACCCCCTGCTGTGTTGGTTCTTGTAGCCATGCATTTGTGTGCTGTGATATTTGAGATAGCGGTATGCTGATTTGGTAGGCCTCTAGCACTGCCATACTGCCAATTCCAGTGCTAATATCTTATGCTACAAGAAAGCGTTGCACTAATGGCAATGCATGGATGATCTTATCTCTGTAGAGGCTATGCGCCGGTTACATGGTCATTTTGAGATGCCTTGTATGGAGTAACAAGGCCACGGCACAGCGACGCACATGCTCAGACGAAACCGCCGACTCACGCTGTATGCTTAGCTCCCGCATGCAGATCGGCCGACTCACCCTGTATACGTAGCGCCCAGAAGTGAATCCGCTGCTTCATCACCATGACATCATTTGCGTAACCTCTAGACTATACTTTGTGCGTGCTTTCTTTTGGTTTGTGCAGTGTAACTGTCCAATTCTCTCGTGGTCCCGGGTATAACCGAGGTGGCGGCGGCGGTGGTGGAGGACGAGGCGGTGGCTTCGGCCATGGTGGTGGCGGCGGTGGGGGTTACAATGGCGGCGGCGGTGGTTTCAACCGAGGTGGTGGCTACGGTGGTGGCGGTGGTTACCGTGGTGGTGGCGGTGGTGGTGACTATGGCTACGGAGGAGGACGTGGTGGACGCGGTGGCTTCTCAGGGTAAGGCAATATGGTCACTGAAAACTTGTGAAAGTGATGACTCCTGGTCAACGGTTAGCCACCCTGGCTGAAACAGCTACTTTCAACTCTTCCTCTCTCTAGAGCAGCAAGCTGCTGTGTTGCAAATTCTCCTGTGCACTGCGAGTGGGCCAGTAGCGAGTAGATTGTTAACACTGTTTTTAAAGTGGTGCCACTTGCTTCTATCCTAGACCTGGATGTCTGTTACAGTCACCGCTATAAATATAATCAATCCGATCCAATCCTGCTTGCCTGCACACACACACACACACACACACACACACACACACACACACACACACACACACATACATGTACTCACACAGGCACGGGCCCGGCGGTGGTGTGGCCACTCAAAGAACCGGATTCCGCGTCGTAGTGGAGAATCTCTCGTCTCGCATTAGCTGGCAGGTAAGAGAAATGTACTCGACCGCTGGGTGTTCTTATTGTGTGCATGCTTGTGTTGCTGCTGTTGTTGTTGCTGCTGCTGCTGCTGGTGCTCTTGTGGTTGTGGGTGTTGTTGTTGTGGTTGTGGTTGTTTCTGCTACTGCATGTTGGTCAAAGAAGATAGCTCCATGGAGAATTATGCAAGGCCTGTTCACAATACAATACATACAATACATGGCATGTCCATCTGGATGGAAAGAGGGTATGTAGTTGGGGGCAATAACAGTATTAATTTATTAAACATCACGCCATAGTGAAGTGCATGCGCCCTCGACTCCTCTCAGTTTGCGCTTGTACAAGTGCACAACGTGCGGAAAATCCTCCAAAGCCCCCTAATATCAAATACACAGGGCTGAAACAATTTGGTCCGTACAACGCCATTTTCTTCATAGGCTGTTGAAGCTCTGTGACCCTGAAAGGGTTTCACTAGCTTTTCCCAACAAATATAAGCAATGCACCTTCTGCATCCAGACCAAGGCTTTTGCCCTCCGCTCTGAATACACTGTGTCCCTTTCCCTCGCTCCCTGCACATGAACAAACAACTTGATTTTGTTTCTTGAACCTGTTTCCACGTTGAAAGCCATGTGACCTTTGATCCCGTCACGAATGATGGTTGAACGTGTGCACACGATGACTACGTGTTGTGGCTCATGAGTTGGAAAACAACCTGAAGAGCTTGATTGCGAAACGCGGTAATAGGCCATTCACACGACGTGCAAACTCACTGTTATCGTATCGTCTCCAAGGATGTTTACTCGCATACGATAAACTTGGACACACGTGCAACGTTTGTCCGGCACCGTGTGAACTGGATCACGGTTTGCCAGTGTTATCTTGATCACACGTGTGCAAGTGTTTGCACGTCGTGTGAATGGCCTATTAGCGCCAAATTTGAGATTTTGAGATCAACCCAATCAAAAGGTCCAAGAGCACCTTCAGGCAAAATTTCACATTCAAAATCTGACTAGAACCAATTCTAAACTGTCGGCCAAATTTGGGTTTGGATACAAACTACACAATCGCTTTTTGGCCATTATGCGAAAAGCGATGAAATGGATCTACAGCGTTTCCCAATGAAACTCTTTGTTACTACACTGAGCTCCTGTACTTGCATGCGTGCCCGGCGCCCTGAAACTGCATTGGTGCTGTACTACACAATAGGCTAATCTCACTCACACAGCATGTGAATTCTGATGCGGAGTGCCATAGTCCCAGACCACTTGTCTGCACATCAGACCCATGGCCATTGTGGTCGTCAGCAGCTCCTGATGACTTAAAAACCAGACAAATAGTCGTGTAGTACGAGAGCTGTGCTTTCTTGCATCTTCATTCTTGTGTGAAATAAAGCAGATATTCTGCCATAATCAATCTAGCCGCCTTTTGCTAAGGGCCATGTGTAAAAAATAATAAGCGTGTGCCAGAATTTTTGATTGTTGGGAAAACTTGCGGAGGTGTCCTCAGAATTGATGCGATCAATACTCCAAACTAGCAGTTGGCTACTTTTAAATAAGTTGCTATGGTGTTTATGAGGCTGCGCACCTAGCCAATTGGTCCAGTCTGGACATGTGTGTGGCGAGGGATATCGCATGCGCTGCTCTTGTTGTGTGTGTTTGCCGTACTATGATTGTGTGTATTCTGTGTTCCCATCAGCTAATCTCACCTGATTACTTACTCGCCGGGCGGGCTATACTGATGCACTTCTGCTGTCTAGGAATTTTGCCATTTTCTCCGAGATCTGCATCCGAGGCTTCTGTTTTCTGCCTAAAAAACGTGTGGGATTTGAAAACGAACTAGCATGACTTTACCCTGCCAAACATTCTCCAAGCCAGGCCAGGTGGCTTGAGTTGCAACCGAATGCATGTGGATTGTGGAAACTCCGTGGTACATTCTAGCCGTTGCTTACTATGCTGTAGAAGAGAGGCTTTATCGGCAATCCGGCATGACCCCAGCGAACCGCTTTCCGTGCTGTGACCGTGAAATGGAGACCGGGTGATTTACTGTGCAATTGCTCTCTTTGTACTCTCTGGGCGGTGCACTGTGTCTCCTCTCTCGCGATTATAATGTACACCGTATAAGGTTCATACTGGGTAGTCGGTTAGCGACATGGTATGTACGATGTTGTCACAGCTAGCCAGCTAAATAGTCTTGTGCATTTGGTGTACCTGCTGCTGCTGCTGCTACATATAATTGCTATCATACAGTATAGATGACATAGGTGTGTACCACCACACAGGCACAGTGATTCATTGAATTTGTTGCAGGCTTGCACAGCACCCTACTGACTTGTCAATTTCATTGGAGAAGACACGTCACAGAACATGTGCCTCGTTCCGGATTATCTTCGTCGTATGAGCATATCCTGTACTATGATATAGCGTGCTGCTGTCCTTTGTAGCCAAAGGCATTTTTTCGAACATTGCTGCTGTACCATCCTTGAATAGTTGTGAAAGATCTTCTGCCTTCGATCTACACTTGTATGATTGCTGACCGTGTGTTGTTCTGTTCATTGTGTTGCCTGGCTCTCCTCCCTTCTCTGTTGACTGTTTACAGGATTTGAAAGACTTTATGCGATCGGTAGGAGAAGTTACATTTGCTGACGCTCACAATAAACGCGATGGAGAAGGGTGAGTTTTTTTGGTACAGTAAAACTAAAGGCGACCACCTGTCCCAGCAAACCACTGCAACCAGGACCAAGGGATGCTATTTCCAGTCAAATGACCCTGGATAAGGATACCACGTTTTGAATGTCACTTGAGTGGTCGTCTTAGACAGGGTTCACTGTGTCTACTTCACTCCCTGCTCCTCGCTATCTAGCTTGTGTTCCTCTTGGAGATGATGGATGTGCTTTCTAGTACACGTAGGTCACTTGACGTTGTGGCAATCTGCCTATTGAGTATTGACAGTCAACTTGTATACAAAACAATGTTACTAGGTTTTCTAATTGTCCGCCATGTTGCTAGGTTTAGTCTGATTGTCGTGGCTGTACGTGCCGTGACGGCTTGTTCTGTCATCTGAATTCCTTCTGTGTCTAGACTCGTGGAGTTTGCCACATATTCTGACATGAAATCAGCTCTCCACAAGCTCGATAAGACAGAGCTGAGTGGAAAGAAGATCCGACTGTATGAGGTAAGTAGTACGAGGTGATTCGCAATTTTTGGACATGTCGCAATTTTTGGACAAATCAGTTAAATATGGAAGTAGAGTCCTCCTGAGTCGTTGTCCTTTCCTTGGTGGACAAATCTTTGACAAGAGTGTCTTCGTGTGGTCCTCAAGTTTCTTCGTGCCAATTTTTAGCGGTGAAGGCCGTTTCTTTCTGGGCGTTTTCTTTATTATTCTTAGGTAATGCAATGAGTAATTTTGAAAATTTTGATTAAATAATAAATGATTGAGGATTCCGTTGACTCTACGTCGCATAACGGAGAGAATGTCGACATGGGGGATGTTGTATCCCTTCCATCAACTCCAGGGACTACGTCTTCCAGCTCGAATCCGCCTGGAAGAGTCTCCTTGCCTTCTCAACCGGTGCGTTTGTGGAGGGGTTCTGGTCAGGAGAAATCTCTTTTAGCAGTGCGAGCGTTCCACTCACCTGGCACCAGTGAACACTTCCTAACCAAGAAGGACGCAGCGGCTAGTTACGGCGCTAGCCCTCCACTCTTTGCGAAATATGAGAAGGAGATGGGCCACACTGGAGTGCTCTCCTCTGTTCTTGAATATGACGTACATGAAAACCCTTGAGTGACCCTTTAAATTGTGTCACATTTAAAAGCCTTGAAAAGCTTGCTATGAACGGCCTGTCATTAGAACTCATATCAGCCGGTCTCATAGGCATAGCCTTACCCCATTTTCATGTCCTGTGCAAGTTTTACTTGTTCACACCATTGCAGACTGCTGCTAGATGCTATTTAATTTAGTTGTCCAATAATTGCTCGCATTGAAAAAGCAGTAGAAAAAGACACCTTCAATCAGGTCAAGTTGTGGCCGCATGCTTCAACTCTATGCCTTCAGGTGTGTGTGGTGGTGGTAAAGCATAAGTGTGCCAGTAGAAAAGCAAGAAAGAAATTTTATTTATCTTACAAACCAACATAATGGGGTGCTATTTAATTTGAGTGTCCAAAAATAGCAAATGACCTCGTATGAGTGTCCCACGCAGTTCCATTCACAGCTCCATTGCACTAGCAATGCTTTTCGTTCCTTGCTCTGACATCAGAATTTTTTTACAGAGGACAGCAATGAAAGCAACACTTTGTTAGCGGTACTCGGCACATTACACTGTGGCCAGATCTGGGATCATCATCTGAATAAGCCTTATGCACGTTGTACAGATGCACGAAATCCCGTAGAATCTCGTAGAATCCCGTAGACCCGTTTGGGTGTTGAATGTGCAGGACCCTGTTGTGTTCACTGCTATTTCCACTAAGAAATGGGCCCTGAAGGCATTTTATACGAAAACTTTTTTTCTGACAAGGATGTAGCTAGTCATTAATCTAACCAAAGTGAAGAAGCTGGAAAAGCAATTGTTTGCCATTAATTAGGCTAAAATTAGTTAACTGCGCATGCATAGCACACAATGAACACCCAACCGGGTACTTATGTACACACCTACGGTCCTAGTACAGAACTTTGTACATCTGTATAACGTGCTTAAGGGCTGTACAGTCTGCAGCAAGATTCTTGTCCCAGATGAGTAGCTGCTAAACATGCAGGTGTTCATGCAGGTTGCAATTTAACATTGCACTCCGTGCTCCGGCTTCCGGCTTTGCTGATCTCATTCACCTTCCGCGCGGTTTCTTTTGCTGTTCTTGTGTCCGTGCTCTCTTTGCAGGAAGCAGATCTCAACATGACGCGGTCTTCACGATCGCGATCACGCTCTCGCTCCAGATCTAGGTCACCGAGGAGAAGCAGCAGCCACAAGAAGAAGAAGAGAAGACAGTGAGTGACTGACCTGCTGGACACAGTAAAACTTCACAATGTAGCGTACATGCACTTCCAGGGGCCGTAATACCTGTACATGTACTTTATAGCCAAGAGGTCAACTGACTGGTATGGCATGTGCTATCCAGGTCCTCGAAAAGAGTACTTTGTAGCTGATGGCATGTGCTCTTCGGATACTTTATAGTTTTATGCTTAAGTTACACTGTTGTTGCTGTGGGTGTGTTTGTTGTTCCTGGCCATGTACCGGTGCTCAACTACCGGACTCCTGCCAATATAATACACCACTCGTCAGGCACGTGCACCGTATGAGTTTTTTGGTGTCTGGAAACCACCTTTTTTCGGGCAATCTTGCCAAAGGAAAAGCGTGCCTATTGGATTGCTTATCGTGCATCCACGTCGATCGACGGGCAGTTTACAGTACAGTGACTATGTCCTTATTTCGAAGTGAGAGAGAGAGTTGCTTTGCATGCAGTTCAAAATACATTATTCTCTCTTTCTTCAGTGGAGAGTAGCCACAGAGAGATCGATCTAGAGATCGATCTCTAGCTCTGGTTCGCTCCTGGATTGGCGATGACATTCAAGAAATCCGTCTTGTCTCGAAATTTGAGTCAAGCACGCGCGATGCAAGTCAGTTCAAGGATATAATTGACGATATCTCCTTCCAAACTGTTGACTCAAATCAAGATGATAGCCTTTCGTTCTCGCTCATGTGCGCAGCAGAGATGTTCGTAAAAAACGTTGTCGACTGGAAGACGTAAAAATGTGCGTCCCTGATCCACTTGCGCTGCTTCAGAACGAAGCGCTGCTCCGGCCGCGACTCAAGGACGCGGGGCTTCGCTTTTCTCCCGCGACCTTCCATCGAAGCAAGGTCCATAGCTCTTTATTGAAATCATGTGGAACATTGCCAATACATGCCGAAAATTTCGTCATAACAGAAAGAAAGATACGTCGAATGTAAGCAGTGTTTTGATGTAACAAACATGCCTGCATGGAGTGGACTAGTGAAGTACCAGACATAGTGTTATACTTATAGACTGTATACATGTAGCCTGGGCGGCTAGGCCTATCAAACTTTTACGGGTTCAATATGACAAACATGTATATGTATATGAGTACATTGAGTTTTGCACCCTCTTTGCAAATACTTTTTGAAGTGCTGGTATGTAAAAGGTAACCCGTACCCGTTTTATCCTCCTACCGGTTATACATGTACATGTACCAACATTTCCATGTAACATCGTCCCCTCCCTAGCCCTCCATTCCTCATTACTCTTATTTCTGTCCTTTCTACCCCTGTACCTGGTGCCCTCTCAGACGCGTTTGTGCCGGCATGATCTGATGATAGCAGTCGGAAGAGCCCTGCATCTCATCAGCACCGGTGTTCATTGGTGCCCTGCAACCCTGATCTTGAGCTCCCCCCCCCCCCCCCCCCCCCCAGCCTCCTCCCTAGCCTTCGCCGTTATCTCCGACGGGATGTTCGGGGGATGCGCATGTGCACAAATACATAATTATACAGTGGGTCTCCAGAAGTTTGTTTACCAACTCTAGAAACCCCCCTTTCAAGAGTCGGTGCACGCCACTGCTCGTATATCTTCGACATGAATGGTTGGGAGAACGCTGCGTGTGTTTGTTTTACACTGAAAATGCTAAATGTCAGCTCCGACAGGCCACAGGTCTCCGTTGCCTGCCATCAGTTGCTCGTTATACACTAGTTACAGTGGAGATTGGATACAACGACACTCCTTCGGGAGAGAACAAAATGTCACTTTATTCGGGGTTCAAGATTGGCACTTAGAAGTTAGCACTGTACAGTCAATAGTCTACAGCACCTACTACCAAATTTGGTCAGGATCTAACCAAAAAAGTGATGTTAGTATGCAATATGCATATCAAAACGCCAGGAATTTATTGCAGATGCGCATGTGCACAATTCATACGGATTTCAGATGTACATGTATGTGTCCTTACGGTGTGTACATGTACATCGTACTTCGGCTCTGCAGTACAGGGCACAGTGTACAACACGCTTGGCCTGGAGATCCTCGCATGTGAGATTATGTGACACAGTCTCACACAGACCTATTCCATGCAGTCCGCCTGATAGCGAAATTGCAGCCTATGTATGGGGAAAGTCGTTATACTCGATGCATTTTTCTTCGGGCACCAAAAATTTATCACTAAATCCGATCTGTCGTCATTTTCGCGGTTGTTGTACCGGATCTAAAATGTACGCAAAGGACTTGCTAAACGACTTGGGCAACAGAATTGTGTCGCTAAACTCAATCTGTCGTTATATGCAAGGTCGTTATATTCAATCTCCACTGTACCCCAGCATTCAGAAGAAGGCGACTAGATGTAGACGCATGTTGTAGCTCGTGATCACGGCAAAGCAGCCGAGTCACTGGCGGGGGGGGGAGGGGGGCATTCGGGCGTTTTGAATTCCTACCCTGTGTGCAATTTGCCTTGCCCACAACTCAACTGATTCAAACCTATTCGCCCTTGCCTCGTGACTCTCAACCCGCTTTTATTGCTCCTCATTGTTGTCGTACATGTATTTGTGACTCTGCTCCTTCTTCTCCAGTAGCCACCGAAGCCGCTCACGCTCCGAGTCCAGAAGCAGAAGTAGAAGCGTTAGCCGCAGCCGAAGCAGAAGTTATAGTCGCAGTCGTAGTCCCTACTCTCGTTCTAGGAGCAGAAGTCGATAGACTAACTTTCTCGCACTACAATGCAATTGCATGGGGTGTTGCTCATACAAACAGCCGCTTATCTTGATGTTCGATGTGCTAGGGGTGTGTTGTGCGTTGGCCTTTTGGCTGTGTGCTCGTGTTTGGTGCATGGGTGCGTGTGTGTGTGAGTGTTTGGTGTGCGTGTCTGTTGTGTGTTTGGTGTATGTCTGTGGTGTGTTTGCGTGCTGTTTGCTGAGCTGAACTAACAGTGCTTGGAGTAGGACCTGGTTATGATTCTTGAGTGTTTGTTTGTGCGGAGGTTATCCTTTTTGGTGTTGTTATTATGCCTTGCCGTCCCAGTCAAGATTTCCCCTCCCCCCACATATTTATCTATTGACCACATTATTATAAACCATACCGGAGTTTTCTGTTTTGTTTTTTGTTTTTTTGCTTCTTCTTTTTTTTCTCCATTTCTTTTCCTGAACTTGGTTATCTCAAACCCCTGCTCCAACACAAAATGTGGTGTATCCCTGAATCAGTTTTCAGTACACAGTACTCCTTTGTTGCATGGTTATGTATTTGTCAGTGACATATTGTACGGGATTGGGGCTGGGATTGAAGGCATGAGTCAGAGAGCTGTGACCTAGCTGGGGTTTTTTTCAGTCTCATGTAGAGCCTCCTACACTACAGGAGCTCCGGTGGATTTGTAGCATAGTGTGTGCATTGCATCTCCCCTGCCTGTGGTCTGGCTTCATGATCAGGGGCATAGCAGCCGGCCCGGCCGGACCACTTTTTTTTTTTTAAATGCCCAAAGTGCCCAGAATGCAGGATTTTGCACCCTAATTTCAAAAATTTGAATTCAATTTCCCAGTTGGACATCCCCGCACCCCCCCCCCCCCCCCCCCCCCCCCTCCGGCCGGACCACCTCCAACAGCGGTGCTACGCGCCTGATGATAGCCCATCCCGGCACTTCATGACCTACGTCCTACAGGCTACTGACTCAGTACAATACAGTACCTGGTGCATGGCATTGCACTACCACATTCCCTGGGCACAACAGCCTCTCTCACACAGGCAAGCATAACGCCAAGAGTGATGCTGCATGGGCCCAGAAATGCCAGTTTGCCTTATGTCACGGATCTGTTCGATGTGCTAGGGGTGTGTTGTGCGTTGGCCTTTTGGCTGTGTGCTCGCGTCTGGTGCATGGGTGCGTGTGTGTGTGTGTGTGTGTGTGTGTGTGTGTGTGTGTGTGTGTGTGTGTGTGTGTGTGTTACGCGATGGGCATGTCCGAGGTCTGAGGTGTTTGGTGTGTGTGTCTGTTGTGTGTTTGGTGTATGTCTGTGGTGTGTTTGTGTGCTGTTTGCCTGAGCTGAACTAACAAAATGTATGTCAAGCAGGGAGCCCTAGGCCCTACACATGTGTGGGGCTCCTATGCCCAGTGGCCTCAGCTCACTTGAAGAGGGTAGTTCAAAATGGCCGCTGCCGCAGACCGATGTCCTTGGCTTGGACACTTATTTTTGACTGCTTTACAATGTCCAATTTCACAAACAATGGCACATTGTGCTGTGAAGTGGGGAGGAGTGATAAGCTCCATCCAGCCTCCTGATGATATCAAGAGAAGATAAAACTGTTTATCTACTCTTGAATATTGAAAGCGAAAAAGCAAAAAAATTACTCTTTTTGTACGAGAGATCTCTGGGCTCGTTCCCGGTCCAGATCCCGGATATCCGGATTGCGGATCCCGTTCCTGGCGTGGCCCTGGTTGCTAGCATGCCACTGGTTGGCTGGTCGTTGCTGGGTCCCCCAGCGACGCATCCCCACGCCAGGAAGGCAAGGAGACGACGCGCGCAGGCGAGGTACGGTTTTGGTAGAATGCATTTCAGAGGGTTCCAGAGAAATGGACACCGAAACGTGAAGCTCCGTCCTTCCTCCTTCTGGATCTTTAGTGTGCCAGCTTTTAGATAACCCTACTCTTGGCTAGAAAGGAGCTGAGAGAATGTCCTTGGGCCCCGTAGCCCCTTCTTGTAGTGTACCTCACACGGACGATGCATCCAGTCTTGGCAAGAGCCAAGAGGAAAGAGTAGACAGCCACCAGCAGCAGACTCACTTGGAATTCAACGGCGGAGATCTGAGCGATCTGGGCTGGCTGTCGCAATACAAGCCATTCCCTACTGTACCTCGCTCGGAGGAAGCGGACACTGTTGCCGAGTCTGTGGAGTCCAGCATTCAAGCCCAGCAGCGGTCAGCACTGTCGCAGAGCTGTTTACCCTACAGCTACAATGTCGATTGCAACAGCAATGGTAACAGGAATGGTGCTAACAACAAGCCCATCTGCAGATGGCCCAAACCAGCCTTCAGCTATTCATGTCTGATCGCCATGGCACTGAAGAAGAGTGAGACAGGCCAGCTCCCTGTGCACGATATCTATGACTTTATGGAGTGAGTAGATCTACTGGCACATGTACTGTACGTGCAATGATCCACCTTGCCACAATGCTGTCTGACATCATAATACCTAGTGTACAAGTGTGGTGATAAATGCATGTTGGGCGTTGTATGCGGTGTGAAATTCAACCACAAACTACTAGTATTCCTGTTCTGTGTTTTGTAGTCCTCACTCCTCACTGAGCACATTGCTGAAGGCAGATGACGCAATGCTGTAGCTGTGCTCCGTGACATTGGCTTGTGCCTGATCAAACAACGGCTGTAGTGCGCCGTTCCTGGAACTCTGTTTGGCATCATCGAGACGTTATGGTCAAAAAGATTCTTTAAAACTGTATTTGACACTAGTGGTTGGACAATATGGTAGTAGCGATGCACCTGGCGATATGGCGGTAAGCACACGCCAACCCACACACACACACACACACACACACACACTCTCTCTCTCTCTCTCTCTCTCTCTCTCTCTCTCTCTCTCTCTCTCTCTCTCTCTCTCTCTCTCTCTAAGCTGCAAAGTTACACTCTGGTACAGAGCTCTCCTCACCACCACCATGGCCACCGCCATCACCGACGCCGACGCCACCGCCACCACCACCATCAGATCATACATACAGCTGCAGTGGAGTCTTCAAATTTATTCTTCTGTTTTCAAACTCCATGCGAAGACTTCCAAGGACACGGTGATGGTAGTGATGGTGGTGGTGGTGATGGTGATGGTGGTGAAAACAAAAGCTCTGTATCAGCGTGTAGCTTTGCAGCTTAAAGAGCGGGTGTGTGTTTAACGCCATATCGCCAGGTGTGTCTTTATTACTCCGCTTTACCACCGTATTCGACCATAAGTACAGCTGCAGTGGAGTCCTAACATCCAACCTCTTGATAATAGCGGTGTCCGAGTATCTGCGGTTCACCATGTATCCCCATACTCCGTCTGTTCAACTCATGATGTGCCTACTTGTCTGTGCGCTTGTCCGGCTGCAGGTCAAATTATCCCTACTTCAAGACCGCACCAGATGGTTGGAAGGTCAGTGTACCGGTCTAGCCTCTCTCCGTTTGTACCTCTTTTGTTGTCTGACTTCTCCTATCCTTGCAACTGCCTCTGCTTCTACAAGGAGTTGTTGCAGAGTGGCACCCTGAGTTGATACAAGAGTGTTTAGTAGTAGCAAGAGTTCATAACCCCCAGAGTGTGCAACGTCACACAGATCTCTGTCACGACTCGTTTTCAACATTGCGCCATTTTCATGTAGCTGCGCGTGCAGGCCGCGACATTCGCTACATGAAAATGACGTAATGTTGAAAACGAGTCGTGACAAGACCCTATCGCGCGTTGCACACTCTGGGGGTTATGGACTCCTGGTAGTAGGGCTCTCATTATGCTGGCACTTCACCTGCACCTCTTCGCCTCTCTCGCATGATCACATGACGTATGCCAACAATGCCCCCCCCCCCTCCCATTCACATACATGTATACAGGCATGCAACCAGAGAGCTTGCACTCATGGTCGTTTGAGTTGCTTGCCATGTGTGCGTGATTGAAAATCTCCCCGTGCTGTGTGCGACGGTGGGGGGACATTTGCGGGTTGCAGGCATCGTGGTTATACCTCCGCGGAATATGCTCGTATTTTTACCGATAATTCTTTTGAGCATTGCTCAAAATTTCGACCGATTATTCCCGTAATTCCACCAATAATTCTCACAATAATTCTTTTTTCTTCCCTTTTTTGCAGATACCGTGCCGCGTACGGGTTTTTTGCCACTTGTACGGGCAAAAAAATCACGGTTCGCGTGAAACTCGGCTGGAAGCTTTTTTTTCTTTCTTTTTTGAAATACCGGGCGATCAACTTCAGGATCATGAGCTTTTTGGTACAAATCAGGGTGTTATAAATGGAAAAAAATTGAAAAAAGGGGGGCATTGCTCAAATTTTACCGATTATTCCAAACAAATTGCCAATAATTCCCGTTTAAAAAATCACACCGATAATTCCCGAAACTATGCCGGCACATTCCGCGGAGGCCTAATCGTGGTAGAGCCCACTATGACTGCCATGAAATTCTCTATGGAGTGGGTGTGATGGTATGGGACATGTACGGGATTCCTGGACTAGGCATATTGTCACTACGTCATGAGTATAGTATACATGTATACATGTATGGTACACACTGCACATACCTACAGGCCGATAATCACTCTGTGCACACGGAGTAGACAGCGTGCGCGGCTGCTGACAAGGACACATGACTTGCGCCTACTGGCCACTCACACGTGACCACTTGGTCACAAGTTAGCAATGAAACTAGGCTGATGAAGTTGTAACTCGGAGTTTCGTGGCTATCCACCACTCCTCGAGCAACATCCTTGTCTGAGGATTGCTGGATAGCCATGAAAGTCCGAGTAACAACTACCATATTTTCCGGAGTATAAGCCGCACCCCCCCCCCCCCCCCGCCCCATTTCTTTGCCACGAAATACATGTAGACATCTACTAGTATACAAAAGAGAAAGGACCAAGGAACTACAAGTTACACTATACTGTCCACTAACACCACCAGTTACTAAACAATCAGCTCATGCGGTAACATTGCACGACACTGACCGACGGTACTGACGTTCTACAACTAACTGGCTAACAGCTCTAGCACATCTTGGATGCGCACTCCAACAGCCTTCCAACTTGGAAGGTTCTAAGTTATAGAAATAACATAAGGAGGGGAAGGTGAGCGCAACCAAGATAAGCACGAGCTATCCTATTTATGAGAAAGGACCAAAATGTTAGTCATGTTACTTCATGTAGTACATGCTATCCCTAGTTTGTGCCCAACGCTATCAACAGTTATAACAGTTATAACAGTTATAAGCATTGTGTTGTGTAGTCAGATGATAGAGCTTATCATCAGGTCGTTGAATGTCAGTACGGTCAGACCTCAGAGTCGCTTATCCGGTCCTCTTTTATCCGGATCCCTCACCATCCAGAAGAAAATCGTTGGTTACTGATTTACAGCATATGGCATGCATATATACAGTAGGCGTGTTCGATTATCCGGTTCCCTCGCCTATCCGGATATTTTTGTGGAAAACGGATGTGTGCGGTTGAGCGAGGTCTGACTGTATCATATCAGTCAGTATTGTGCTAGCTGTTGCACCTTCTGACTACACTACACAACACCTTGCTTAGAACTGTTAAATTGTTAATGTTGGACACAAACCGCGGAAACCGTACCTTTTGTAACATGTGCACGTCAAAAAACTTCTTCAAAAAATGATACGATACATCGTAGATGAGTTATCCTGAGATACGGCAAATCTGAGATACGGGTAGTGCCCAGTCCCAAGGTACCCGTACCCGGATAAGAGACGTCCGAGTGTACTTCAGCCTAGTTCCATTTCTAACTTGTATTTTGGAACTGCCGTCATGGTATTGAGCACATTTTGCGAGGGTTTAGCAACATAGCCTATGACGACTTGGTTACATTGTATAGAGGTTTATATTCGATTACATCATCATTACATCATCAGTTGCGATAATTATTTGGCAACGTAGCCGCACGGCATGTGATGCACTAGCTCAAACAAAACCATGGAAATCACCGACTCATGCTAGTAAGCTGTATACATAGCGCCAAGAGTACATAAACAAGAGTGTGCAACTCCGCAGCTAGCTGGTACAATCAGACCTCGCTTAACCGCACACATCCGTTTTCCACAAAAACATCCGGAAAAGGCGAGGGAACCGGATAATCGAACACACATACTGTATGTATGCATGACATACGCTGTAAAATGGTAACTAGCGATTTTCTTCCGGATAAAAGAGGACCGGATAAGCGAGGTCTGACTGTACATGGCATGGTCCAGAATTTTTTTGTGGACGTTACCTTTTTCAGAACCTATGATGCATGTCATACAAAGCACGTGCAAGGCATGCGCTGGAAGACGGCTTTCATTGCGAGTTTTATGTTTCAAAACGAATATTTTAAATCTTTTTCTCCCGCTTCTGAAGCTTTTTACCGTACTCACAGTGCAAATTTAGCGAAACCCTGCTGAGTTCACGCGGGCACACACTCGCAATGCCTGCCTCGTACGGTATGACCAAGAGTGTGCAACTCGACGATCCCTCAGCCCACGGCGGAATGTTTTTATGACATCAGTCTTTGGCGGCGGTTTGGCTCACTGATGCCATCATGCGTAGCCAGAGATCAAAGTACAAATAATTTGTACAGTACAGCTACGGTAGTCGAAGCAGAACAACGGACGATAGATCGATGTGTCTTGAACCTGACGAACTCTCACCGTATCTACAAAACAAGCGCGGGAAAGCATACCCACTTCATCATACTTCTGCCAAAGAATGACGCAATAAAAAATTCCGCCGTGGGTGAACCCATCGCAGCTCAAGACAGGAGTTGCACACTCTTGGTATTGACTCATGATCTCCAGAAAAGGTGACGCCAACAAAAAAATTCCGCCGTAGTCCAAACCAATCAGAGTTGCACACTCTTGTCTATGTACTCTTCTTGAAAGCGTCCATACTAGTAAGCGTTTCCGCTGACTCGCGCTGTATACATAGCGTCCATAAGCGGTTCCGCTGACTCATCACCATGACGTCATTTGCATAACATCTATATGCGCGAACACCCGATTTGTAACCTTGCGTCTCACCAGAATGCAGTGTCGTGCATTAGTATTGATTGATTTCCCTCTTTGTGTGAATTTGTACAGAACTCTGTGCGTCATAACCTATCACTGAACAAGTGGTTTGTGAAGGTCGACACTGGTGATAAATCTGTCAAGAAGAAAGGCTGCCTGTGGGCCATCAACGAGATACGTCGCACGGCCATCGAAAACGAAATCTCGAAATGGTCACGGAAGAACCCGCATGCCATCCTTGCTGCAATGGCGAAGCCTGGACAAGGTAGGACTCTCGAAGTACTAGTAGATACAGGACCGCCGAAAACAGTCTGTTGCTCCAGCCATACCATACATAGCCTTTCATTTCTTTGGGTATGATACCGTAAAAGCCCATGTTTAGGCCCCGGGCGTATAGAATAGCGGAAAACGTATGCGAGAGGCGGAAAAAAATAAAAAATGACCAAAAAATAAAAAAAGTTTATTAGACCTTTGTTCACACTAATCCACCAATACACCATGCAAAATAGCATCCATAGTTAGCAACTAGTATGTGGTAGGAGCTTCTGTCACAATCTGTGCATGTGCAGCTAGAGTGTGCACAAAAAATGGCGACCTCGCATCATGTTTCGCGCAGGCCAGGCCACATTATGTACATGTGCATGAGTGTGCTGGTCCCCACATGTACAGTCAGTGCAGCACAGTTTTTTTTTCTTTTTTTCTTCCAGACTCCTGAATCGTATGCGTGCGGGTGACGAGAAACATAGAAATAAAAATGTGTGGCCTAACATCAAAGAAGTTGAGAGGCTGTGTGCAATTTCACGATTTGAGTTGGTTTGTCAACTGATGACCATTATGATCTGCTTTTCGCATTACCTCAAAAGAGGCAGTAAGATCTGCTTCTTTGTATGTTGAATTGAATTGTGATTGAAAAGTGAATGTTTTGGACTCGGACCAATTCACCCTTGACCAGAACGTTTCCGGTGATGCGCTTTGTTTCATTGCAGTTGTCAGCAACACCGGCTGACACTCAGCAGCTACTTATCACACCAAGGCTTGTGATTACTGTAATTTCACTAATTTTCGGTGTACTTTAATTTTCGGTACTTTCGGTGCATCTGCTTCATACCTAAAATTTCAATACACTGAACAAACACTAACACACATAATCCAATAGGGAACTGCTTCTCTGTACCGAAAATTTCTGTTCACCTAACCTGGCCTTTTGCCCTCATACCGAAAATATTGAACACCGAAAATTTCTGAAATTAGAGTACTGAGTTGTTCGTTTCAGTGATCATATCCACCATCAAGGGTGGGCCTGGGAAAAGAGCGGCTGCTGTAAATTATATTTCATTACAGCAAATGATATTTGTAAACTGAGAAAAATTCATGAAAGAACATTTGGTGGTTGTCTAACTTTACAAGTTCCGTCGGTCGCGGGTTCCTACATACATGCATGGCAGGAGCATTAGCAGGAGCATTATGAAATTTATGAAATAAAAACAAATACAAAATATAATTGATTTACTTTACTTCAAGTATAAGGGAGAAGCGATGTCATCTACACATTTGCATGAGCTTATATGCATTCTGTAATGTTTGAATTGACATATCCTGACTTCTCGTCTTTTCGATGAAAAACATTTGCTCCATGTTCTTTCCTGCAGAGAGTGGTGACATTGGCATTAGCCAGACTGACTTGACTCACCCATCCCTGAGTATGCCTCCGAGTGGTATTGGATCAACCGCAGCCTGTCCAAACCTTGTCATGCCAATACCACAGTATAACCTGCAGTATCCAATGGCGGCCATGGCCACAGCAGCAGTACCAGCATCAGTACCAGTCACTTCGTTGCCTGTGACCACTGCAGCAGCCACCGCGGCAGTGTCAACAGCAACGGCATCCGTTACGCCGGCAGCGGCTGCTGCAAGCCATACAGCTGCCACGGGCACAGCAGCAGCAATGCATATGGGAAACCCCCTGATGACCATGTCGCCATTCGCTTTGCCCGTTCTATGGCCTGGCTATGCTATGCCTGTGCCAGGGACTGTACCCGTCACCAATGGCGTGCATGTCCCTGGTGGTATCCCTGTACCTGCAGGTATGCCGTCACTTGCTGCTTCAGTACCAGTACCACCAGGAACTATCCAGGTGCCTGGTGGAGTTATGATTCCCCCTGGCATGGCAATGGTCACTCCGTCATCGACATCTACAGCGGTACCCGCTTCAGCTGCTCCGGTGTCGTTGACAACAATGGCAGCGATAGCTTCAGGCGCAACGACAACAGCAAATTCGGCTGCGCCTGAGCCAGTGTCTGTATCCGCACCCAGCAACGAACAAGCAGGTTCCGAGAGCAGTTCACAAGGCAGTTCACAAGTACCTGTCTCCGTCACAGCCACAGTAGCACCAGTAGTAGCTCCAACTGGTGCTCATACCCCTCCGTCAGCCAGTCATGACGCATCGTGAACACATACTTCAATGCATCTGACGTGAGAGGGTGAGACATTGTGACCATGTGGACTCTTGTTTTTGCCTTTATCCCTCCCGTGCGGGTATGAATCCGCCTTTGGATGGCTGCCATATTGGCTTATCATGTCCAGTTCGTCACAGGACTCACTGCCATCTTCATGCTGTATCAATTTATATCATATTTCGGATGAGTTTACTCAGCAGTCATGCTCAAGTGCAGTATAATTCCAATGTTGACATATCTTATGGCATACAAATTGGAGAATGATTTTCAGATTATCTAAGCCGATATAGAAGTATGTTAGGCACTTGAACTTCGTAACATTAACCTCCAGGCAAATCATAAATGTTTTTTAAACCAATGAAAAGACTCGTCTCAGAGAGCACCACTTCCTATTTTACAATGTAAGTTGTTGCGTGTAGCACATAGCCTGTCACATAGCGGTTAGCGGACATACATGCCAATGTTTATCTTCAACCGATCGTGTATGCTAGCCATGAGCCGTTGCCACCGTCTTCACTCCTGTGACTGCTGCTTCTGCTGCGTTTGTCATCATTGTCAGGGCCTTATTTCTGAAACGGTTGACCCACCCAATCATGAGACCCAAAGTACGTAAAACCCGGCCCAGTCAGGCTGAATTTTACTTAAGCAGGGATCTCCAGATCCCTAGCCGTGCCCGGGCCCGACCTGATTTGATGCAACTTCGGAGAGCAACTGAGACCACCAAAACAGGTGGAAAGGAGGCCACCGTCCATGAAAAAGCTAGTCATTTTTAGTACTCCCTGTCTGGTGCGGTCTATCAAGGTGCACACCATGGAGGGAGGATCTACTCTCTGGACCTGGTGTGCAGTGCACTGTACTAATCTTGACTCTACTCTCATCTCAGGACAGAAGACCACATACTGCACTGCCCGCATATCGCAGGGAGTAGTATTTTCAACTCCCGACCCTGATGCATACAAATTGTATGGTTTATGCAAGAATTCATATAATATGTACTGTAAATATACAAATTTTCAGCAGCTATTTAATTTCGGCTATATTCGGCACTGACCCAAAACGCCGATGAAATTTTTCACAGCATCTGTCGCACTATACCATGCCCTCTACCCCACGCCGAAAATAAATTGCCGCCAAAATGTCAAAAATCGTAGTGCCGAAATTTTGCAGCGCCGAAATTTTGTATATTTACAGTATCTAATATTGACTGAGTACGAGGTCAATAGGGAATAAAAAAACCTCGGCTTTTATTCCCTATTGACCTCGTACTCAGTCAATATTAGATTTATCACGACTAGCCAAAGCCTGTGTTCAATCGCTAAAAAGGAGTCAAATATAAGCGGTCAATATAGCCCAAAGGAGTGAAATATTTATTTTATTTATTTATTCAACATCTAAATAAACATAATGCTTCCGATGGCAGCCAAAACGGGAAGATGTGGGTGATAGCCAACCATGGTAAAAGAAGGAGAAGATTATATACATGAAAAGGAAACAGCCGAAAAGCTATTATTGATTAGTTTTTACTTGCAAGTATTATTATTATGATGCACTCAGTCATCAGCAGGCCCTCAGATTCACTTTAAATTCTTTCAATGATGCAGAAGTCTTCACTGAGTCAAGTTGTAGCCATGCAAAAATCTATGGGAGTCTTTTAAAGGGAGTGATAAATGGGGGTATACCGGTAATGGACTCTTGGTTTATGGACTGTTGACGAAGTGTTTTAAAACATGTTGTACAGTCATGTACAAAGCCTATTCGGTACTCCCTGATACACTACGTAGCTGATTTCATACACTGTACGAAGATCGAAAAGTGCATACATAGTCATAGGGTTTATGCAGTGTATCAAGAGTAGACCTACGAGTACATGAAAACCATGTACATGTACATGTACATGATTGTACTCAAGAGTATAGAGGACTTTCCATTACATCACCTTTTTGGCGCCTTCCCGGTGCCCACCCAAAGATCACCCATAAGACAAGTCCGTGTCCTACGGTAAAATGTGCTTGGGTGGCAAAAAGAGAATCAAATGTGTTGTTCGGTGTACGGTTGAAAATGATGTTGCAGGCCGTCGCAGTGGTGAAGCACTTTTGCTTTTCTTTGATGTGGTGAATAGTTTCGGTAAGTCGCGAGGATTACTAGCCGCAGTTACTCTACTGTTTATTCCAGCCTTGAAGAGGTGTTGCCGCGAGAAGATTGACAGAATCCGTGGGCCCAGTACATTGATCCATATTTACCTATGGACGAAGACCTTTCAGCCAATCCCCCTGCGTTGGGTATCCAGGCCTCTCTAAATATTTAGTGAATGTCCCCAGCACATATGCAAAGGACTCTCTAAAGTCTTACAATAGCCCTGATGGATACAAATGTATGTGTCTCATTGCTGACTGGGTTGGCACATTATCGTGTCTTGTCCAATCGAAGGAAGAAACAACAACTGTCAACAAAATTCGTTTGCAAACGTCAGGCACTCGCAGAGTGTTTTTGCCGAACCTGTCCATCCTTGGGTAGCTGCTGAATTACCTGGAATTGTTTTTTGGCGCACACTGCACTTGCATGGTGGGCCTGGGAGAAGCATGCTCCCATGTTGCTGCAGTGCAGTGTTGTTTTGACTGAATTTACGTTGGAGACTGAAATGTGATGTGTGCTGAATGTCAACACCTACACCACTGGGTCACTCACCAGTGGCTGGCACCGTCAATGAACACTACACGAAAATAGTGTACATGGATTTTACTTCAGCTGGGCAGAAATTGGAGCACCGTGCCCATAACCTACAAGTAGTCTCACTTCTCTTTCGCTGCCTGACTCTCTCTCTCTGTCTCTCTTGCTTTGCATGCCTGTCAGTGTATCCATGTGTGTGTGTGTGTGTGTGCGCGTGTGTGTGCGTGCATGTGTGGGTTTTTCTTCCTTATCAGTACGAGTATGACAATGTTGACATGCGGTGGCTGGTAGCACAAAAGCTGACAAAGTCAAACACGGCCATCATCATCATTGGTCCTATGTAGCCAAAAAGTTGGTGTAGTGGCGAACTTAGTTGTCCTGATCCTAAAACACGCTGATGAATGCACATCCAATACAGCAATTGTTTTTTCCTGGTCGTCCCTCGACCTGGCATTCTCCATAAGCAGTTGCTGATTACCGGTAGAGTGTCCTCCATTACTGCCTTTGCAAGAGTTACACAAGAAGTAAGATCAAGATGATCCTCACCACAAGAAGATCAAGAAGCTGAATACATGTACCTAATTGTCCAGAAAGACAGAAGATGAGGTATACTAGTATGTGCCCCAGCAGATGAAGAACTGCACAGCGCAGCAACCAAGTGGGAAGCAGAAGAAGATTGCGCAAGTAGGTCGATCAGAGTACTGGTATTATTTTATCCATGACAAAGGAAATACACATTGTGCAGAACATGAAGCATACACACTCGCATGGAAGAGATAATGCCGGAGTTGCACCCAGGGCCAGTACTAGACTATAGCTAGCACCACCAGTCATGTAGAGGCACGTGCATAATAGAGCTGGGTACATTAGTCATTACCATCAGCATCAGCACTATCAATCATCAAACTCCAGCTATACCTTGCACCCCAACAAACTAAGTAAGTTGATAGTGTTCGGAATCATCTTCGTGTTTCCGCCTTTACTGGTGCTGCCACAAATGAGCTGAACAAGTTAGTTAGTTAATTCGATACGTACTGGGGTGACAGGGATGATCATGACTTTTCTCTTCGCCAACGAAGTGATGGAACAATATTCGTGTACTTCGAAGTATTTGCATAAGGAGCGAAGTTCTCGAGTCGTGTGTCCGTCATCCACTGGTTCCGTCGTTCTCCATCGTAGGGAAAACGATAACAACTCAAAGACGATCCAGGTGTGGGAACATCCGATCGCGAGCAGCCCTTTGGTATTCTCAAACTACAGTATGCAAAATGGAACTTCTTTCGAAAAACACTGTTTCTTTCCAGTGCAGTCTTCTTTTTTTGCCACCCAAGCTCCGTTTCAAGTCCTTTGATCGTTGGTGAACTCGATGATCTTTGGCCCGAATCCTCATAGGCCGCACGGTATGACTCATTGGAAAGTCCTCTATATGGGGGGTTATACTCTTGATGATTGTACTCTTGAGTGTATGGACTGTTGTACAAAGCCAAAGGCCACCTCCACAGGGTCAGTCACAAAGGTCACCACAAAAAGCACTGCCACCGCAAAGTCTTACCCGCGTTCAAGTCTCGTTTGTGAAGACAGGAGGAAGACATCATCATCTTCCGTTTTTTCAACTCCGATCCACGAGCTTTGTGTTCGTGTTTCTCCTCGGTTGTGGAAGAGTGCAGCTAGTTCTGAAAGGATTTTACTGCTGTCAATTTTCTGGACAACCAACCATGACCATGGAAATTGATCAAAAGTTGTTTGTCAAGCTGAAAAATTCTTTACCTCCGGAACTCTTTGAGCGCAGCGAAGCTCGCTTCTTGCTCAATACCCTCCGTGCTTGCTTCTTGTGGTTCGCCGCTGCGTATGTGGCAGCCAAGTTCATTCCAACAAGCCTGGGATGGTGGGCTTTGCCACTGTGGATAGTCTATGCTGTTGTGAACGGCACGTTCGGTTTTGGAATCTGGGTGCTTGCCCATGAGTGCGGCCACGGAGCTTTCTCGAAGAGCAACTTTCTGAACGACCTTCTGGGATACCCTCTGCATACCTTCCTGCTCGTGCCCTATTTCTCCTGGCAGTACAGCCATTCCGTGCACCATGCCAGAACTAACCACTTGACCGAGGGGGAGAGCTTTGTGCCAACCGTATTTGGTACCAGGGGGGAGCAATGGAAGAATAAATGGCGTCGTGTTGTCGGTGACGACGTGTTCAGCCTGTTCCACAACTTCTACTTTGTTTTGTTTGGCTGGCCTCAATACCTTCTGACTGGTGTGTCCGGCGGCCCTGGTCGTGGTCGCACCAATCACTTCGTGCCAGGCGAGAGTAACAAGCTCTTCCCCAAGAACTGGTGGCCAAAGATCTGGGCATCCACAGCTGGCATTCTGTTCGTGGTGGGCAGCGTGTTGTACCTGTCCGAGCAGTATGGGTATGGGCGCATGGCTGGCCTGTTCTGGGCCCCGCACCTGGTGACCAATGCTTGGTTGGTTGTGTACACCTATCTGCATCACACCGATGATGGTGCTCCGCATTACGATGAGACGACCTGGAACTTCACCAAGGGCGCGTTGTGCACCATCGAGCGTAACTACCCCGACTTTATCAACTGGCTGCACTTCGGTATTGGCAACACGCATGTTGTGCATCACCTCTTCTCACAGCTGCCCCACTACAATGCCTGGAAGGCCAGGCAGATCCTGGAGCCCATGTACAAGGATCTGTACCGCGTCGACAAGCGCCCTGTCTGGCAAGCACTGCACGAGAACGCTGTTCGCTGTGTGTCAGTGCGTGAAGACCCCGATGCCAAGGGTGAGTGGAAGTACACGTCCGAGCCCTCGGCCAGCCAATAAGCATCAACAGTGTATCTAGCCACAGCGGAGTGATTTGACCGCTTATCTGGTCACTAAGTGCCAGGGTATGGAGCCTGGGTGGGCCTGTATGGGATTGCCAGGTATGTGTTACATCTGTGCTGCACGCTGGCTCTGTGAACCTTCGGTTTGTGAAACCGTTCATGCCTGCGTCCGGTGTAGTCCTCAGCATTGTTAGCACGGCGTACCACCTTCACCCCGGATTACTTGTCCCCAGGAGTTGCTCTTTCCAGACAAAAGGACATGACATTGTTAGCTTTGCAGGCTCTACTATGCACACGTGGCACTGTCTCCACTATCACCAGTGGCAGTGGTGGAAGGTACCTTGCCTTCCCACCTACATATAATTTCTATTTTTTCCGATGGGCTAGTATTTTATTTTCTAGATGGCACTGCAGTGTGCAGAATCCATGGCCAAGTATCATCTCAGCTCTGGCCTTCATCAACTCTTGAATGCTGGTTTCTTGCTGCTAGTTTTCTCTTCTAGCCATTCTAACGGCTATGGCCCGAGTAACTAGTTCTTTTCTCTCACCTTTCTGATCGATTTCTTCGAATTATTTATTTCTGACTTTCTGCTAACGAATCCGATGGCAATATTAGTTAACACCTTATTACTGGTCAGGGCTTGTCCACGGTCCAAGGTCTTCCTATGGAACATCAACACACCGTTGTCCTGGATGCCACCGCCTGGAGGCTTGAATGGCTTGGACAGCCTTTAGTAGTATACAGTGTATACCAGGGAGTCGTACCGGGCAAGACTCCCTGGTATCAAAGAACTTTATTGAAAATCCATGATAATGTGATCGGAAAGATGAGGACTCCCTGGTACTAGTAGTCCATGTACCGTGTTTTTGGCAATACCGGCACTGGCCGAGGCGCTTAGCAGTTTGTGAGCCTTGGAGCCCTTAAGTTAAAAGTAAGTTTACCCAATCAGAAGAAAACCCACACAAAAGCCCTGAAATGATGTGGCGCTGATTTCAGACAGGCGGTAATAAAAGAAACCCACCTGTTTGTGAATGACACTCTGTCTGTTCTGCTCTCAACCGCCATTGGTGCAGATTGCGAGACTGTTGAGTATTAAACTGGGATCGGCCCTGGACCAGTCACGTGCCATGCAGTAAATGACCCTACTCTTGGTAGCATCAAGAGCCCATAACTTACCATAAGGCATACACATAATAATAATTATGCCAACCCCATCCCCAGGATGTTAGGACATTCTAGCTCTTATGTTTCAGCAAGAGCATTATCAAGAGCACTCTTGGTACGACATATCAGGGAGTCGTACTACATGTATACATGTACTTATACGACTAGTATGCACAGAATTCAATTGCCTATGCCACAACGAAGTCATCACCGACATTATTGTATTGGCATGCACGTGTTTCATGTATATGCAGATCTACAGGATTGTTAATAATTAAGGTAAGTATGCAAGACCTCCCTGCCAACAAGTCAACTAAAGCATGAAGACTGCAATGCCATTGAAATGGATGAGGCAGCGAGACGGTCCGGAAGACAATACTACGCAGATGTTCACAGCAAGCACTTAGCAGAGATAAAAAAAAAGTATTCGAGAAAGTAAAGCAACGAGCAAAACAACCGCACAGCAGCAGCAGCAACAGCAAAGAAAGGCAAGGTGCAGCTTTCCCCCTTATTATTCAGCATAGGGACGAGAAACATGGTACTACAAGGCAGCAATCTCGGACAGCTCAATTATGGACAATGTTCACAGACAATGCCTGCTATAAGTAATGTGTACAAGGCAACAAGCGCAACATGGCAAGCAATAGTGCACTAAAGTACACCAGGGAGAGTGAAAGGAGATCAGGCATCTACAGAAAACATCAAGTTCTCATCAAATTACTAGTTACAGTAATCACTAGTATAAAAACACGTTCCAACAGAGTCAAAACACCAGTTGAACGGGACATGACACCTCTTACAGTGTAGCCAGTTCAAAACAACATGAACAACAACACTATAGGAGTGTTGCCATTCAGAAGAAACCTGCATAAAACACAGTAAGCAAGCACAGAGGAGAAGCGGCTCAGGAGTCACGCACTGGAAAGAAGGAACAAGACAAGCTAGGTCAGTTGCATGTGTCACACAGACAGAGGAACGGAACTGCACACGGCAGCATGCAAATTGTTATTCGACCATAACAACTGGTAGCAAGTACGAAATGAGCAGCGAATGCCGTACAACCCTAAGGGCACCAGCACTAATGTTAAACTGCAAGCAGAAATGTATCATGGTCAGAACACAATTTCTATTTGACGACATCACGCAGAATTTGGGCAAGTTGATCGAAGCTACATCATCTACTTTGAAGTAAGAAGTCATTTGAATAGCCAAAATTCAAGAAGAAGAAACACATCACTAATGAAAGTTCCACATTACTGCTATCCAAGAACTGGAGCATATTAGAGAGAGGGAGAGAGAGAGAGAAAGAGAGCCAGAGAGAGAGAGAGAGAAAGAGAGCCAGAGAGAGAGAGAGAGAGAGAGAGAGAGAGAGAGAGAGAGAGAGAGAGAGAGAGAGAGAGAGAGAGAGAGAGAGAGAGAGAGAGAGCCAGTAACAGTAGCAGATACAAGCTCTAGGCACATTCACAACACAAACCCAAACCTACTACCAGGACCCATGGGCTGTTCAGCAAAAGCAAGCGCGTATCATCTCCTGCCAAGCGGTGAGCGAGATCGAGACCTTGACCGTTGTCGTTCTTTATGAGACCTAATCACATGAAAATATGCACACACACACAGAGGTTTTCTCACACATAGATGGAGACAGAGAGTAAGCACATGGCTATGGTTTCTCGTGTGGCCACAATCACAACAGTACTTGACCGTACATGTACTGCGACTGACCTGTCATCATCGGGATCATCCTGGCGTCGCTTTATCGCTGCAGACAAATCAATCACCTCTTCGTCATCAAAATCGTACTTGGATAGATCATCATCATCGTCGTCGTCGTCGCCATCTTCTTCCTCCTTCTCCTCCTCCTCATTCTTTGCTGCGTACTCTCTCTCTCTTTCCCTCTCACTTGATCTGCTGTCACGCGACCCTGCAAGCATTTCAGTGCTCTGCAAGCAAGACCAATGAAGGCAACACATCAATCCGTTCAAAATTAGATGTCTGATGAGCCCTACCCTGTCACATGTACATGCACAGTGAAGGGACCGAGTGTACAAGTACAATTCTATCACTGTAGGCTGTTACAATGCAATGCTGCACTGCAGCAGCTGCTTGCAAGTGTGTTTTGCAACACTTTGGCTTTCGCCAGGTGCGAGGATCAAGCCCTACGCTACGGACACGCCATCGATGCTGTACAAACACTGTACAAAGTGATTGACCTTGGGGAAAATGCTGTGCATCCCGATGGAGCGATCTCTCATCTGTCCCACCCAAGGATCACACCATGGCAAGGGTTGAAGTGACATGGATCGCTTGCGGCAATTGCTGGCACGTGTACAAATGCAACAGGGCACGTTTTATCTAGTGTTGTAACACAATTCGCTGTGCAAGCACAGCAATTGGCAAAGAAATTTACTACTCAACTGTAGTAGACTGTATGCAGTGAAACATTGAAATGTGTGTGTGGCATACAATACTGGCATGCGATGTTTCCGCCGTGCAACCTACGGAAGAGAAACCAGGCCTGGTGCAAAGGTAGATGTAAGCACACACATGCCCATGCAGAATCATACACGTACTTGTCAAATGCGCGCACGCACAACCACCCACCCACCCACACTCAGTCACATGCGCGCGTGCGCACGCACGCACACACACACACCATTGGACGCCCATCGCCGGAGGCGATGATAGCGATGCTACAGCAGAAGCCATAGCAGCTTGTGCTGGGATTGCACCATTCAACAGCTTGCAAGGCTGAAGAATTGACCGCCACTATTCAGCCTGGTCTACACCACACAGCTATGAAGTGGCTTTTTCTGGCCAGTGAATCCCTACTTTTTGGTCTTTTTCATTTTTTCCATTTTTTTCATTTGCACACACACACACACAGTACTGAATCATGCACTTACATCTCGCGACCTCCCCCTTTTGCTTTTTCTCAGCCTGCCAAACTGCAGTAGAGAACAACAATATCAAAAGAGCAATCATCCACAGACACAGTAAACGACGAAAGTTAATCTTGATAGCATGATGTGTAAAATGGCAAACAAAGACAAAAGATATTTATTGATAAAAAAAAGATAGAAGAAGAGGCGACCTGAAAAACTAATACCAACCATGGGTACGCACCAGCAGCAAGCACTATCAACAAAAACTACCTGTAAACCAAACTTACATCATCATACTCTGTGTCGTCCTGCTCCACTTCTTCCCGGCCTTTGTACTCGACGCCTAGTCTTTCATTGAATCCACCACCGGCACCTTGACACAGGAAAGGCACCAGGAGCACACAGAAGAAATCGGGGATTCACGGAACGGAAGCTTTCGCAAAGCGCCTCGCACTCAAGTGCCAGTTCTGCTAGTGCTGACACAGATAGCAAGGGAATACACAAACATGACTTACACGGAGCACATTCACATGCAGCCACAATCCACAATGTAGCCACTCTCTTGTGGGAAGAAAGTACAGTCCTGCTCAAAAGAAATCCAGTCGCGTCACTCAAGTTTGCGCCTTGCACCATTTCGCAGCCCAGTGTTCGCAGGTCTAGGGCTGCGCAACGCCCGGCGCGTACTTGAGAGACGCGACTGGATTTCATTGAGCAGTACTGTAGTTGTCTGGCTGGGCAAAGGATGGAGGACTGCATGTTATTACAAGGAGTCTGTACGGTGTTTAGCTCTAGGTCTGAACCAACAGCTTTCTTCTTCCTCAATGCGAGCTATTATTGCGTTTGTACTAGACACTAGACTAACTTCTGTACCTGTTCTGTTCTCCACCTTGGTGAACTTTGGCGCTGAGCAGACATTGCAATCGCCACGCCTTGCCCAGTTTACGTTACCGCATCTACGCACGCACGCACACATACATACACATGCACACACACACGTCAGAGCACAGACAATAGTCACGATAAACTCTCCCCTAAGCGGTGGTGACATCTCCGTGTACCAGGGAGAGAAACTGCACTGAAATGCTCCCCAGCCAGCGGTGGCAAAGATTACATGATTTCGTCAGCTCTCATCACCAGGTTAGTGGTGAAAGTGCACGCGCACTGGAAAATGCTGTATGGTGCTTATACCACTAGGATTAGGGTAACAGAGCTGGAAAATGCTGTATGGTGCGAGCGTACCGCTAGGATTGGGGGTAACAACCATCAGAATCAGTAGTGACACTGCAACCATAGAAATCATGAGGCTCCATTTTCGGAAGATTTTCAGAACAGTCTTCAGCACAACCAGGGTAAAACAATAGATCCCCACAACACTCTCCAAAGGGCAAAACGAGAGAGCCCATCTGTAAGTCTTGATCCGCTTTACGAAATAAACCGATTTTGTTCCGGGAGGAGGGGGGGGGCAGATAAACTCCACTTTCACTTAAAAAAAAATGAAAATAAAGAAAATATACTATGCTACATACATTGCATGCATACAGCAGAGATAATCGTTATAGAGGTTGTGTTCCGGTTGGTAAGTGGGTACAAGGTGGCACCCGAAGCCAAACCTATTTACAATCTCGTAAAATAATTTTCGAATATTGCTTATACAGTAGTATCAAGAGTAGTAAACATAGGCAGGTGAACATACTTGCCGCATTGCCAATCATCAGCACTGAACAGGCCCTTGCTCTTATTGGCCCATTGCTTTCCAATTTGCGTGCCTTGAGACTTCACCACATCGCCTTCACTTTTAGCTGAGAACAGCATCAAGCATCACCACAAGGCACACGTATTTAGCCTAAGCACTACAAAAACTTGCATGAACCTCCTTCGCCAGTCCAGAGCCCCCGGCTCATGGCATCTTACGAGTTTTACACCGATTACACTCCGAACGACGAGCATAATTGACATTGCCACATCTGAAGGCACCAACAAAGGATGGTCAGAAACACACATTATTCGATGCTACATGTACTTGAAATAGAGAAAACAATTATTTTACCCCTTTGATGTGCAGATCCAATCTCCATCATTAATTTTCGGTGGCTTTGCACTTGCGGAACTCGACATGACTAGCTTAGTCGTATATCCTTCTTAGAAATGACGAAATAGAGGTCACCCTCTTCACTTACTACATGTACAAGACTTACTGCAGGCTACACGTATGTCTCTTCGACAAATCAAACAAAACAAAACTACAACCAAGAGTCCATAAACAGTGTTTATGCACTCTTGCTACAACTGATTACAGTACATGTACAAAGCACAACATGCACACATTTTGCCTTTGGCGTTGACATTATTATTTTTTTGATTTTTTCACTTGTGTTTTAGTACTCTACGGTAACGTCATGACGTCGTATGACGCCGTGTATGATATGACTCATGAGCCTGATCAGTGATCAGGGGATCTCCCTAGCTAGATCCACATGTACCGGTACATGATGTGTCCGAAATCCTTTCGACAACGTAAAGACTAGTTTGTGTGTTTCTGAACATTCAAGCGATGCCAACGCGAATCCCGCGAATTATTATTATTATTAAAGACTACTTTGTAGTCGTTGCAACAACGTGCAGATCGAGTGATTTTTTTACAGATATTATAAACGTTGTTTCATTGACGGTGTTCGTAATCATCATAGTAGTTCGCAGACATGGATGGGTTGTTCGACGTGTTTGAAGCTCCTGCACCGAAGAAGCGACCCATAGCAAAGGAGAGCGATGACAATGCTGCTGCACCAGCTGAAAAGAAAGTGAAGCAAGCGGAGTGCGCAGGTGATCTCATCATCGCACAAAGGTATTTTTTTTATTTCACTTTTGTCAACGAATTTTGTTGAACATTTTATTATCTTACTTCTGCTGTGTGAACCACCCAACAGGGCTACCAAATAATTTAACTACATGAGCTTATAAACGTTTAGACGACTTCGCCAACCCATTTGGTTGAGGGAGTTGAAATGAGAAGCATGTCTGACTGTCACCACAATACACAATGACAACTAAAATATATTGGATTTTTGTTAGCACTTGATCCCTCTTCTTAAAGCTGATGCAAATGGGCTGCGAATTTTAAGTTTTCTGGGGTCACCGTATGACAACTGGTGGGAGCTCGTTTGGGGCGGTTTTGCAGCAAACACGGCGAATGCAGTAATTTACAAAAAAAGACTTTTCAATTTTTTTATCCAGATTTATTAACTCACCTGCATGACATACACACACGACGACCGATCAGTTTGGGGAATAGGAGGACATGTCTATTGCTTTGCCATGCTCCGAGTGAGTGACAACATACAGCTGTGCAGGTATCCCCGTTCATGACAGTGGGTAGAGCCTTGCTGCAGAGGCGGAGTGAGCTGGGTGAGTGTGAGAGGTTATGCGTTCATGAAAGTGTCATGGGCAGAAGTGTCATAGGCAGAGCCTTGCTGCAGAGGCTGTGTGAGTGTGAGAGGTTATGTTGGTGGATGGCAAAGGCGTAGTTACAACGTAGTGCAGCCTAACTGCGGAGTAGGCAGTCGCAGGAGTACAAAGAACAGGAGAGAACATATGAGGGAGTGGGTAGGAGAATGGGCGCTTGGCTTGAGAAACAATTTCCACCCCTTGTGCAAACACAAGTGATGGAATACAGAACATTGCACTTCAGAAAACTACAATGGCACGAGGAAGTTTATAGTGCATGTCAAGAACATACACACATGAACATACACACATACAGTCAGACCTCACTTATCCGGTCCTCTTTTATCCGGATCCCTCGCCATCCGGAAGAAAATAGCTGGTTACAGATCTACAGCATACGCAATGCATCCTACAAAACCGGTGTTCGGTTATCCGGTTCCCTCGCCTATCCGGACATTTTTGTGGAAAACGGATGTGTGCGGTTAAGCGAGGTCTGACTGTACATGTAAATCTATGCGTGAGCGCAAGCGTACTCTGGGATTTGAATGTACAACTTCCCCAAACTCTGAAAGAACCCTTGTAGTGTGGCATTCACACGTGCTCTGCACAACACACACACATCTATAATACACCAATGCCCTGGTCCAGTAGCTAACTTCTAAAAAAGGTATATGAGGAGAATTGTGAAACTTTGACAAGTCCGTTGGTGTTGAGATATTTCTTGGACAGTAGAAGGCTGGTTTGAAAACTGTCAAACACAGTCACTGCTAGTCTATGTTATTGCTGTGCACTATAGACGGGAATGAGATATGTACCTTCTATGGTGACATACAGTCAACGTCGTGAATATCGACCTTGGGGATAACAACAACTCACATGTCCCTGTGTGTGTATGTGTGTGTGTATGTGTGTGTGTATGTGTGTGTGTGTGTGTATGTGTGTGTGTGTGTGTGTGTGTGTGTGTGTGTGTGTGTGTGTGTGTGTGTGTGTGTGTGTGTGTGTGTGTGTGTGTGTGTGTGTGTGTGTGTGTGTGTGTGTGTGTGTGTGTGTGTGTGTGTGTGTGTGTGTGTGTGTGTGTGTGTGTGTGTGGGTGGATGTTGTTTGCATGTGTGGTGTATAGTGTGGATAGGGAACCATGCGTAACACAAGCAATGCCCACTGTCGTTCAGCTGGAGACCATGGACTCCTGTGTGCACGAGGCAAGTATACCCCCTCCCTCCCCCCCCCCCCCCCTAACATCACTACTTACAATCTATCAGTATGATCTGAGGTATTTAGATCGTTGTAGCGGCTTTGGTTTGAGCTTTTCTTTGGCTGCGGATAGCCCAGTGCGCTTGTTAGGACAAGTGCAGAAATGGTTGCATAATAATATGGTGGTGAAGTCACACCTGGTAGAGTGTTGCTGCCCACACATGCTCTCTAAGCTGCAAAGTTATAACCTGGCACAGGGCTCTCCTTTTTACCACCGCCACGGCCGCCAACACTATCACTAACACCAACATCAATTGGAAGTTGGAACAGCCTCTTATACGGGCCAACATCAACACCCACACTATCACCACCAGCACCTACACCATCACCACCAACACCCACACTATCACCATCACCAACACCAGTCCACTCCCACTACCATCACATTGACCAGGCGCCATGCACAAACTGATGATGGTGGTGGTGGTGAGAAGGAGAGCTCTGTGCCAGAGTGTAACTTAACAGCTTAGAGAGCGTGTGTAGGCAGGTGTGCATTTACCACCATTTCGTCTGGTGTGGTCTTATCACCATATTATTATTGGATTGAGTTTTTTCTTTCTTCAGATTCTTGGCGTTTTGTTATTTTTTTGCATAATATTATGTAAGCACATTTGCTTTGCCCGTACAAGAGGCTTGTATATCATCAGTGTTACCATGAATACAGCTGCAGTAGAGTCTTCAGATCCATTCTCCCATGTATGGAAATGCTTTAGCATATGCAGCCTGTACATGTACAATTGAGCTGTCCTGTACATGGATGTGGCAATTTTCTTTAAATATTCAATTGAAGAGATTGCCAAGGTCAGGTCATTGGTATTGCGTTGGTTTTTTCATCTGTCATTTCTCAGGTTGCCATACCACCTGGATTCATGTACACGCCACTTGCCCAGCGCCACACGACTCCCGCCAAGGTCAGTGACATTATTATGTGTGTGTTTTCATTTATTTATGTACAGTCGAATGTCACTTATCCAGTCGCCAGTTATCCGAGCACGTCGGTTATCCGACAAGCCCGGGAGTGGTAATTTTATGACTCTCAACAGTAAAATTCTATTTTTTGTTGTTGTATATTATATGGTGTAAGTATGCATTTACTTGAAGTAGATGTAGTCAAGTATGCTAACATGTATGTGTACATGGAGCAATTCATGATTATGCATGAATATATTTGGGTATTGTGTACATAAATCAGTGAAATCCAGCCATATATGCACATAAAAAACGATATCAGTTATCCAACATATCCAGTTATCCGACATGCCTGATTCCCGAAGTGGTCGGATAAGTGACATTCGACTGTACTGTATAAGTCTGTATTTGTTCGGTTGTATAATATGTGTGCCTGTGTCCTGCCATGACTGGCACGCTGGTGGAATGTTTTGGTTTTTGTTAGTGACACTGTATTGCCATCCTATTCCTACATCCATATTGTGCTGACACCTTGCCAACATCGGTTGCTCTCTGCCGCAGGAGTACAAGTTCTCTCTGGACGGTTTTCAGCGAGAGGCACTGAAGTGCGTGGAGAACTCGCAGTCGGTACTGGTATCTGCCCACACATCTGCTGGAAAGACTGTTGTAGCCGAGTAGGTTCCATTTCTCTATGCCCTGTATTTTGTAAATAGCATTGCAACTGTTCCCCTGTACTGTTTGTTGAGTAGTGGCAACTACTGTCGTGGACATGGAAATCCAGTCGATTGACCGGGGCCGGCGCCCTCAGTGCGTACAGAACGTTGTGCACATGTTGATCTGATGCGGCCAGTGCGCTGCAGCGCATATACATGAATATGATTGTACATGTAATGCATGTGTGTACTGCTTACCCACGGCTGCATGGCCAGCGCCTTGGGGCCGCTAGACGTGCGACCGGATTTCCATGTCCACGACAGTACTTACAAATATTCATCGTTTTCGAAAGCATTCATGGATGAGAGGAAGGACAACGTGTTATGAGTTATGACTAACGGTCCACCAATGTATCCTAATCTTATACGGTCAGATAGTGCAACGACTAGGCATACATCTGACAGGGGTACTTACTAGTAGTGAGACTATCGTAGTTCTAAAGCATTGTTGTATCTTTCTGTCCATTTGTCTGCACCTGTGCTCGCATTTGCATTAGTTCGCGCGAGGTTTTAGCCACACAGCACGTTTTTGTGACACTGCATTCATGCTCGACCGCCGCTGGCACAACTCCGAACGTTGTGGGAATGCATACATTCTAAGTAGCTCTAACCTCTCCTGCAGGTGAAAAGTACCATATCTACATTGTAGGGTTGATGAATGCCAGGGAACAGCTTGGAACAGAAAAGCAGCACTTCTGTAGAAGTTGTTCCACCTTTAGAATGGCTCGAGCTACCTTGTAGTGTACAGAGACGGTGAAACAGAAAGAGAGAAAAGAAGACAGTATGGGTATGTAAATATAAAACATGTTATCTGGAATACTAGAGAGAATGTGTGTGTACGTGTGTGCGCGTGTGTACGCGCGTGTGTGTGTGTGTGTGTGTACGTGTGCGTATGTGTACGTGTGCGTGTATGTTACGATGCAGATATGCGGTAGCAACGTCGTTGCGTGATAAACAACGAGTCATCTACACCACACCCATCAAGGTCAGTGTAGTGCTGCAGTCTCCTCTACAAGTGCTGTCTGTCCAAGTGTCCGTGCCATGTTGCACTGTTTGTGAAGCTGCGTACTAGTAGTTAGATGTCCAGAATTTGTTTACACCTGACCAAGCAGCAATAGTGTGGTCTACGTCGTGTTCTGCATGTTTTCACATGGTGTAGCGCGTCATATGGTACTCTCCCCGATCGTGGAATAAGAACAAAATGGTTATTTGAATATATTTATTATTTTAGAATGATACTAGGCTGCACCTTGAGCCACTGCGTTCTTCAGCACCCTATCTTACTGTATGTAGAATGCAAACTTTTGATTGGCACGATTGAACTGTTACTCTGGTGAAAACAGTCTTTGCTAAATTCACTCAAATTTTCACCATGTTTCAAAATTTCACTGTTGTTGAAATTAGCAGTTTTACAGGGCTAGTACACACAATGTTCAACTGCTTGAGCGCATCGGCCATCAACTCCATTGCGTGTCACATTCTACGCTGCGTTCTTGGCTTCCTATCAACGTTTCAGATAATGCTTTCCTGTGTCTTGCTTGCTGCAGGCTCTCAGCAATCAGAAGTTTCGCGAGTTGACGGAAGAGTTCAAAGATGTCGGCTTGATGACCGGTGATGTCACCATCAACCCGACCGCGTCCTGCCTCGTCATGACAACAGAAGTCAGTATTGCAAATCCATGTCTTCACAATGTCCTGGATTTCTTGATCTCTTGATCTCTCCTCGTTTTCTGAAGAAAAAAAGCCCTTTAGATGATGTCACGTGTAGTCTTAAATCTTGCATACCTACACTACAAACTTTCAACTGTAAGTGCTGCATGTGGTAGTTACTGCGATTGTCCGATGGTAAGGAGGTCAGGTGTATCTTCTGCTCCGTAGGTTCACCTATGGCCGTAGCAGGAATGACGGAGTGCGAAGAGAGACTCAAAACTCAGTCACCGCTGACCTCCTGAGAGAGAAATGGCTTTTTGATGACCATGGCTGCTAAGTGCCAGTCCATGGACAGTTACGGAGCCGACAGTCAACAATGAAATCTGTGCTCAACTGTATGGATGTCGTGTGACATTTGGCATAGATGAGCATTTAACGGTGCTGGACGCTTACTCGTGATTTCTTGTTGCAGTCTCTTACGGTCTTGCCCCTGTCTTATGTGCACAACTAGCACTGGTTCCCTATCCGAAAAGTCCTGCTTTGCAGGTTCTAAACCTGTGTATGTGTGGGTGCGTGTGTGCATGTACGTTTGTGCCTGTGTGTGTGTGTGTGTGTGTGTGTGTGCGCGCGCGCACACACGCGTGCATGTGTTTGTGAATATCCACCCATTTTGTATGTCATAACTGCACAGATCTTGCGGAGTATGCTTTATCGCGGGTCAGAGGTACGCTGGATGTTGGATGCTTTGTCCTGCCTGGTGTAGTTCTGGAAGTCACAGCCTCAGCTTGTCGGACAATGTGTTGTCTTGGACCCCAGCAGACTCGGCTACGTGTATGCACTTTCCTCTTAGCACCCTTGTTTAGCAGTACACACAATCATGCTGTAACCATAATTATGTTCTACTCTGGGTGTGTGGTCATGTGCAGGTCATGCGAGAGGTCGGCTGGGTGATATTCGATGAAATCCATTACATGCGCGACAAAGGTCAGTGCCAGTGTTTGTTTTTTCTCAGTACAGTCTGTCTACATGTACATGTACTCATACCTAGTACATTATCTATCTCCCTTCGTGATCCTGCAAGAAGGCCAATGACCTGTGGGAGACACGGAAGTAATTGTGTTTTTTTTGCTACTAAGTACCCATTTTATTCCCGTAGCTATGCAGAAGACGTTACTTCAGTAACGTCTGGCGCTAGCCAGGGTCCACACAGCTTTAATTTGGTATTTGTTTGTTTGTGTGTTTGTTTGTGTCACGCCTGGCGCTATCCGTATCTGACGGCAAAAAAGCATAGGATGTTATAAATTTTTCAATTCTCCTATTGTTTTTTTCAGGCATATCCTGGGATTCGAACCCGCACTATCGCCCTACATGCATTCCCCCATACACTTCGCATTCATACCCATTCTTCCAATTTGCTTCACGTTATTATCTTGCGTTTGAAAGCCCTATTTGAAATTTTGAATATTGCGGGCAGCTGTATGTGGCCAGCTGTGTTTGATGGTACGGTACGGTACGGGAGACGGTGTCGTATTACCCTCGATCGTACCTGTCCCGTACCTATCCCCTACCGTACCGTGCCATCAAAGACGGCTGGCCACAATGCATATTCAAATACCGGTGGGGCTTTCAAATGCAAGATCACAATGTGAAACAACTTGGAAGAATTAGTATGTATGCGAAGTGTATCGGGGGATGCATGCAGGGCGAGCGATAGTGCGGGTTCGAATCCCAGGTTATGTCTTAAAAAAAAAGGATTTTTTAAAGAATTTATAACATCCCTATGCTTTTTTTTTGTCTAGGTCATCAAGGCAAAAAAGCATAGCGTAGGGCCCTGAGCTTCCAAGCTCTCTCGTTTCGTTCTTTCTGCTGTTGATGCAACGTCAGCTACATATAATATAGGTTCAACCGTTGTTACTACATGTTCTTGTATCCGGCCCAATGTTACTGCTCACTACGTTGATTGTAGTAGTTTCCCCTACTAGTATTGTGACTGTCCAGCATCTGGAATATCAGAGAAATCGTTGCAGTACTGTGCACTGTATGTACATGTTCTGTTTGACTTTGTTGTCATGTTCTGTACAACATTTTCTTTGTTGCAGAGAGAGGTGTGGTTTGGGAAGAGACGCTCATTCTTCTTCCAGACAATGTCCACTACGTGTTCCTATCGGCTACGATACCCAACGCTCGCCAGTTTGCCCAGTGGATCTCTGTGCTGCACAAGCAGCCGTGTCATGTGGTGTACACGGAGTACCGCCCGACTCCGCTGCAGCACTATATCTTCCCGGCCGGTGCTGATGGACTGTACTTGGTGGTGGATGAAGCGGTTAGTCACTACACAATACAGTACACAATGGTCATGCTTGTAGTTGGATTTCTGCAGTGCCAGTATTCGGAGTCATACTGGCCCTGTAGTTTGATTGTGTTAGTGCATGCACACATGTACATGTAGCTAGGGACTGTGGAATGGCATAGGGGATCTGCATTGTCTTCATCACGCAGCTGTAATCGTGTTTTGTGTGTGTGTGTGTGTGCGTGTGTGTGTGTGTGTGTGTGTGTGTGTGTTGTTGCCTTGTGTGCTGGGCATAGTGATTGCCTCACAGCTATCAAACTTGTCTTTCTTTCTTACATTGTCACAATTTGTGTGCCACCAGGGTGAGTTCAGAGAAGATAACTTTCAGAAGGCAATGAGCTTGCTAAACGATGCCCCTGCTGGTCCACAGGCAAAGTTCGGCCGAAAAGGTGGATTCAAAGGTGAGACTTCTGGCCGGTTGGCAAGACGTCGTGTGACCTGTTAGGGGCTCTACGGGAGTACCAATTGTTTTTCAAAACGAAAAGTTTTGGTATTTTTCAGTCCCCACCTGCCCGCCCATCTGTTCTGCGAGTAAAGCATATTTCAACAACATATCGATTTCACTCCTCGGCACCCAGTACTAGTATGGTTTTGCAATTCTCCATGTGCATTCCATTTTTATTTTCAAACCGAAACTCTTACCGGTAAAACCCACCCACCCCAAGCGAAAACTGTTGTTTTGTTTTGAAAAAGCGATTGCTGACCTCGGATAGCCCCTTGTCTGATCATGTTTAGCTTTAGACTTTCAACTGGTCCTTTGCAAGTCAGAGGAAATCGGCTCTTTTTGCTATACCTTTTTTGCATCTAGGTCCTGGTAGTGTTGTGTGTTGAGGGGATGTGTAACCGTTCTTCTGTAGATGTTTGTTGTGGGCCTTCTTTGTGTTCGTTCCCAGTCTTCCTGTCACACATACTCGCTTATGTATTTGCACATTTCAATCTCCTGTCGTGCTCAGGCGACCAGACAAGTTTGTTCAAGATCATTCGTATGATCATGGAGCGCTCGCTGCAGCCTGTCATTATCTTCAGCTTTAGCAAGAAGGAGTGCGAGGCGTACGCGATGCAGCTATCCAAGCTTGACTTCAACACAGGTAGGTTTGACCGGAAAAATGTTGCCAGCCAACACCCAGTCAACACCCAGTCAACACCATTAATACCGTTGGTTTCTAGCTGCTCGTGGCAATATCACTGCTGCTGCTGCTGCTGCTCCTGTCAATCTGTGACTCCTTTCGTCTTGCACCGCTTCATGCATGGTATAGCCTTGCAATTACATAGCTGTACATCAGGGAGTCGTACTCAAACTAGGGAGGTGACACGGCACAGAAATCCGTGTCACAGGGGTTGACTCGCACCCGTGACCCCTTGTTGTTATTTTTGGAATAGTTCAGTCCAGTCCAGTCCGAAAGGTCATACTCGGATCGACTCGCCTTCTGTACTTCACCTCCAAGCGTGCCGCATGGGTGTCTAGTTTTTGAAATTATTGAGGCAGCACATTTCGTTTACAGCCCATCACTCGCCAGTATTCTTTGAAAGACTACCAGCATTTTTTTTAGCTCCTGCCATGTCCGAACTACTTGATAGCAGTGATGGCAACAGCAGCAGTTATGAAACGGCGTGTAGTGTTGCGGTAACTGTTCAGAACTGTTCAGAGTCGTATCCTAGGTTAATCCGAATACTAAAAATTGACCCAAATTGCACATAACACGAAGCTGGTTTTTGAAAATTGTAAGTCGTGTATCTGCCCCATTTCTTCTTTATGACTTGCACAATACACCAGTCTTCCTAAATAACACATTTATAGCAGGGGTTAAGTACCATATAAGAGAAGTACAGCCAGTGATATTGTCATGTTGAAATACTACAATTTTGACACAAATTACACATAACACGAAGCCAGGTTTTGAAAATTGTAAGTCGTGTATCTGCCCCATTTCTTCTTTATGACCTGCACAATGGTCCAGTCTGCCTAAATAACACATTTATAGCAGGGGTTATGTACCATATTAGAGAAGTACAGCCAATGATATTGCCATGTCTAAATACTACAATTTTGACACAAATTACACATAACACGAAGCTGGTTTTTGAAAATTGTAAGTCATGTATCTGCCCCATTTCTTCTTTATGACTTGCACAATACACCAGTCTTCCTAAACAACACATTTATAGCAGGGGTTAAGTACCATACAAGAGAGCTACATTGTACATCTAGTCATACTGTCATAAACAGCCAGCATTTTTCCTGCAGCAGTCACACCACCATCATCATTATTTCCAGGGAAATCCTCTTACATTGTCAGCTCCTACGTCGTTAGATACAGGGGCTGTAGGACCGGCTCGTCAAAAATAGAGAACCTGAACAAGCGTGCTCGGGACGTCTCAGCAATCGGAGTATGCCTGAGCACTCCAATAAAAACTTGATCAATGGCAAAATCGTTCGCCACAGAAAAATCATACTTTGCGGGTCTTGCGTTGCACGCTTGGAGGTGAAGTACAGAAGGCGAGTCGATCCGAGTATGACCTTTCGGACTGGACTGGACTGAACTATTCCAAAAATAACAACGAGGGGTCACGGGTGCGAGTCAACCCCTGTGACACGGATTTCTGTGCCGTGTCACCTCCCTAGTTTGAGTACGACTCCCTGCTGTACATGTACTACAACGCTACAATGCTTGCATGGCGGCTGCTTGTCTTGCAGCCATGGACAACCGCATTATACATTCATGCTTTGTGAGGAGGACCACGCCCATGGAGGATTTAGATCCAGATACATGTAGCGCTGTTCTCCGAGTGCCTAGTATCTTTGTTATCTTTGTTGACATGTATTTTTATGACGGCTTTCATTGATGACTATCACAAGGGAAGCCGAGGTAATCAATTTTGTATTGATAATAGGATGGCTATCTTGTGTGTGTGTGTCTTGGGTGTATTGTGTGTGTGTGTGTGTATGTGTGTCTGTGTGTGTGTGTGTGCGTGTGTGTGCGTGTGCGTGCGTGTGTGTGCGTGTGCGTGCGTGCATCTTGTGCGTGCATGTGTGTATGTGTATGTGGGCAAATTGTACTTTGTGTACCTGCATGCCTGTACAGAGGAAGAGAAGAAACTCGTGGTTGATGTTTTCTCGAACGCAATTGACACACTCAGTGAGGAAGATCGACATTTGCCACAGGTCAGTGTTATGTACAATCATGATTGTACAACGTAGATAAACAGTCAGCTTTTCCATGCATGCACATGTGTGTGTGTGTGTGTGTGTGTGTGTGTGTGTGTGTGTGTGTGTGTGTGTGTGTGTGTGTGTGTGTGTGTGTGTGTGTGTGTGTGTGTGTGTGTGTGTGTGTGTGTCAGCTAGTTCGGTTGGTGGGTACACGTATGCCAGATTGTGTTGGGTCTGTTGCCAACGGGCTGCTTGAAGGTGCAATGTTGTACCTGCCACCTTTGTTGGTTTCAGGGTTCATATACTTTCTATTTGAAGTATACACACCTGTTAACCATGAACTGCTTCTGGCTAGATTAATTCTTGTGTAATCGATGGTGCTAGTGAAGCTTATATCAAATCCACTCTGATTTAGCCACCCACACTAGTAGCACGTATTACCTTCACTGGAGGCAGGGGTAACTGCAGTTGGATCCCAGGACGGATACCCTGATGCCGTCAATCCTTTTTCTGCACCTTGTCCTCACCCACTTGCTGAGGTGTGGTGAGCCCATAAGTGGGATCATTTTCAAGTCCACCCAGAGTTTTGGGGATTTCAGGGGGCGTCGGCCGTTGGGCGGTTCAATAGCCAATTGAGTCATCTTTCCAAGATTCCTTTTGAGTCTCTCTCCCCTCTCCCGGGGAGACCCACGTGACCAGTTTTGGCAGTGAGCATCAAGGAGCATCAAGTACAAGTGTGTGTGTGTGTGTGTGTGTGTGTGAGGGATTCACTGGCCAAAAAAGTCACTTCAAATAGCTGTATGGTGTAGACCAGGCTGAATAGTGACGGTCAATTCTTCAGCCTTGCAAGCTGTTGAATGGTGCAATCCCAGCACAAGTTGCTATGGCTTCTGCCGTAGCATTGCTATCATCGGCGAAAGGCTAAAGGGACAAGCTTATCTATTTTTGCGGATTTTCTTTCATAAAAAAATAAACGTCACAGGCTGCTCTTCGGAGGTGTCCGCGTCCCAGCGGTCCGGGCAAGCGACCGAATCTCAGTGGGACACTTGGCCGTGGCCTTTGTACTGGAATCTGTGGGAGAGCCTTTCCAGGGACTACACACCTGGGTGTACCCGGGTATCGGGTATGGCTCCTTTTTTGTTCCTTTCCTTTTTATTTGTTTTTGCTGAGAAAGAAACGTTGCTGGATGGAAAGCTTTCTGTTCCCGCCATGCGCCAGCGCCTTTGCTCTAGTAAAACATTGCTGGCTGATAATGGTCATTGCTCGTGATGTCAACTTAGAAGGTGACGGGAAGCTGGGTTTCTTGCCATTTCCAACTTCCTGACTCTGCAAATGTAGCTTGAACTAAGAGCTCCAAGTATCAAGTTCAGTTTTTCGATGTGCCAGACCTATTGTTACGACCTGCAGAGATGAGGAGCAAGTGAGGCGTTGGATTAATGCCAATAATGGTGTTTATGGCCCGGACGACGCCAGCGGTTTTCACTTGTCAGGAGGACAGCCAAGTTGGAGCAGGCAGATGACAGATTATCAACTTTGAGCATTTATAGCCGAGTGGGTGGCTTGCCAAAGAGAATCGTCTCAGTTCCTCATGGTTACTAGTATCTGACAAATGCCTCTTATTGCTAGTCTGCACTAGAGCATTAGCAGAATTGATCATGTCACAAGTAGTGTCAAGACTTGATGTCCTACGATTATACTCAGATCATGTTGCTACTTCACAGGAATATTCGTCCTGCCACTGTACACCAGGTACACTCTTCCAGAATTGCATGCAGAAGTCACATGCCTGTCACAGTGTGCAAGGGACAACGCGTTTGCACTGCTTACGGATTCAAGCGGATGGAGTGCAGGCCAGATAAGAAGACATAATCCGGCTATTCAAATAGCTTGGGCTGCTATTAATTGGCTAGACTCCTGGAAACATGGACAAGAATCTAAACCAGTCCACGGAAACAATATCACGCCACACAGGAAGCTAAATGGCAAACCAATCAAGTTCTTTGGTAATGAAGCCGTTCACCAACATTGTCCGGTTGCATGGCTAGTGTCACTCAAACAGGACCAATGGACCTAAAAGATACGCTGTTGATCAACCACAACTCCAATACCACCGAGCAGTGTCTTCTAAACAGATCCAATTAGATTTTCAAGTATATGAGTGGAAGTTGCTGGTATAGTCTCTCCTAATGACCGCGTATTTGGCATAATGTTCTCTATACTGCACTCTAGAGCTACTTACCTTTTCCGGCATTGAACTCAGGCAGGGACCACTCGCCTGCAGAATGAGCCAATTGACACAGAAGCTAAGTACCATGTGCATCCGTCGCAAGAGAAACACGCAAGTCTGCAAGTGAAGTGGATGGACACCCACTGATTTTCTCTTATGCCGATATCAGACATGACCTGAGTGAAACGCATGAAGACTTGCACCACATTACTGCACAATTACATATAATTATTTCGAGGCCTTGTGAAATGATTTTCAATGCACACCTGGTCTACGCCACACAGAATACATCGGATTATAATCGCCAATACAGCTGCCTATGTCTGTCTCTCTCTCTCTGTCTCTGTCTCTCGATCTTCATCTGTATCTCTCTATCTACCTATACCGAATCTGCGGACAGAACTGTTTCGTCCTTTGTGGACTCATCAGCGCAGCACAGAGAAAATGAGGCCGAACCTGATTGCAATGAAAAATAAAATTTCCAAAGCCAGACTTAATTCTCCACCTATCAACTCCCTTCTGTGTGTATGCGCGTGCATGGGTGCAGGGTATGTGCGCACATATCTTTCTCTCTCTCTCTCTCTCTCTCTCTCTCTCTCTCTCTCTCTCTCTCTCTCTCTCTCTCTCTCTCTCTCTCTCTCTCTCTCTCTCTCTCTCTCTCTCTCTCTCTCTCTCTCTCTCTCTCTCTCTCTCTCTCTCTCTCTCTCTCTCTCTCTCTCTCTCTCTCTCTCTCTCTCTCTCTCTCTCTCTCTCTCTCTCTCTCTCTCTTCCTGTCTTTACCTGGTTTGTGAATCGGCTTTTTTAATCGTATTTTTTCGGCTCACTGTTTTATGAGTTCACCTCACTATATGTTTTTCTGCTGCTACCTACTTATATTATAGTAGTTGCCTGATGATCGTAGTAATATGTGAAACCCAAGAGTTGTGACACAGCTTCCAATCTCTCTTGTGTACTTCAGTATTAGAAACACAAGGAACAAAATCTCTCGTATCTGTGTGTCTCGACATGTTTCTTTGTCCGTCTGTCTCTCTCTATTCTATCAATCTCTCTCTCCCTCTCTCTCTTTATCTCTCTTTATCTCTCTTTCTTTATCTCTCTCTCTATCTCTCTCTCTCTCTCTCTCTCTCTCTCTCTCTCTCTCTCTCTCTCTCTCTCTCTCTCTCTCTCCTCTCTGTATATATCTGTCGGTCTGTCTATCTCTCGTCTGTCTGTCTTTCTCCTTCTGCCTCTCTTTGTGAGTTTGCCTGTCTGTGTGCCTTTCGTCTGTCTATCTGTCGTCTGTGTGTTTTTCTCCTTCTGCCTGTCTTTGTCAGTCTGCCTGTCTGTGTGCCTCTATGTTTCTCTCTCTCTTTCTCTCTCTCTCTCTCTCTCTCTCTCTCTCTCTCTCTCTCTCTCTCTCTCTCTCTCTCTCTCTCTCTCTCTCTCTCTCTCTCTCTCTCTCTCTCTCTCTCTCTCTCTCTCTCTCTCTCTCTGTCTGTCTGTCTGTCTGTCTGTCTCTCTGTCTCTCTCTCTCTCTCTCTCTCTCTCTCTCTCTCTCTCTCTCTCTCTCTCTCTCTCTCTCTCTCTCTCTCTCTCTCTCTCTCTCTCTCTCTCTCTTTCTGTGTGTGTCTATGTGTTTCTCTAAGTCTGAGTCTTGGTCGTTCTATCTGCCTGTCTGCGTAACTCTCCAACTGTTTCCTTGTCTCGGTCTGTCTGTTTGGCTGTCTCTGCTTGTCTCTTTATGTTTGTCTGTCTGCCTGTCCCTGTATTTATAGCTCTATTTCTCTCTCTCTGCTGCTATTCTTCTGTCTCTCTTTGTCCCTCTCTCAGTCTCTTTTTCTCTGTCTCTGTCTCTGTGTCTTCTTCTTGATCTGCCTCTCTCTGCTGCTATTTTTCTCTGAGTCTTTGTATCTGTCTCTTCTTTTGTCATTCATTATGACTGTGCGTCTCTCTGTTTCTGTCTCTGACTTTCTATGTCTGATTGTCTGTCTCTGTCTGTTTTTCTCCTGAGTCTGTGTGTCTGTCTGTCTCTCCTGTTTTTCCTTAATGTTTGTCCCTCTCTTTCTGTCTCTGTCTTTCTGTATCTAATCGTCTGTCTGTTCGTCTTTGTCTGTCTGTCTTTGTCTCCTTCTCTTTGAGTCCGTGTCTCTGTCTGTCGCTCTTTATGCGCATCCCTCTGTTTCTGTCTCTGTCTTTCTGTGTCTGCCTGTCTCTATCTCTGTACCGGCCGCTGTTCTGCACATATTTTAATCGTGTGGCACCACATACGTGGCTGTATATTTACCTATGCGTGGGACATTCACACCCAAACACACACACGCACACACACACATTGTCTTTGTCTGTTTTTCTCCTGATTCTGTGTGTCTGTCTCTCCTGTTTTTTCTTAATGTTTGTCCCTCTCTTCTTGTTTCTGTCTTTCTGGGTCTGATCGTCTTTGTCTGTCTGTCTTTGTCTCTGTCTCACTGAGTCCGTGTCTCTGTCTGTCGCTCTTTATGTGCATCCCTTTGTTTCTGTCTCTGTCTTTCTGTGTCTGTCTGTCTCTATCTCTGTACCGGCCGCTGTTCTGCGCATAATGAAATCGTGTGGCACCACACACGTTGCTGTACATTTCTCTTTCTCTCTGAGTCCGTGTCTCTGTCTGTCGCTCTTTATGTGCATCCCTTTGTTTCTGTCTCTGTCTTTCTGTGTCTGTCTGTCTCTATCTCTGTACCGGCCACTGTTCTGCGCATAATGAAATCGTGTGGCACCACATACGTGGCTGTACATTTACCTATGCGTGGGACATTCACACCCAAACACACGCACACACACACACACACATATTCACACACACATTATCTATCTCTGTCTGTTATTCTCCTGAGTCTGTGTGTCTGTCTGTCTCTCCTGTTTTTCTTAATGTTTGTCCCTCTCTTTCTGTCTTTCTGGGTCTGATCGTCTGTCTGTTCGTCTTTGTCTCTGTCTCTTTCTCTCTGAGTTCGTGTCTCTGTCGCTCTTTATGCGCATCCCTTTGTTTCTGTCTCTGTCTTTCTGTGTCTGTCTGTCTCTATCTCTGTGCCGGCCCACTGTTCTGCACATAATGAAATTGTGTGGCACCACAGACTTGGCTGTATATTTACCTATGCCTGGGACATTCATACACCCACACACGCACACACTCGTACGCTCGATCATACAAGTACATGTAGTACTGCAGAAGTCACACCAGAGATATAATTAAAACTCTCTCTCTCTCGGGTGCAGCGGAAACTTCCTTGACACTGTCTCTCTCTCTCTCACTCACTCACTCTCTCTCTCGCGCTGTGCCTGCCGCTGTGCTGTCATACAGATAGTGAAATTGTGTGGCACAGAACACGTACATGACTGTATATTTACCCACGCGTGGGACATTCACGCATGCACACACACTCACACACACACACACACACACATGACCAGCAGCAAATAACATTTCATAGCTACAGGACCTTCAAAGAAAGTCATGGTGTCAAGAAGATATACAATGTCATGTAGAAGGATAATTGTAAAACAGCTTGCTGTCTAGAGCATTGGTAATATAAATTATCATATAATACATGTAGTAGGGAAACTCCTAGAGAGTCAAACTATCGGATAAATTAATGGCAAGCGAGAGTCTCTACTTTTTAGAGTAGAGTGGGTGGGTACGCAGACCAGCGTAAGTCATAACAAATATTAATTGATAATAAAGTGTAACCAAAGCTGGTAATGGATCATGTGTGAGCGACCAAAGAGGCGTACATCACATGTCCTGTACCACTATAAACACACACAAACCTCCAGGAGAATTTCACGTACCGATGGATCTATCATGCTGCCGGGATCCCTCATATATCTCATACTGTGGTACATAACCATCGGAGAATTGCAAGGACCTAAATACGGCAAGCAAATCAGGGACATTAGGTGCAAGACCCGTTGTTCTAGTTGTCTAGACTGCACTGTGTTCTTGAAAATACTGAGCCTCCACGTTGTATCTGCATGTGGCATCCGTTGATCTCATTTGAGTAGTAGTAGTAGGCATGCACTGCATTACGTTTTGATGAAAGGTTCGATAGCTGCTGAATGGGTTTATCATTTGGCTTCCTGTGTGGGTATTGTTTCTGTGGATTGGTTCGGAGCAATGTTCAGATGGTCCAGGCATCTGGCCAATTAATTATGGCAGTCCAAGCTAGTTGAATATCCGGATCACTTTCTCTCATCTGGTCTACACTCCATCCGCTTGCATCCATAAGCAATGCAAAGGCGTTGTCCATCGAAACTGTGACAGGCATGTAACTTCTGCATGCAATTCTGGGAGAGCGCACAGTGGCAGGACGAATATTCCCGTGAAGTTGCAACATGATCTGAGCATAATCGTAGGACATCAAGTCTTGTAACTACTTGTGACATGATCAATTCTGCTATGCTCTAATGCAGACTAGCAATAAGAGGCATTTGTCAGATACTAGTAACCATGAGGTGCTGAGACGATCTGCTATAAATACTCAAATAATCTGTCATCTGCCTGCTCCAACTTGGCTGTCCTCCTGACAAGTGAAAACCGCTGGCGTCTTCAGGGCCATAAACACCATTATTGGCATTAATCCAACGCCTCCCTAGGCTAGGTAGGCCCTTGCTCCTCATCTCTGCAGCTTCTAACAATAGGTCTGGCACAACGAAAAACTAAACTTGATACTTGGAGCTCTTAGTTCAAGCTACATTTTCAGAGTCAGGAAGTTTCAAATGGCAAGAAACCCAGCTTCTCTTCACCATTGGCATCACGAGCAATGACCATTATCAGCCAGCAATGTTACTAGAGAAAATGCCAAAGGCGCTGGCGTGAACAGAAAGCTTTTCATGCGGCATGGCAACGTTTCTTTCTCAGCAAAAACAAATAAAAAGGAAAGGAACAAAAAAGGAGCAACACCAGCAGGCCAGGGATTTGTCCATACCCGGTACCCAGGTGTGTAGTCCCTGGAAAGGCTCTGTGACAGATTCCAGTACAAAGGCCACGGACAAGTGTCCCACTGAGATGCGGTCGCTTGCCCGGACCGCTGGGCCGCGGACACCTCCGAAGAGCAGCCTGTGACGTTTATTTTTTATGAAAGAAAATCCGCAAAAATAGATAAGCTTGTCCCTTTAGTCCTACCCCTATCATCGCCTCCGGCGATGGGCGTCAAAGGTCAAGGTGTGTGTGTGTGTGTGTGTGTGCGTGTGCGTGTGCGTGCGTGTGTGTATGGCTGAGGTTTTGGTACGTCTATTGGCCCTGGGTTCCTAGTACCCAGTTGAGCTGGTTGGTAAACTAACTCCAATTTCACTTCAAGGTACCAGTGTAGTGTCTGCTTCTATCAAAGCAGCGTGCTGTCTATCTATACTGGTTACCCCAGCAAATGGAGGGTGTGCATAGGTAACTGTCTTGGCCGTCCTATTCCGATGTACTCCGTGTGGTGTAGACCAGGTGTGCTTTTGGGGGGGGGGGGGAGGGAGGTCGATTCATAAAGAGAAAATCGGTGGGTGCACCTCCAGTGCATTTTCAGATTTGCGTGCTTCTCTTGCGACGGCGTATACATGGTACATGGTGTGTGTGTGTGTGTGTGTGTGTGTGTTTGTATTTTTGTGTTTGTAAGAATGGGTACACAGGAGCCTACGAGAAGGATTGTGTATCATCTGTTATTGTTCTTTTTGTGTTCTTTTTGAGATCTGTAATTTTTACCAGTGTTTTATTTTAATGTTAATACTGGCATGTACGCATTTTGCGAGGAGGTAGATCTGCACTGTAGTCGGGAATGCTTGCATGTAGATCTTGGGAGTGTTCTTGTCCTTGGTGAGTGTTTGTGTATGTTTCATGTTGGTGTGCTGGTGGCTATTACATGCATCAACACACAGGTCACACGGATAATAGTGTTTACAGCGGCAGTGTACCATAGCCTGCGATAATGCTCAAATGCCCGCAATGGGCAGAGCGTAGTGCGCAAGAGGTACACGAAAGGAACTAAAGTAGGGCTGTTTTGTTGGTGAGTTTTATGGTAAAAACCATGGTAGTTTTTCTATTGATATGATCAAACACAGGTGGAACATGTGCTACCTCTGCTGAAGAGAGGTATCGGTATTCATCATGGTGGACTGCTGCCCATTCTCAAGGAGACGATTGAAATTCTTTTCGGAGAAGGACTGGTCAAGGTACGAACTTGTAGTCTGATTTGTGAATTAAAAATTGTTGGGAAATGTAGAGAACTCCTTTGCTGCACGATGTTGGGTAATTTACTCCTATCAGAAAGAGGGCATGTACATAACTGGTTATTTACTGTTGACATTAGGTTTTGCGTAAATTCACTACACACCACTGTTGAACTTCGGTCGACCACACATATTTCCCTTACCTTCCTCAATGTGATATTTGGTTTGTTTTGAAAATTGTTAGCTCTGATCTTGAGAATACCCTGCTTACACCCTTGAACAGATACTGGTAGACCGTTGCTCGTGTCTAAAGTTATCTCTACCTGTCTCTCTCTCTCTCTCTCTCTCTATCTATCTCTCTCTCTCTCTCTCTCTCTCTCTCTCTCTCTCTCCTTATTATTTCTTTTCTATAATTTCCCCATATGAGTTCCTATCAGTTGCTGTGAACACCTTGAGTGGAGAGCGCTTGTTCGAGCGTTGAACCGGGTTCTTAATTCACCATACCCAGTTCGCAAGGCTGGGCGGAGTTGTGAGCAGGCTTTCATTTCATCTTTTCTTATTATTTCTGCTTTTCATCTCATTACAAAATCCTGCGCTTTTTTCTCCATCTGCGCATAAAATCTAGACTGACAACCTGCTTGTTAAATTATTCACCTGCTTTCAGGCATAAAAACCCTGTTGTAGAGGTCTCAGTCCTCATTTGTTAGACTTACCTGTCTTTATAAATGTAACTTTCTCTCTCTCTCTTTCTTTCTTTCTCTCTCTCTTTCTCTCTCTCTCTTTCTCTCTTTCTCTCTCCATTACACATGTGTGTACACACACTCTCTTTTTCCCGTCTCTCTCAGGCACTGTTTGCAACAGAGACATTCTCCATGGGACTGAACATGCCAGCGAAAACTGTTGTCTTCACCAGCGTCAGGAAGTTTGATGGCCATGACTTCAGATGGGTGAGGAGCTAAGAGCTGTTACTTGTCTATGAGGCCAGGCGTCTTGACACATGACATACGCTTCTCAGCGCGAGTCAGCAGATGATGCAATCAGTCGCGTGACATGCGACCGAACAACGCCTGTGACAAACACACACATAATTTTTTTAAGGACTTGTGGGCCCTGGCTACGCCACACCCACTGAGTTTTGTCTTGACCATAGCTTTGGGAATAATAGGAATTGCTTCTACAACACCAGCATCTGTTTTGCTTATCATTTAGCACACAGTGTTGGCTCATGTTAGAGTAGTGTAGTTACGGTGATACTCCTCTTTCTCCAGTTATGGTTAGACTTATTTTAATGTTTGTTCATGTTGGTTCCTTCTTGTGCAGGTCACTGGTGGTGAGTATATTCAGATGAGTGGCAGAGCTGGTCGTCGTGGTCTGGACGACAAAGGTCTGGTCATGCTGATGATGGACGAGAAAATGGAACCAACCATTTGCAAAGATCTCGTCAAGGTCAGTTGTAATGTGTTGCTGTTGCTGCTGCTTTTTGCTGTTGCTATTCTACTGATGCTGCCGACCGCGCTGCTGCTGCTGCTGCTGCCGATCGCGCTGCTGCTGCTGCTGATGTTACCACTGTTAGATGTTGATGTAGCTAGTGCATGTACTGGTAGTGGTGGTAGAATCCTGATTTTTGTTATTCTCAGCAGTAGTACAGTTATCGCTCATGACTTGCGTGGATTTGTACGAGTATGTGTGGTGTTGCCATTGATCTTGTGACTGCCAATGCAATTGCAGTACGCTAGTATACTTGCTCTCATTGCGCAGCGCCTTCGCTGCCATCGCTGTGCATGGTGTGGCGGCTGTGGCTGTATTAGTGAGTCTTACAGTGCTCCGCATGTGATGATGGCAGACGGCTGACAAAATGTGTGTTAGAATGTACTGGGATGTGTGTCCAAGGGGGGGGGTTCTGCATAGCGATTGCTAGACGCATGACAAGATGTGTGTTAGAATGTACTGGGATGTGTGTCCAAGGGGGGGGGGGGGGGGGGGGGTTGTGTTCTGCATAGCAATTGCTAGACGCATGACAAGATGAGGGATTCACAGTCTGCACTAAAGACTTGTATTGACGTGTGCTGCTGCTGGGTGGTGGTGCTGCTGCTGCTGCTGCTGGTGGTGCTGCTGCTGCTGCTGCTTGTACAGGGTACTTCCGATCCTCTGAACAGTGCTTTCCGTCTCACCTACAACATGGTTCTCAATCTGCTACGCGTGGAAGAGATCAACCCCGAGTACATGCTGGAGAGGAGTTTCTATCAGTTTCAGAATGCCAGCTCTGTTCCAGAGCTCGAAAAGAGTAAGTTGTTCATGTTCGGCAAGACTCTAGTGGTGATAGCAACTAGCTGACCTTTACCTTGCTGTCACATGTCACTTTGGGTTACGTCGCTCTGCTAACCTGCCCCACACTAATCTATGTCTAGTACATGTGATGTCCATTGCTGTTTCTCCTGACTTGATGTAGCGTACCTGTGTGTGTGTCTGTGTGTGTCTGTGTGTCTGTGTGTCTGTGTGGCTCATGTTCTGCAGAGCTGAGTGTGTTCCAGGACAAGCTGGATTCCATGGTTGTAGCACGTGAGAGTGAGATTTCCACTTACTATGACATCCGGCAGTTGCTGGATAAGCAAGCACAGCGCATGAAGGTTGGCTTTGTGATAGCATGTCTAGCTTTCCTCGTGTCTTCATTCATTTTGAGCGTGTGCATCGTGACAGGGACGTGTGGCTCGAGTACATGTACACATGCCTCCAATCCTTGGAGAGCATCGGCAATGGTCTTCTAGAAGGATGGCATGTAGTGCTCTATATATGCAGAAGATGATCGTGTTCCATTCCATTACCTAAGCTAAGAACTACAGTAAAACCTGGTTTAAGCGACCACCCCACGGTGCAAGCAAAAGCGGTCGTTAAAGCCAGGTGGTCTGTAGAACCAGGTTCCATACATTCGTGGCATGTCGGATTGTGTATATACTTGTGCATGTTTGTACTTCCATGATTGTACTCATATTGACAGATGCGGAGCATAGAATACTTTCGTGCAGGTAAAGCACACCTCACTGGATCGCATGCAGCGCATCCTGCACTGTCACCTTGGTCACTTGTCACTTCTGTTGACTGCATGCATTTGCTTGCTTCAGAGCGCACTTCAACCCTGTTGCAGTCAACCCTGCCGGCCAATATGGCACTTTTGGTCGCTGTGTGCAGGTCCAATATGGCACTTGGTACACTAAAAGTCGGCCGCTGGTCGCGCAAGGCAGGTGGTCTCTGTATCCGGTGCAGCTTCTATGTAGAACTGTCCTTGCATAAAGAAACGGTCGTTAAAATTAGGTGGTCGCTAAAACCAGAGGTTGCTTACACCAGGTTTTACTGTACATACATGTACATTGTACAGTGACGAGCATCCTGTTTCACCGTTACGTGATCGCAGGTGGCTCTATTGTCTTGTTGGTGCCGGTGTCGGTGTTTGTCTTTCCCAGCGCTACACAACAAACCCTCGCTACTTGCTCGGATTCTTGCAGCCTGGCCGATTGGTTCAGGTGGGTTGCCCTTGTGGGTTGCCCTTGTGGGTTGCCCTTGTGGGTTGCCCTTGTGGGTTGCCCTTGTGGGTTGCCCTTGTGGGTTGCCCTTGTGGGTTGCCCTTGTGGGTTGCCCTTGTGGGTTGCCCTTGTGGGTTGCCCTTGTGGGTTGCCCTTGTGGGTTGCCCTTGTGGGTTGCCCTTGTGGGTTGCCCTTGTGGGTTGCCCTTGTGGGTTGCCCTTGTGGGTTGCCCTTGTGGGTTGCCCTTGTGGGTTGCCCTTGTGGGTTGCCCTTGTGGGTTGCCCTTGTGGGTTGCCCTTGTGGGTTGCCCTTGTGGGTTGCCCTTGTGGGTTGCCCTTGTCTCGTGCAATTTAGTTCTTTCCTCCTCTTTTTCTCTTTTCCAGTGTTTGGTTATTGTGCTGACGTCTTTATACTGATATTGTTAGGACCGTGAGAATTATACACAGTGCGTACTAGACTAGTGTTACATACCTACTTGGGGACGTAAGTATCTGTACTTTTCTAGCTGAGACACTGGAAAAAGCATGTTATTTCTAGGGCTTAGAGTACTGTCGGGTGCCGAAGAACGTAGTGCCGAAAAACGACCAGCCTAGGATTTCACCAAGCACAGCATACCAATGTATACACGGTGACTCAACTGTGCATAGACTGTAGTACATGAAAATAAGAACGGTCCACGGTTATAGGGTACGAGGCTCACCCCCTCGGTTCTTCGGCGGCCGACAGTACTGTATTCTCTTAGACAGGGGTCTAAGATCCTCAGGCTGCATAATAGTGCGCGTCAGAGTGCACAGACCTGACCAGTGTGTGTAGTTACTAGTACTAGGGCTGCGTAGCGCCCGGCGCTATTTTATTCATGAGGTTGGATTTCTTTGGCCAGCGCTGTACATTGTGTACTGATCATTGATCAACCATTACTATCCACTACTATGTTGTCGCGTGACAGCGTGAACAAGGCGAGAAAGCACACAGACAGGAACAAAAAATAAAGAGCAACGACAGGCAACCGCAGTCAGAGGATTGTACCCGTTACGGCCGGAGTTCATCTCCAAAGTACTAATTACGAGACCAGGGAATTTTCCTTCGCCCCTAGAAAGATAATGAGGGTCTGAACCGGGGCATTGCCCCGTACAGTTCAAATGGTCGCAAGACCAAGACTCTACCAACCGGTTTATGGTTGTAGTCAGGAGCACTGTTTCCCATACAGTGTGTCCTCGCCTTGCTCACGCTGTCACTTGAAAACATGTTACCAAGAGAAGATAAACAAGAGTGTGCAACTCCGGATCTCTTCTGCACAGTCTGCAGATACCCCCGCCCGCGGCGGAATTTTTTGTTGATGTCACCTTTTTTTCAGAAGAACGCGCATTTTGCCCCAGAGCAGTGTGAGAGCACGTGCTGGGCACCGGCTTGTGTAATGTAAAGCCCGGCCAAGTGTACGAGGCAAAACTTTCCAAAAGACTCGCAGCGCGTGCATCGTCGAAAAGATTACGTCAACAAAAAATTCCGCCGCAGGCCAACCCATCCCGGAGTTGCACACTCTTGTTTATCTACTCTTGATGTTACCTATCAGGCAAGGCTTACATTATAATAAAAATATATCCCCTACTATACAGTCCAAACCAGGGTGGTGCAACAATGGTTACAGAGAAGTCACCGCCCTGATTCATGCAAGAATGGATACGAGAATAAGGTAACACCGATTCTCACACAGCAAGAACACAACCAAGTCCCAGAAGTACTTGGTTGGGTCATCGCTGTGTGAGAATTGCATTACTGGCTCTGTCCGCTGGACATAGAGCACCATATGCAGCCTGAGGATTCTTTGGCCGATTTATACGTCTTCGCATATAGAATCGCTTGTCTGGGCCCTGTTTGGGGTCAGCAGGGCAAGGCCGCTATTGCGAAGTGCATAGACCACAGATCACGTAGAACTTCCAAATCCGGGGTCGAAACGTACGTATCGTTTCGGTCATTATGATCTCGTGTCGTCTCCCTAGCCTAGGTGCTACGGCTCGCTGGTGTGCTGTAACAGCGCGCAACTAGGGAAAGATCTGCTTGAATTCTGTGGAAATGTGATTTATTCTACGAGGCGTTCTCTCTTTCTCTCTCTCTCTCTCTTCTGCATGCAGATCAAAAATGGAGATGATGACTATGGCTGGGCTGTGGTTGTTGCCTACCAGAAGAAGACAACCAAGTCCAAGGTATGCAGCTATGCATGTGCCCTTTCTTGTTTGCCATGCCACTTACAACATACTGTTCCTTGCTTGTTCTCTCTGTTTGAATGTGTGACTATCGCACATGCAACACACCTGTGCCCTTGCACCTCCTGTAGTACAAGGTGATAGTGTGTCAGTCTTGTACGTGTGCAATGTAGAAGCACCAAACGTCACATCTTGCCAGCTTTGTGTACTCCTATATTCTCACTTTTCTCACACCAGAATAACCTCAACCAGGTCGAAAGCCCATTTATACGGGGAATATTTTGACCACTGGCCGTATAGACGCGAATCCATTAAGCTAGTACCCAGTGGGTTGTGACTAGTTTAATACTGTGTGTCTCCAGTAGCCACTGCTGGTACATGCACTACATGCACTAGATGCAGTGTTAACCCATTTTAACAGATTGTTCTCCTGGCTCCCTGTTCTGCACCCCTTGCATATGCTCCCTTCACTTAGGCTGGAATTGCCAATGAAGTGAACTATCTTCTTGAGGTTCTGCTACACTGTGCTCTGGATACCGCACCAGCCAAGCTAGGTCCAAAGTGGACCGTCAGCAACTTGCCCAAGCCATGTGGTCCGGGCGACAAAGGCAGTGCTCAGGTTAGTGGCCAATGCTGGAGATCACTGTCATTTGATTATCCTTAAAGCTGCTGCTGCTGCTGCCTCTGCTGCTACCCGTCAGCTCGCAATGCAGTGAGGCTGTGTTTACATGAGGCGTTTCAACCCGGGTCAGATTTCAACCCGCCATGTACACAAAATGAATGGCGCGTTTACATGATGCATTGCGCTTGATCCGGGTGGAGTTCAACCCGGGGCGAGAAAATCGCACTAACGTACTTCTGTGCGTATCTCGCGCCAGGTTTGAATAGCACTGCACGTGCAAATTTCGCGCGAACGTATTCACGTGACCATTCAGGATTCTAGAAGTGGACTTTTGGCGGCAAATCAGTTTTTGACCCGTGTGTGTGTGTGAACTCGACCCGGGTTGAAAACACAGCCTGAACCTTTTCACGAACTTGATGTATCAAACTATTTCTGTGTGTATGTGTGTATGTGTGTGCTGTCATTGACTGTCATTGTCCTCTCCTTGTCAGGTTCACATTGTACCTTTCTCCTACATCAACGGTAGCAGCTCAGTGCGTCTCTACCTGCCCAAGGATCTCAAGTCACCCGACAGTCGCGTCAGCGTTCTCAAATCACTCCGGGTATGCAGACAGTGTGTACGCTGTACAGGAAATCAATCTAAGTGCTGTATTGCATGGGGTGGGACATGATGTTGAACCCCAGCTTGCACTTCTCAATATCGCCTTCAAACACACCTGATAGGGAAAGCCCCCGAATTCTCGTTAAGCCATGGTTAGACAAGATTGAATAAACAAATGAAATCATCTGCGTCAGTTTTCTAGTCATTTCAGAACAGCTGTTGAACTCATCCACAGCTCTCCGCTAGTTGTTTGCTCTTATTTCTTTGCACGGTGTAAGGCGTTTAGCATTACTCAAGTTCTCTCTCTCTCTCTCTCTCTCTCTCTCTCTCTCTCTCTCTCTCTCTCTCTCTCTCTCTCTCTCTCTCTCTCTCTCTCTCTCTCTCTCTCTCTCTCTCTCTCTCTGTTCCTCTGTCTCTGTTCCTCTGTCTCTGTGTCCCTCTCATCCTCTATCTCTGTCTCTTCTCCTTTGATCTGTATCCTGCTGGCCGTGCATTCAGGATGTGTTGGCAAAGTTCCGTGATGGCTTGCCCCAGTTGGATCCGGTTGCTGATATGAACATCCAGGAGGAAGGTTTCAAGAAAATCGTTGAGGTGAGAATGCGCCGTCAGGGGCCGTGCTACTGTTGCTTTCTTGTATGTACCTCTGTGTGTGTATGTGTGTGTGTGCGCGCACACACGTGCGTGTGTGTGGATGTGCGTGTGTGCGCGCACACACGTGCGTGTGTGTGGATGTGCGTGTGTGCGTGCGTCTACATGTGTATATGTGTATGCATGCTGATGGAAGCAATGTGTTCATGTCTGCATCCATGTTGGGTACAAGTGAATTTTGACGCCTTGGTCTGGTCATTGATGTGTGTAGCAAGAGTCTACACTAGTTCACACCACTTACTTGTTAACTGTTGAATTAGTGAGCTCTGCCGTTGTTTTCTTGGCGGGTAGACTACGCTCTTGGATTGCTTTAGCAGCCCTCCACATATTGTCTTCTTTTTAGCTGCCCTAGGCCTTAGCGAATTACACCAAACAACAGCACCCTTTCCCTATCCAAACCAGACATATGCTGTAGAGTACCTTGTGGCTGTGTTTGGTTTTCTAGAGAATTGTAAAGCTGGAAGAACGCCTCTACAAGCACTCATTGCACGAAGACCCGGACGTGACAGAACTGTTCTCTGCATACAGCCAGAAGCTTGAGGTAAGGCCCTCTCTTCAGACTAGGTACAAAACAGCCGATAAGTCACATTTACGTAGAAGTTTCCAAGACATCTACAAGAATCTGGCGAGAAGCTGCCCAATCCTGTCGGGCAGGGTGCGAACCCTTGTACAAGGCGACTTTCCTGCATTTATCGTATTTTCACCAGGCAAGTCGTACAAGCGTACACACTTTGTATGACTCCCTGCGCCTTCACACATCCCCTTGCGCAATTGTGCAGGGTTAAAGGCTACCTGTATGTTGCATGTAAAATGTAGTCTGAATGTAGGCTCGGACAAATGTTGCCTTTTAGGTTTTATGTGATTTTGTACTGCATTTTCTATGTACGTGGTCTGAAGAGGGCCTAACGAGTGGGGTAAATGACGTGTGTCACCAGAGTGCGGTTTTTTCGTTTTTAAGAATTGCATTCAATCCTCTCTTGCGGGACGTCACGTATCCCGGCATTGTTCTCAACCGGGCGGCACCCTTCCGAGTCCACTTAGTAGTGTGTTTGTAGTGTGGTGCATGTTGCAACAAAATTTTGTTACATAAATGATGTTGACTGCATTGCGTAAAAGCGTACTGTACGTTCATGCACCACCATTATTCTTCATGCACTGATCCTCAATAGGAGTTCTAGGACACGTCGAAATGTAACTGTTTAAAGGGGAACTGTCACCAAAATTTTTCTTAGTGCTGCCTGCTTCCCAGTTGTTGGTACACGTAGTATGTCATTGGTGGCATTCAACGGTCGTGCGTGCGTGTGTGTGTGTGTGTGTGTGTGTGTGTGTGTGTGCGTGCGTGCATGTGTGTGCATGTGTGTGCATGTGTGTGCGTGTGTGTGTGCATGTGTGTGTGCGTGTGTGTGTGTGTGTGTGTGTGCGTGTGTCTGTATCAATGCTAACTGGACCATGGTGCATGACTAGACACTGCAACAAGTGCAGCATCTGAAGAAGGAGATCAGATCAGCGCAAACCATTCTACAGCTGGATGAACTGAAGGGCCGCAAGAGAGTCCTACGCCGGTAGGTACTCAATACCCATACCTGGCCACATAGTCTATTCTATTGCTTTCTTGCTTTTGAAAGTCACGTTGGAACGGTATCAGCATTGTTGGAGTATTTTAGCATAAAGCCCCATCTGGCACATATACCATTCTCTCCATCACTACTAGTACTATGACTGTACTTTCATTCTCTCGCAATGTTCTCCCCTATCAGCATGCACTTCATACTTGAGTATTGCCTGACTGGGTATTACCGGTACCTGAATGGGCTCGACGGGCTTCTCGTGTGCTCCAGACGCAGTCGTGAGTCAGTCAAGTGTCCAGTCAGTTGGCAGGAAGCGCGAGCTCCGACGTTCGGAACAGACACTTTCTGCATGAATCACCGCCGATGTCGCAACATCTTTTGTACTGAGTAGACCGAGTACCTTATTACCTGAATAGGCACAGATGATGTGATACAGTGATGGCCTTGTCATGTGTATGCCCGCAGTACGGTGATGTAACCAGGTGTCTGCCGTTGCTCGTGTGCTCTTCATGTGTAGGCTTGGCTATGCCAGTGCAGCTGATGTGATTGAGATGAAGGGCAGAGTGGCGTGTGAAGTAGGCTGGTGAGTACTGTGTTGTCCGGGGATACGAATAGACTGTAGTAGTGTAAGCAGTTACTAAGCACTATGTTGTACGGGGATACAAATAGACTGTAGTAATAGTATACTCGTGCCTGATCCACTACTGTCAAATAATATTAATTGTATTCAACTTGATCGCCTTGACAAATTTTGTGAAAGCGATCGAGTTGTGTAATAAGCCCATTGCGCATTGCCAAATATGGAAGGTATGAGTAATGCAAGTGAGTACGCTGGGATCAGGAATGCACTGTTCAACAACACCCCCAGACGACCATGCCCAGGTGGCTGTGTTCATGGTACGAATTACGTCATTGCGCAATGGGCTTATTGGTCTAGCTGTTCAACACCCCAGACGGCCATGCCCAGGTGGTTGTGTGGGGTGTTTATGGTACAAAATCCATCATTGCGAAATGGGCTTATTGTGCATGAACATGCACAACGCTAAGAATGACAATGACCTCCAGTTTCTGACAAGGGGCACGTGTTACCAAAGACATTAGACTTTAGGGGTGAAACGGTTCGGGTAAGGAACCGGTTTTGGTACCGCCAGCTGAAAAGAATCGGGTACCCGTTCCATCAAATTTCAAACCGAAACTCGAAAATCTTGTTCTAGTACAAATACATGTACACGTCATGTCTACTCAAGATTTAAATGTCTTACCTTACGATCACCGCCCTTTCAAAGGGTTCTCCTGGTCATTATCTTCTTCACATGCATGTCCTTTGCGTCTCTGTTGCTTTTCACTGTTTTTATTTGACATTCTCTTTCTTTACTGAGTTGTTGTTGCTGTTGATTTGCTACTCTTTTGTTTTCCCTCCCCTTATTTTTATTTTTCACCGCGGTTGGCAATCACCCACCCTCTTAACATTGGCTGGTGTTTCCACCGAGTCTTGAGATGTTGTAATAAATATAAATATAACCGATACCTGGACCGTGGGAAACTATGCTGGCATTAGGGTACCCGAACATGAAAAACGTGAAACCGCTTCACCCCTACTCCTCATGCATTCTCGGCACTGGTGGTGATATGGGCAAACAATGATTCTTCAAGCAAAGAATTATAGACTACAAGCTAAAGGGTATAAAGATTGCATGACTTTCTCTTACCCGTTGTTACATACAGTAACTCATAATGTTGTATGTCTCCATTGTAATTTATGTGCGCTGTATGTCCGTACTGGTACATGTGCATTCACTCTCATCTGAGATACATCACTTGTAAATGTGTTACTGCTGTGCACAGTGCTGATGAACTTGTTCTGACTGAGTTGATCTTCAACGGTGCATTCAACGACCTGTCGGTGGAGCAAATCACAGCTTTGCTGAGCTGCTTTTCTTATGATGAGAAAAGTGTAAGTGCATTTGAAGGAGATGATATGCATGGTAGCTTTGTGTTCAGTGCACTGCAGGTGATTTGTTTGGAATTTTGCTCTTGGGACGTGTATTATACTAGGCTTAGGGCGCGTTCGAATTGTCACTCTTTGACTTTTCGAGGAGTTTCGTTTTTCTGAAGAGGTGGCCTTATTGGCCTCTTCAGAAAACGAAGCTCCTCGAAACTCCTCAAAACTCCACAACCTCATCCGATGGGAGAGGTGGATTAGTTTCGAAGAGTTTGGAATAGCTACGTCATGTAGTACGTGGAGATGGTCGATCTGATCGGACGTCATCATCGCCATGACAATTCCACTGAAAAACTCTAAAATGATAGAAACCGTTCTAATTGGACACTTCAACTAATCTCTTTATAAAATTTGTTTGAACAGTTGATGAAGACAATTTGAACGCGCCCTTAGTGAAGGACTTGAGTGTTTGAATAAACCTGATCTTTCATTTACCTCCAGGTATCAATTATTTACATGAACTCGTTGACACGCTCACCCTGTATGCACACATACGTGTGCACAGATCGTATTTTCAACCGTAGACTGGACACTGTGTTCTCTGTTTGCTTTCTGGCCGTGTAGAATGAAGAAAAGACCAAGATTCCCGAAGAACTGGCAGCGGCACATCGTCTTCTCCAGGTGCGTGTTAGCACTGCCAAGTGACCTTTTACATGACTGTATTGCTGAGTTTTGCCCACCGCTTTTAATAGGAGCTGCATCTGCGCCTTGATCCTTGGGGGGGGGGGGGGGGTGGCGTTCCTTCGGATGCGGAAAACCCTCCAGCCGAGTCTCACGAGAGCCGTGATTTTTTTGCATATGAGTCACCTAGTGACGTAGTTCGTCTGCCTGCGCCAGGGCCCAGCGGTCATCAGTGAGCATCCTTGTTCATTTGCTCGGTTGCTTGTTCACATCTACCACGTGACCAAGTGATCACATGTGCGCAGCCACACGCCCTGGATGAGCCAGGCTGCCGACAGTCCTAAATCACGAGAGTGACGGACAAGACCGTATGCAGTGTAGACAAAGATCGCATGGTGACGGACAATGCCAGGCAGCGGTAGCCCTTGTATGTCTTGTCCTGAACTGCTGTACAAATACCGTAGAGATGTTCATATACATGATCATCGAACCCAGGGCTTATGCGTGCATGGTCTCTCTCTCTCTCTCTCTCTCTCTCTCTCTCTCTCTCTCTCTCTCTCTCTCTCTCTCTCTCTCTCTCTCTCTCTGTGTCTGTCCTCTCTCTCTCTCTCTCTCTCTCTCTCTCTCTCTCTCTCTCTCTCTCTCTCTCTCTCTCTCTCTCTCTCTCTCTCTCTCTCTCTCTCACTCTCTCACTCTCTCTCTCTCGCTCTCTCTCGCTCTCTCTTTCTCGCTCGCTCTCTCTCTCTCTCACTCTCTCTCACTCACACACACACACACACACACACACACACACACACACACACACACACACACACACACACACACTCTCTCTCTCTCTCTCACACACACACACACACACACACACACACACACACACACACACACACACAAACACACACACACACTCTCTCTCTCTCACAAACACACACACACACACACTCTCTCTCTCTCACACACACACACACACACACTCTCTCTTTTCTCTCGCTCTCTCCAGGTGTTGCTGGGACTATTTGATGTTGAATTGCATGTTAAAGGGGAAGTTAAGGCTAAAATCAAAATTTCACCAGTTGTAGTCTTCGGGGTGCTGAGTCGAATGGTCGTGGTCCGAGGAAGCTGACACGCTCCCTTCCTACTTTAATCCCAATCGAACTCGCGCACTTCCACCGAAACTGGGTGACTGCACCCTACTAGATGGGGATTTGTATGCAAAATGTCACTAAAAGCGCCATTTCGTTCTTATAAAAGCACGGATGACCGCGATTAGCCCATATGTTGTAGTCTTTTGGACACTGAGTCGACTGGTTTTGGTCCGAAAAGGCTGCGATGCAGCGTTCCTCCTTTATTCCCAATCGAACATGTTTGAACAAGCGGTCACATGCTCTGTGTTGCCACACCTGCCGACATGTCAGTAGCCTGCCGATTTTTGGGGCCTGTCACGACCTGCCGACAATTGACCGTCTCCTGCCGACAACAGCCGTGAAAGTGTCCAAACTTGACCTTTGTGCTTGGTTTAGAAGTCATGGTCCAGAATTTTGGCTTTTACTGCTCATTACGAGTGTTTCCATAGCTCTCTCCTACAATACAAACATCAGCTGTCTGGGGGAAATCGTGTGCACCGTAGAATCCCGCTGGTGGGTTTGTACAACGAAGCTTGGCGATGTTCGAATTTGGCCTAGGCTTATGCGCGGGTGGGGTTTATTCGCTGGATTCTACGATATATTAGGGTTACTATGAGAGGGGGGGGGGGGGGTCCGGGGGGCGAAGCCCCCGGATGATGCATTTTATTTTTTTCAGTCTACTGATATTTGGCTATAATGATGTGGCAACACTGCATGCTCCTGGGTGCCCAAATCACCTGGTCACCGCACCAGCAGGTGACAACTTTCACACCAAGGTTCAACAGGACTGCACCCAAAAAAGGTCAAACACGCTAGTAAGTTGTACCCTGCAGGCACGGTGACCAGGTGACTGGTGTACGCAGGAGCACGTGACCGCTTGTTCAAACATGTTCGATTGGGAATAAGAGCCGAACGCTGCATCGCAGCCTTTCGGACCAAAACCAGTCAACTCAGCGTCCAAAAGACTATAACATATGGGCCAATCGCGGTCATCCGTGCTTTTATAAGAACGAAATGGCGCTTTTAGTGACATTTTGCATACAAATCCCCGTCTAGTAGGGCGCAGTCACCCAGTTTCGGTGGAAGTGCGCGAGTTCGATTGGGATTAAAGTAGGGAGCGTCTCAGCTTCCTCGGACCACGACCATTCGACTCAGCACCCCGAAGACTACAACTGGTGAAATTTTGATTTTAGCCTTAACTTCCCCTTTAATGCTTTGGTTATTTGCTGTGTCGTTGTGCGTTTAGGAGACTGCACGTCGTATTGCTCGCATCTCAGCTGAGTGCAGACTAGACCTGGATGAGGAGACCTATGTATCTTCCTTCAACCCGGGCATGCTGGAAGTTGTCTTAGCCTGGAGCAAGAAGGCAACCTTTGCGGAGATCTGCAAAATGACCGAAACGTATGAAGGCAGTATCATCCGCTGCTTCAGGCGTCTCGAAGAGCTGCTGCGACAGATGGCGCAGGCAGCCAAGGTCATTGGTAACATGGAGCTGGAGAAGAAGTTCTCCATGGGCATCACCTGTATCAAGCGCGACATCGTCTTTGCCGCCAGTCTCTACCTGTAAATGACGTGACACTCAACAGTGTACTACTAACCTTGGGCTGGGCCTGCATGGCGCACGCCAGTTCCTTTGCCCAATGACCCCGTTGCCAGATCTGAATGCCGTACCTACTGCAGCACTGTGTGCTGAGAGAGTGAGTGCCGACCACTGCTATGCTCTGCTGACCACTGCTATGCTCTGCTGACCACTGCTATGCTCTGCTGACCACTGCTATGCTCTGCTGACCACTGCTATGCTCTGCTGACCACTGCAGGAATTAATCCAACCTGTACTGCTGTAGACTGCTGCCGCTACCATGCCGCCCGCATGCGTGCTACAATTAGCTGCACCGTTGAATGCGACCCTCGCTGTGTGGCTGTGTGGCCCACTGTCAACATTACTATCGGTCTCTCATGCATGTGCAAGGACACCTGGTCATTCTGGCCCCATGGAAACTGGAATACTTTTTAATTATCAGATTGCGTTCAAAGTGACAAAGAGGATGAGCGGACCCTGCATTTTCTTTCGTGACGTGGCTATTGCCTCTTTCCAGCACAATACTTGTCAGTCTCAGCCACTTGTGTACTGTATTTGTTGTTGTTGTTAGAATGGACTCGGACTCGGTTGTTGTTGTTGTTTATTTATTTTACATCGCATGTCAAACGGGCAGTTCTGCACAATATTGTGAGTGTGATAGGGCGGGGCCGGGGGGGGGGGGCATTCGACTTTTCGAGAAATATCTGCGAAGAGTAAAGCTGTGTTCACAACTGACGCGTGTGCGCGGTACACTTGTGGTTCATGCGTGCCCACACGCCCGCTCAGGTGTTCACAAAGAACAGCAGTCCGAGTCGTATTTAGCGCATGCGACGCCTTCGAGTACTAATTTTTTGTACGCTGGTATGCGCCTGATACGCGCTGAAAATTCCTAATACAGTATGTTGGAATTTCCATTTCGCGTTTCCGTACGCATGGCGCCCCAAAAGGCAGCAGAAATACGCTCAAACGCGTGATCATCAAAGTCCTTTTCATCGTTGCATCATTTTTTAATCGTCCTATCAAGATTTTTTTTACTATGTTCACATACCCAACTCGTAAAAATTAATAATGAAAGACAATGGTACTAACTCCTACTACTGAGACAAGGACAAACGTAACAACTACTGAGAAGGGGCTGCACCGAGATGTGAACGTGTGTGGAGTCTTGATCCAACGCACCGTGACGTCAAAAGGCCCAGACCGATTATGTACCAACATTCAGTGCGAAGATACCAATCTTGGATAAAATTCATATCAAGTGAGTCACCTCCAGAAGCACACACACGCGCGCGCGCGCACCCCCCCCCCCCCCCCCCCCCCCCACGCACACACACAAACAAAACTTCAAAAGGGCGCGCAAGGTCAAACCCATGCCGGCCATGCCCACTGCACTGCAAGCGCGCTAGCTAGCATGCTAGCGCCGCTAGCGCTATCTAGCTAGGCCGTGGTACGGGTACCGGTTGCGCCATATATCGCGATGCATTATCATCAGTGGATCTGCCACGTGCAGGGATCGTGTGATCTTTGCAGTAGGCCCGATCACGTATCTGCGTAGATCTACGCGTCTACGTCTTTTTTTGTACGTCTGTTTATCGCACGCAATCAATCGATCGAGCTTTTCGTACAGAAGAAAGAAGGAACCATGATTACCACCTGTTCATGTTACTCATGTACGTACACAAGCCCATTGTGTGTGGAATTCGAATATTATGTTCTTTAGTCGAGGGTTTGGTCGTTTCATGTCCACAGTCATGTCTGCCGCCAGGCCGTCTGTTGTGTTCGTTCTCGGTGGTCCTGGTGCTGGAAAAGGAACGCAATGTAGCCGAATCGTTCAGGTGGGTAGATCTACATAATTTTGTATTTTCGTCCACGTTCTGTGGGCTTTGGCAGTAGGTGGCGGATGTTAAAGGAAAGGGAATATTGATCGGTCCTTCCGCTTGTACTCACTGGTAGTAATGGGTCAATCTGCTCACAACCCCTCCCACCCACTTGCTACAGGTTGCAGAAACGATGTCGAACTTGAAGTTGGGCGTGGGCCCAATAGCTTTCGCTGCTTTTATAAAACGCACGGAGAACTATTAAATTTTCTATTCTCCCATTTCTGACAAGTATGAATTAATTTTGTCGCGTATCTTGACCTTCCTTCCCACAACCAACGACAGTGCAGTACCGGATGGTAATCTGTTTACATCGTCTTCGTCTTGAAAAAGTCAATCAAACTCTCGATCACCATGAATGTTTTCATCTTGAGTAGTAAATCGATCCATGGGTTCATTTATTTATTTATTTTGCCCGTGTCTTTCGGTGATACGGCAACTTCTTGCCCTGCATGTGGATAGCGTAAGTGCGCTAGTGCGGTTAATAGTATATGGTGCACAGGAGGAATATATCAGGCCAGTGGGTGGATTAAAAAAAGAAGAAGAAAAAAGGTCGAGTCCATAATGTGCATACAGTAAGAGCGGGCGCCGAAGAGCGCAGGGGCTCAGAGCGCAGCCTAGCATTGTTCTAAAATGTTGAGATGTTAGTCGTTTTGTTCTTATTTATAGCGAACATCGTACAATGGAGAGCAGCATACGGTGCAAGCACGCCACGTGGAAAACATGGAGAAAACGGCACATATGTTCTTAAATGTGTAAATCTAGCCTGAATCGTTCTTAAATCTGGGCCATTTTCCAGGCTAAGTGTTCTTCGGCGCCCGATCTTATTGTACATACATGTATACCGGTAGTCCGTTCATTTGAAACTGGCCCGCTACGTTGCTGAGAACGTATTCAAGGCCACTTTTGAGAAGCGCAAGTTTCGGAAATGGAAAGAACACGGACTCATTAGACATGGTTAGCATTTTACCGTTCACGCTATTTTCGACGGTCGGCCTGCACCGTTTTTTGTGTGTGTAGACATGGCATTTTTCAGTTCACGCGCTAGATCCAACGGCACTCGTACCCCAAACCCAAAATACCGTCGGTTTGGTACCGTTTCGACGATAGAAAGCTCTTTTTAGCGGGAGAACGAAACGGTAAGATTCCAACTAGGGTTACCTCACACGTCTATCGTTGCGTCAGGACTCAGAAGCCGAACTGCTAACCGTGTCTCGAAAACACATCAAAAACAGTAGACTCGGCCTCCACATGCCGATCGCCGAAAATAGCGTGAACGGTAAAATGCTAACCATGTCTAATGAATGGTCAACACTGCGGCTATCAGCACTGTGGCTATCTGCACAGGTGCATTGAAAATGAGCCTACCGTATTTGCCGGAGTATAATGCGCACCCCTATTTTTATGCATTGTTTTTGGCAACTCAAGGTATATCCGGAGTATAATGCGCAGCCTAGATTTGAGAGCATTGTTATTAGTCATAAAGACAGTACAGTGTACTATAGTGCGACCATTGTCACAAAAAGTTGCAGATGGCTTGCGCAGGGTCAGATGTGGCATACTCCGTAACAATTCGATGCATTGCACTACTTTTCGAAGTACATGTTCATTTTCTTCTTCATATTCGGAGCATAGTGCGCACCAGCCAGAAGTAGTGCCTCCAAAGTGCGCACTATACTCTAGGATTGAAGTGGGTGTGCTTCAGACATTGTATTAGGACTATGCCCTGGCTGCATACCTTAAAGTTCCGTGTATACGCCCACTCGAAATAGCGCCCATGCCCGAAATAACGCCCATCGAATCGACATCCACACTCAAAGCCCGTGAGTTCGCCCATGCCCGAAAACCGCCCAGGGTGATGCTGTACCTGTGTATGCGTATGTGTGCAAAATGGTATGCAATCAGCATGCTTATGAAAACGCAACCGACGCAATCTGCACCTTGTATAGACCCAGTCCTGAAATAACGCCCATGCCCAAGTACACGCCCAGTGTTCAGACCCTTGTTCTGTATACGCCCGGGGCTTATTTGCGGAACTTTACGGTATAACGTGTTTACATGTTCTGTGTGTTTGCATGTTCTGTGTGTTTCTGCAGGAGTTTGGTTATGTCCATCTTTCTGCTGGTGACTTGCTTAGGTCAGAGCGTGCTAGTGGCTCTGCAGATGGAGACCTGATCGAGGGCCACATCCAGGCTGGCAGCATTGTTCCTGTTGAGATCACCGTGCGCCTGCTGGAAAAGGTGAGCAGGTGTGTGTTGATCTTGGACTGACTAGCTATGGCCGCCGTCCTGTGAGGTGTGTGTTGATCTTGGACTGACTAGCAATGGCTGTCCTGTGAGGTGTGTGTTGATCTTGGACTGACTAGCAATGGCTGTCCTGTGAGGTGTGTGTTGATCTTGGACTGACTAGCAATGGCTGTCCTGTGAGGTGTGTGTTGATCTTGGACTGACTAGCAATGGCTGTCCTGTGCGGTGTGTGTTGATCTTGGACTGACTAGCAATGGCTGTCCTGTGAGGTGTGTGTTGATCTTGGACTGACTAGCTATGGCCGTCCTGTGAGGTGTGTTGATCTTGGACTGACTAGCAATGGCTGTCCTGTGCGGTGTATGTTGATCTTGGACTGACAAGCTATGGCTGTCCTGTGAGGTGTGGATTGATCTTGGGCTGACTAGCTATGGCCGTCCTGTGGTCTTCTGGCTTTGCCAGCACGCCTTCCCGGCGGCATGTTAGGAGTGTAGTGCATGGCCTGCAAGTACAGCGGTGGCAAGTGAAATCCAATGTTGAGAGTATGCCTGCAAAGCCCAATCACTTTGAACAGTGGACTGTGCAGTGTACCACGGCTCTGCCCTATTCATGGGGTTGGATTTCATTTGCCACTACTGCACTTGAATATGTAGCATAGATCTCTCCAAGGAGACCAACAGTGGACCAGTCTAGCCTCACTACAGTCCCACCTCGCGTATCCGTACGCAGGTGGACATGTCTCCGAAGAGGAATATCTGGACGTGCCAATTGGATAAATTCCGTATGCATTTTTGCACCCGAATATAGATACCGCCCATAATAAGTATCCCGCGCAACAGGATCTTGTCGCATGCTGCATTGCATTTTCATTTGCTACATGCGTGGATGCTGCCGTGGAGTAAGTACTGCAGTGCTATTGCCGAAACGTACGCGAGAGAACGTTCACCCTGATATTTAGTACAGTGGCCGAGAATAAGTGCAGGGAGTGGTGCTCGGTTTGAAAGTTAGTACGCACTTGCTTATGGGTTTGTACCGTATTTTCCGGGGTATAAGCCGCACTTTTTTTCGCTAAAAATCGGACCAAAATCGCCCCTGCGGCTTATACACCGAATATGCTTGCGCGAATGAATGCTTAGCATACATCAGTATGCATGCTGACGTCATGTGACATGTCATTCGACTCAGCTTCGCGCCTGTGTTGCTATCCCGGCACTTTTACTAGTTTTAGTATGCATCAGTGGCAGCGAGACTGAAGATAGTGCAGATGACATGGAGTAATCTGTACAGTAGTCAACACAGCAATACACCAACATCTGTGCAGCAACCTGTGGTGCACTAACACTTCATAATCTGATCTAACATGGTATTTAGCTCCATAACCATAATAAATTTGTAGAAAGGCCATTTGTCAATGAGTGTGAAAAATCTTGGTTTGTGGGTGCGGCTTATACTCCGAATACCAACTTTTAGTCAATATTTTGCCTCAAAAAGGGGGGTGCAGCTTATACCCCAGTGCGGCTTATACCCCAGAAAATACGGTACTTCTTTTGCAGTAGTATAGTAGCATTATAAAGTTTGGGAGTGCAAGGTCAAGAATTTGGAAGGGGTACTTTTCGTGCGTAGTTTTTTTGTTTTTGTTTTGTTGCTGTAATACCAATGTTGGGAGCATGATCTGGCTCTGAAAATGGCCGCTTTGTGATGTGTTTCTTGCATGCTTAAATTGCTCATGTTCCGTTGCTCTCCTTGTTACCAGGCTATGATCAAGAGCGGTGGAGACAAGTTTCTCGTCGATGGATTCCCACGTAACGAGGACAATCTGAAGGGCTGGGAGGATCACATGGGAGAGAAGGCCAACGTCAACTTCTGCCTCTTCTTTGAGTGTCCAGAAGATGTAAGCAAAATGATGAAGATCAGACTGCCTTTTAAATTCATTTGAAAAAATCATTTCACCTTGAAGTACATATACAGTGGTGGCGAATGAAGTCCCACCCCTAGTTTTTCACACAGTTTCAGTGCGACAATAGGGACTGGATGTCATTAGCTACCACGGTGCATCACTGATTTCACACGTGTCAGCTGATCTATTTGTGTCACACTGTCTACACTCTTGCTGTGCGTATCGCCTTGGCAGCAGCACCACTCTAAGTAATCACCACGCAGAGCCGTATCTGTATGAGTTTGTTTCGCACTGTTAGGTACTTTAGCTGCTGTTCTCCCGTGTCTTGTGCTTATTGCTGCGCAGCTATGCGTGGAGAGAGCCATGAGCCGTGGCCAGTCCAGCGGACGATCAGACGACAACCCCGAGGTCTTTCAGAAACGGTTGGTTTCAAACTGATGTTCTCTGTGTAAAAGCAAGAGTAGATAAGACAAGAGTGTGCAACTCCGGGATGGGTTCGCCCACGGCGGAATTTTTGTTGTAATCTTTTCTACGACGCACGCGCTGCGAGTCTTTTGGAAAGTTTTGCCTCGTGCACTTGGCCGGGCTTTACACTACAAGGTCGATGCCCACCACGTGCTCTCACGTTGCTCTGCGGCAAAATGCGCGTTTTTCTGAAAAAAAGGTGACGTCAACAAAAAATTCCGCCGTGGGCATCTGCAGATTGTGCAGGAGAGATCCGGAGTTGCACACTCTTGTTTCTCTACTCTTGGTGAAAGCTATCTTGCACTTACCAGTATATGTGCCTTGCTGCTGCACAGGAGAGTTCACTCAATGAAACTGTGCTAGTGCATACTGAAGTGCAAGTAATGAAATCACTATCCTCTGGCTAGTGCTTTGATCCCCTGTCGTGTCTTAGTGCCTTTGCACATATACAGTAGAGGATATAATAATATAGGTTAGACTCTCTAGATGGAACCTGCAAAACTATGGTTGCACACACACTATTGGACCCTTGGACGCCCATCGCCGGAGGCGATGATAGCGATGCTACAGCAGAAGCCATAGCAGCTTGTGCTGGGATTGCACCATTCAACAGCTTGTAAGGCTGAATAATTGACCGCCACTATTCAGCCTGGTCTACACCACACAGCTATGAAGTGGCTTTTTCTGGCCAGTGAATCCCTACTTTTGGTCTTTTTTTTCTTCTTTTTTTCCCGCACACACATCACACCACATACTCCGGCATGCACTGGCTGTTGGTAACCACCCAGGAGAATGAAAGAAAAGTCAGGAAGAGTCTGAGAAAGAGAAGAAAGACGTGTGTGGCCATAATCGTCGGGAATCGAACCCGCAACCTATCGATTGGAAATCGCTGCACATACCACTGCACCATATGGGACACACACACACACACACACACACACACACACACACACACACACACACACACACACACACACACACATATGAGGGACAACTGAGAGGTGAGATTTTATTTCCTGTGTGTCCTTGGACTTGTTTGCATTTTCAACCCGATGTATTCAGGTATCAAACCTACCTGAAGTCTACCATGCCGATTGTCAATAAGTTCCAGACACGGGACCAGCTGAAAACCGTCTCTGGTGTTCCCGGTCCAGACAAGGTAAGTGCACTCCATTATCATTGTACGAGTTTGGGCGCACTGCTCCGAACGAAATTTATTCTCACTTCAGTTCCCTTGGATGGAATTTTATCATCCTGGGCTTGTTGGAAAGATCAGGACCAAGCGAATCCATCCTGGTAGTTCTCAGCTCCATAGCCCCACCAGGTCCACTTCCATGACCGCTCCAAACTGGCCCGCCATGCCTCGGAACAAAACAACAACTCACACATTCTTTTTTGGCTCCTTGCTCAAATTCAACCGATTTTCACGATTCAAACTGCTCTGCAAAGCTGAGATCCACGCACTTCATTTGATGTCCATAACCCATGCGCTGGGCAAAAGGGAAATCCCCTAGCATGTTCCAAAAACCTGCGAAGTCATGAACAAAAAAATTCGCAATCGCTCCCTGCCGTGATCTCTGTGTTCATTTTGTTGCCGCTCAGTCAATCTTTATCCTATCGCGAAGAACTATATAAGTTTATATCGCTGAAAAGCTGAGCTCAATACCTTTCCAACGGTGTGTCGTTTGTGGAGATCGGATGCTCTTTCACAGAGTAGCGAAAGTTTGTACACTGATCTATTCACCTCGATACACGACGCAAACCGAAGCGCGTGTATACAAGTACACGTCATCAGAGAACCGGCGTGGGGTTCAGACGTGTGTACCAGTATACACGTCATCCGCACGCAAAGGGCTAATAAAATGTGCGCTTCTCTTCCGACGTCTACCAAACAAATGCAAATAATTTCAGGACAGAATAAACTTCCCAGCAACCTAACACTGTCCTGCAGTTTGTCGATTTGTGATGGAGAAATGGCTCGAGCTCCAAAGGAAGCAGCGCCTCGAACGCCTAGACGACTCAAGCACATCGCATCCAAAATTCATCGTCAAAGGACTCCTGTTGCTTCACGCGCAACACTGAGAAGACCTGGTACAGACACACAGTACAATTGGATAGTGCTGACTGGTGAAACTCGAGAATTACAGAAATGTTATTTTTGCCCTTAGGCCACGCCGTTTTTTTCTATGTTTCGCGTCACCTTATTCGATGAAATCAATGAGGGAGGGCGAAAAAAATAAAAAAGCCATCCAAAAAAAACCAGTGTACGTGCATTGCATTTGTACATAATTGTGTACAGTGAAGCTACGCGGCACTGTTCATGTACATTGACATGTACATGTACATGAATAGCAGATTACATGAGTGTATCCCCTCTGCCATGCTTGTGGTCCAAACATAGGCGGCATGATGATTGTGTGACTTGCGGCCCAGCTTATTGCACACACATGTGTGTGAGCTGAGTTACATTTTCCGGTTTTCTGGGTTTGCATTAAATTTGTATTGCATTTTCAAAAAAAATTGTTTCGTTTTTTTTTTGAACTCCGGCTGTGAAATACATGCGCGTGGGGGACGCGAAACATAGATAAAAAACGGTGTGGCCTTAAAGGCGAAGTTAAGCCTAAATCAAATTGTCACCAGTTGTAGTCTTCGGGGTGCTGAGTCGAATGGTCGTGGTCCGAGGAAGCTGAGACGCTCCATTCCTCCTTTATTCCCAATCGAACTCGCGCACTTCCACCGAAACTGGGTGACTGCGCCCTACTAGATGGGGATTTGTATGCAAAATGTCACTAAAAGCGCCATTTCGTTCTTATAAAAGCACGGATGACCGCGATTGGCCCATATGTTGTAGTCTTTTGGACACTGAGTCGACTGGTTTTGGTCCGAGAATTCCTCCTTTATTCCCAATCGAACATGGTTGAACAAGCGGTCACGTGCTCCTGCGGACACCAGTCACCTGGTCACCGTGCCTAGCCTAGCGCCTGCAGGGTACAACTTACTTACAGCCTGTTTGACCTTTTTTGGGTGCACTCCTGTCACTCGAGTTGAACCTTGGTGTGAAAGTTGTCGCCTGCTGGCGCGGTGACCAGGTGACTTTGGCACGCAGGAGCACGTGACCGCTTGTTCACTCATGTTCGATTGGGAATAAAGGAGGAACGCTGCACCGAAACCAGTCAACTCAGCGACCAAAAGACTACAACATATGGGCCAATCGCGGTCATCCGTGCTTTTATAAGAACGAAATTGCGCTTTTAGTGACATTTTGCATACAAATCCCTATCTAGTAGGGCGCAGTCACCCAGTTTCGGTGGAAGTGCGCGCGTTCGATTGGGAATAAAGGAGGAATGGATCAGCTTCCTCGGACCATGATTCCCTACACGTAGGTGCACAGAGCACTCACTTGAGCTACCACAAGTGTGAAGACTTCCTATTCACGTAATCCCATGTTCCAATTTCACTTTGAACCAGCTTGTGTGTCGCCTTCTCCTTTCTCCCTTGTTGCAGGTTTATGCAGAAGTCAGGAAGCTGTTTGCGTGACCAGTGCCAGCATTGCCATGCAAGTCGTCAGTCTTAGGTCATAACATGCTGTGCTCACAGTTTTCTGATCCGCACGAACACAAGATGCATCCTGAGTAGAAGCCCCCTCTCAACATTGGTATCTGAGTCTAGCGCTCTGCTTTAGAAGTATTGGTGCTCTGGTTCTACGGTGGACGCTGCCTTATCCGTGTTAGACTTGTTTCAGGCGTGCCCACTTTTCTCCTGTGACGTGGATCTTTTGGCTTTTGCTGTTTTCTACCATTTTTTGAATTCCGTGAGCAATCGAGTATATACAGCCCCTCTGGTCGCTAGGGCCGTGGGGCCATGCAACAATATAGCCCCCAACACCATGGCCCATGGTTTCATCCTGCTCTGGCTTAGATTCGAGTGCATGCTGTTCTGTGCATAGTGTAGTTATAATAATGCACTAGCTCTTCTATGGAGTATGGAATTGTCATTTTGGCCAAGATCTCTCTTTCATTGTCCATCTGCCCTCCCCCAAGCTGGTTTCCTTGACGCTGTACTTCTCTGCTTTCCGTCTACTGCAAGTATCCCCTCTGTGACTTGATTCGGACGTTGCGTTCCAGTTGTTTTGCACACGGGGTCGTCGTCTTCGATCATACTCATAAATACCGTTACCATGTTACTCATTCTGCTTGGGTGTTGTGTGCGTGTGCGCAATGTGTGCAGTTTCTAAAGCTCAACGTATACGCAGTGACAGGGTTGCAGTGTGTGCTCCCTTTAGCCAACGGTTCGTTTTTGTGTTGGCTGTTCTTCTCATGACAATAGATGTTGAGAGACATTGTGCATTTGTGCTGGTAATTCAAAGTTGGCAAAGCATAATTTGAAGTTCACTCTACGTTATACACATCAGTTCAGTGTGCATGAGCATTACATGCTGTCCTGGCCAGTTCAGTTCGCATTGCGCAATTCTGTGTGACTATGCGAGCTTACAGTATGTTTGTTGATATACTTCGAATGCGCTGCGGGTGCATGCTTGGATAGCTAGAATTTTGTCCGGATTATTAGAAGTTTCCCCTGGCATTTTGGGGTTTGAATTACACGTATCAGGAATACACCTGTATTTGATTGCGCACGTGTTGAAATCAGTGTCACAGTTGTGAGGATGTAGGGATATAGTGGAGTCTACGCATCTTCAGAAATGTTCTTCCAGTTGCCATTCCCTTGAACGAATGACTATTTATCAAGAGTCCATAACACTTGGACGGTGTTCCTACGGGCTGAGATACGTGTAGTTGTAATAGTATGGAGGTTACTAAGGAACAGGCTGTCAGCCTCTACTACATACACTACTCACTAGTGTAATCATGATTACTATGTAGGGAGTCTGCATGCAGTGGGTAGGCCTGACAATGCCATGGCCTACATGGTGCACATCATACTGACTGACTGATACAGTAGTGTACTTTTAAAATAATATTGCTGAGTACGCGTGACATGACGACATGACACGTCGTCGACCGATGCCTGGTCAGTGTGGTAGGGTCTACCATGGTCTACGACGTGACAAGTAACAAGACAAGGCCAGGATAGGGTGGTTAGTCTTTTTGTGATAACTACTACAGTCCATTCATAAAAAAATGGGTCCTGGCTCTGGCGAGCTCCCGTATTTGGCGATTTTTCGTGATTTCATCGTACACAGTGCAGTGCTGCGAACTTTGAAATTTGAAAAAGGGTCCAAAAAGGGTGCCTGAACTGGGGTTCGAACCGCAGAATGCACTGTTGCAGGCGGGGTCAAACGGCCTGGATTTTGATGGTTTTTCCCAATTCAGTGCTATTGGGGCAAAACCTGGCCGAAATCCTATTCTTGCTATGGCTTGCTTTTTGGACAAAAAAACTTCAGAAACATAATTGGAAGAGGATTCCATATGGGATTGCAGAAAAAAATTCTAAAAAAACTCAACGTTTGACCCATTTATGGCCAAAAGCTAGAAGTTCATTTTTTTCTGAATGGACTGTAGTATGTGTACTACAGCACGAGATAGCTGCTAATGCTGCCTCGGTAGCGCCTCGAGCTCGGTCTCCACGGCCGGCACGAGTCCACGTCCCACCCAAAAGACATGGGAATTTATGTCCAAATCCAGTCCGGACCTGTAGTTGGCTGTCTGTGTTGCTCTGTTGCCTCGAAACTGGTGACAATCATGAGGTTTCCCTGTCGACATGTCATCGTGACGATGCAGGCAAACCGACTCCCGATATAAACGCGATAGGCGCTATCACCATGATCACATGATCAGGACCGGAGTCGGTTTGCCTGCAGCAGTCATTCGCATAATACATGATTATTGCTCATCTTGATCAGCTGATAACGACAAGGTACATGTAACTGGATCGCGCATGCAAGTGACAATGAATGGTGAGACCAGTCAGTGCAGAATCAACACTCACAACAGCTACAGTACAGATGCTCACAGTCGAGTCAAATTGACACATGTCAAGCTGCACGCTGCATATGCATGCACACATGCATGCATGCAACGCGCGAGTGTTTTGAAAACGTGCACGTGCAGAAAATCAAGTACAGTCAGTACTGCCACGGTAGTTTAGCTGCTGTTTTGAGTCTTTTGACTCTCGTCAATCCATTCCGAAAGAATACAGTCATAATCAGTGTTGATCCAGAACTATAATTATAGAGGCCAATTCCTGTGTTTCAAGGGCTCTTGTTTGTTACCGAACTCATTGTTTCCTGTGCAGGAAATTTTATTTTATTGTCCCTGAGATATTTGACGCTTCAATATGCCGATTTCTGACGTATCGCCAGTTCTGAAGCAGGCTTTAGAAGAGCAGATGATAGGAACTCCTACTGTCCTCCATGATGATGGAACGACCTCCCCTCCTCCCATGGCACTCTTCATCGATGTCAACGCGTTGAAAGAGAATTTCGAGAATTGCAAGAAAGCATTCGGCGATGGTAAGACACAGCTAGCTATACAGGGCCATAATTATATCACCGGCAATTCCTGGGGGGTCAACTATTCTGTGTGCACAGGCCACGTAGACCTACGTGGTGTTGTAGAGCAATACGTCTCTGATACTGTCACACTCTGTTCTCACACACCGCGTGTCACAGGAATACGCACAAGCACGATAGTCGGAAAACAGCCCAGTGCATTAAATTGAATTAAATAATTAACATGTACACTCCATATCCATATCCAAGCCAAGGGCCCTGAACTCTGAAGTGTGCCATGGAAGTGGGTGTTGAAGGGACAGTAGTACTAGTAGAGTACGACTCCTACACTCTACTCAACAGTCATCCTTGCTGCCTGTCCCTTCTCACCAGCCCACTGCCACGGACTCACTCACTTATACACTCCCACCTGCACTGACCCTGCCCCCCCCCCCCCCCCCCCCCCCCCCCGGCTCCTAGATCCTGCATGCAGCCTTTTTGAGTCTAGGGATGTCCACAAAATGTTTTTTTTCACCTAACATGGAAATGTAAAATGTGCAGAAAAAACCCAAAATGTTTTCGGGATATTTTCGAAAGTTCTCTTAGGGGCCAGTCACATTGAGGGAACAATCCTCAGATTCTAAACCGGGAATAATCTTTTCTGCTTTTCATCACGGTCACACTGGATACGCACAATGAAAATAATCTCACCTACACGAGCTACATTTTTTGTCACCATCCGCTTCTGGCAGTCTATCAACTCCGCTCCTGGGCCAGAGCTGCATCAGCAAAGCCTCTAGAGTATCGCTCCACTTCAGGACGCAATAAAAAAACAAGGAAACTCAAAGAAATCCAGTGGAAGCCGCGGATGATTATAATCTTCGGCGGAAAAGCGGGGCCTCGAGCTGATTTTCATCGAGTGGATTAAATCTCTCGAATCTCCCGCTCAGCGGCAACTATCCATGGTAACCACGGATTCTTTTCAAATTTTCCCTCAGTGTGACCGGCCCCTAACCACGGATTCTTTTCAAATTTTCCCTCAGTGTGACCGGCCCCTTAGGGGTTTTCAAATTTTCCCTCAGTGTGACCGGCCCCTTAGGGGTTTTCAAATTTCCCCTCAGTGTGACCGGCCCCTTAGCCGGTCACACTGAGGGAAAATTTGAAAAAAAAACCGTGGTTACCATGGATAGTTGCCGCTGAGCGGGAGATTTGAGAGATTTAATCCACTCGGTGAAAATCAGCTCGAGGCCCCGCTTTTCCGCCGAGGTTATAATCATCCGCGGCTTCCACTGGATTTCTTTGAGTTTCCTTGTTTTTTATTGCGTTCTGAAGTGGAGCGATACTCTAGAGGCTGTGCTGATGCAGCTCTGGCCCAGGAGCGGAGTTGATAGACTGCCAGAAGCGAATGGTGACAAAAAATGTAGCTCGTGTGGGTGAGATTATTTTCATTGTGCGTATCCAGTGTGACCGTGATGAAAAGCAGAAAAGATTATTCCTGGTTTATAATCTGAGGATTGTTCCCTCAATGTGACCGGCCCCTAAGAAAATTAAAAAATTGTAAAAAAATTACCCAAAACTGCGCGAAAAATGTGACTGTTGCCATGGCAACCAAAATGGCACTTCATGTACCAGATCTACGAGTTGTCGAGCCGTATTGCCAGAATAGCTACAGCTGTTACAGAAACATCGGTGGAAATGGCGTGCAGCGAGCCAAGTGTGTTGACGGAGGTCCACTCCGACTCCAATGAGAAGAGTGAGGAAGAATCCGACACCATCGTAGAGTCTTCCGGGCAAGCCGTGAGTGAGACTCCTGCGGCAAGTTTGCTGGATAAATTGGCCCCAAATGGAAAAAAGTGTGAAAATTGCCCAAATTGCAAAAAGTGTGAAAATTACCCAAAATGCGAAAAAATCGAAAACATTTTGTGGACATCCTGACTTTTGACACTCAATCCATCAATCAATAATTACGTGTATATGGATGATATGAGGTGACTGAGTCATGAGTCAAATAATTTGAAAAAAAACTACAAAAATGCATGTCCAATGACTGGAATATTGCAGACTTTCCCCAGTTTGTATTACCCCGGTATTCCCGGGTTCGCACTGCACAGCTCTTGTCACTGTCAGCCAAGGCTCCGCTGGTTCCTGGTTCCGTTCTACTGGTGAAATCTCATACTTCGGTAGTAATTGGAATATGGGATAAAGGCGCATAATTCAAATACCGCTACATGTAGATGTAGCTATGTTATGCCCCCAGGGCCGATTTCAGTCAACATGGTTCCCGCGAGGAATGTCTGATAATTCGAACCCCAGACTGCATGCCTACTTAAAATTTCGTAATCATAATAATTATTATTTTGATGTGAACAGATTTTTTTGGGGTCTTAGGGCCTGGTCAGACTGCGGCAAAATCGAAATAATCCTGTGATTATAATCCGAATCTCCATAGTAACTTGCCGCCAGAGTGGCAAAAGCGAGAGTTGACGCTCCAAGAAAAAGCAAGAACGGACCACGCTTTTCCGCTCCAAACAGGAGTTTGACGCTGATATGCCATTGACGCTGATATTCACTGATTTTTTCATCTCGATATCGAGGAGCTAATTGGCCACGGACAACAACAAAACTCATAAGGATGGTTGCAAGGATTGCACTGAAGGTGTTGGCGATCCCCAAGGTGAAGGAATTTGACGTCGTACGTGGAGATTACCACTTGACGCTCGAAATGAAGTTTGAATTTTCATTCTACCAAAATTTGCCGCAGTCTGACCAGGCCCTAAGAGCCTAATTTTGGTTGCCTGACGAAAAAAGAACAGCGTCCAGAATTTGAATCGCGATCACACTACACATGTGGGGAGAGTGAAAATTCAAACTTCATTTCGAGCGTCAAGTGGTAATCTCCACGAACGACGTCAAATTCCTTCACCTTGGGGATCGCCAACACCTTCAGTGCAATCCTTGCAACCATCCTTATGAGTTTTGTTGTTGTTGTCCGTGGCCAATTAGCTCCTCGATATCGAGATGAAAAAATCAGTGATTATCAGCGTCAATGGCGTATCAGCGTCAAATCCTGTTTGGAGCGGAAAAGCGTGGTCCGTTCTCGCTTTTTTTTGGAGCGTCAACTCTCGCTTTTGCCGCTCTGGCGGCAAGTTACTATGGAGATTCGGATTATAATCCTAGTAGGGGTGAAAGTTGGCACTGAGATCCCGAGTTCGAGTACTCTGATTTTCTCCGATCGAATATTCGAGTATTCGAGTATTTTTCATCTCATAAAAATTGCACACCAAGGGCTTTAAATTAACATGATACAACCCTGATTGAACCGAGTAGCAGTCATTTTTCTCGGGTATATTGGTTGGTGGGTCATTTGGGCTCTCTCTACTCGTGAACAAATGTTCACCACACAGCCTGCACATCACCATCTGCCGACTGCTGCCCTGAAACTGCAGATTTCTGTAGTAAATGCATGTACCATGTATGAACGAGTACTCTGATTTATTCCGAGTACGATTATTTTTGAAAAAACCGAGCGAGTACTCGAGTACTCGGTATAATTGTTTCACCCCTAAATCCTAGGATTATTTCGATTTTGCCGCAGTCTGACCAGGCCCTTAGGTACCTTAGGTTTCAAATTCTGAAATAAAAAAGGGGGATCCTCATATCCGTTTTGTCAACTTCACCACTTTTCCACCCCTAGTTTTACGGACAGTGTTGGATGGTTGCACATTTTCTACTACAGTCAACTTTGCGTATAACAGCACTCGGCGGGGCATCAGAAAAGTGTCCTTATTCGCGAAGTGTCCTTATACCCGAAGTCTCATTATGTATTACAGTTAGATGGGACTTTGGTCTGGGCACGGAAATTCTGTTGTTATCCGCGAATTGTCGTTATATCCGCAGTCGTTATTAGCCAAGTTGACTATATCTTTATAATCTCTGGCAGCATTGCATTGAAACTTTCAGGAACACCGAAAGCAGCTCGGTTTGGATTGTACAGAAAGTAGGAAAATTTCACTGGGACCAAGCACGCCACCGGAAATCGCAAAATGCAAAGCTGTTTTTTTTTCCGGAAAAAGGAGAAAATAAAATAATTTCTCACATGATTGCCAACGTAATATATTTTTATGAACATGGGTTTATGGGACGCTTTCATGGAAAGGTGCAGGTCTGCCAAATAAAAACAGGGGTTCCCATATTCGTTGAGACAATAAACACTAATTTAGGGGCCATCCGTAAATATAGAATGATATTTATTCCCGTAGCTATGCAGAAGACGTTACTCTGGCGCTAGCCAGGGTCCACACAGCTTTAATTTGGTGTTTGTTTGTTTGTGGCGGACGGACCTCCGTCTGGTGCTATCCCGTATCTGTCCCGTACCGTACCATCAAAGACAGCTGGCCACAAACAGCTGGCCACAATATTCAAATAGGGCTTTCAAATGCAAGATCATAACGTGACGCAACTTGGAAGAATGAGTATGAATGCGAAGTGTATTGGGTAATGCATGTAGGGCGATTGTGCGGGTTCGAATCCCAGGTTATGCCTTGAAAAAAAGGAGAATTGAAAAATTATCCCTATGCTTTTTTGCCTAGGTCATCAAGGTGGTTAGACAGTGTCGTACTAGTATTACCCTCGACCGTACCTGTCCTGTACCGTACCATCAAAGACGGCTGGCCACAAACAGCTGGCCACAATATTCAAATAGGGCTTTCAAATGCAAGATCATAACGTGAAGCAACTCGGAAGAATTAGTATGTATGCGAAGTCGAAGTGTATCGGGGGATGCATGCAAGGCGATAGTGCGGGTTCGAATCCCAGGTTATGTCTTGAAAAACAATAGGAGAAATGAAAAATTTACTATGCTTTTTTTTGCCGAGGTCATCAAGGCTAAAAAGCATAGCGCAGGGCCCTGAGCTTCCAAGCTCTCTCGTTTAGAAACGAAAACTAGTCGTTTAGGGGGGATGGGAGGGGGTTGAGCGCCTGTTCGTTTCTCGAAAAATATCGATGTACATTTTGCATGCGTGAGCAGGTCCAGGAAAAAAAAGACCAAAAATATCGATACTATGTACCATTTGTATGTGTTCGTTTCTCAGGGAGGGGGGTTGAAGAGAAACGACTAGTTTTCGTTTCTGAACGAGAGATCTTGGAAGCTCAGGGCCCTACGCTATGCCTTGATGACCTAGACAAAAAAAGCATAGAGATGTTATTTTTTTTAATAAATTTCTCCTTTTTTTTAAGACATAACCTGGGATTCGAACCCGCACTATCGCCCTGCATGCATCCCCCGATACACTTCGCATACTATACTGTACAAGCAGAAATATTCGTCTGGAATTTAATTTCGTCTTTTTCGTCCAACGAGCTGTTGGTCTAAATTAAATGCCGGACAAATATTGATTTGTCCATCTTTTCAATACACTCTTGTGATCCATGGACGAAATTTACAACCGGACGAACTCCCTTTCTTTGGAGTTGGACGAAATTGTTGACCGACGAAATTTTCTGCTTATACAGTACATACTAAAGGCCGATTCACAATACAACTTTCTGCGACGCGACATGCGATTTGCTACACATGCGACGAGCTGCGACAGCGACACACGGTTCACAATATTCTTCATGTTTGCGACATCATCATGCACAAGTAGTACTATGCACGTGCACTGCACGTGCACCCAGGGTCGAAACTGTACTCCGTTTGTGTATGTCGCATGTCGCAAAAGTTGAACTTTCTTCAACTTCTGCGACAGGTGCATTGCGACAGCTTGCGACAGTTTGCGACAGCTCGCGACAGGCAGTTTCTTGTCGCAACTGTCGCAAATCGCGTGTCGTGTCGCAGAAAGTTGTATTGTGAATCGGGCTTTATTCTTCCAAGTTGCTTCACGTTATGATCTTGCATTTGAAAGCCCTATTTGAATATGCATTGTGGCCAGCCGTCTTTGATGGTACGGTATGGGACAGGTACGGGACTGGTACGGTCGAGGATAATACGACACCGTCTACCGCCTTGATGACCTAGGCAAAAAAGCATAAGGATGTTATAAATTTTTCAATTCTCCTATTTTTTAGGCATATTAAACCTGGGATTCGAACCCGCACTATCGCCCTACATGCATTCCCCCATACACTTCGTATTCATACTCATTCTTCCAAGTTGCTTCACGTTATGATCTTGCGTTTGAAAGCCCTATTTGAATATTGCGGCCAGCTGTATGTGACCAGCAGTGTTTGATGGTACGGTACGGTACGGGACAGATACGGGATAGCGCCAGGCATGACACAAACACACAAACAAACAAACACACAAATACCAAACGAGAGAGCTTGGAAGCTCAGGGCCCTACGCTATGCTTTATTGCCTTGATGACCTAGACAAAAAAAGAATAGGGTTGTTATAAATTCTTATAAGTTTCTACTTTTTGTTTTTAGACATAACCTGGGATTCGAACCCGCACTATCGCCCTGCATGCATCCCCCGATACACTTTGCATACAAATTCTTCCAAGTTGCTTCACGTTATGATCTTGTATTTGAAAGCCCTATTTGAATATGCATTGTGGCCAGCCGTCTTTGATTGTACGGTACGGTACGGGATAGGTACGGGACAGGTACGGGACAGGTACGGTCGAGGGTAATACGCACCGTCTACCGCCTTGATGAGGGCAAAAAAGGAAAAGGGATGTTATAAATTTTTCAATTATCCTATTTTTCAGGCATTACCTGGGATTCGAACTCGCACTATCGCCTTACATGCATTCCCCCATACACTTCGCATTCATAGTCATTCTTCCAAGTTGCTTCACGTTGTGATGTTGCGTTGGAAAACCCTATTTGAATATTGCGGCCAGCTGTATGTGGCCAGCTGTGTTTGATGGTACGGTACTGTACGGGACAGATACGGCATAGCGCCAGGCGTGACACAAACACACAAACAAACAAACAAACACCAAATTAAAGCAGTGTGGACCCTGGCTAGCGCCAGACGTTACTGAAGTAACGTCTTCTGCATAGCTACGGGAATTAAAGCTGTGTGGACCCTGGCTAGCGCCAGACGTTACTGAAGTAACGTCTTCTGCATAGCTACGGGAATAAATATCGGTATTTATGGAAGGCCCCTTTAATAGGGAAATGGTGGTGACAGTCAATTTTTCTTCAGACTTTTCCCGCTTGCGTCTTTCCCTCAAACCAGTGAAATTTAGGAAAAATGTCATATTTTGATACTGCACGTTCAGGCCTGCAAAGTGGCTCAGTTTGATTAGTGAAAAAGGTAAAAACAAACCAGAGAGTCCTTTCTTTGCTTGGTGATGCCTCCTGAACAATTTAAAAGCAAGTATCAATGTAATAAATTGTAATTGAAAGAAAAGAAAATGGAACGTACCGGTATGCATCAATTTCCTGCCATTTGGTTTTGCGGGGCAAGTCGAGTCCACTGCATGCAACCGCGTACCGTACACACCTTGATATCAACTCTGCACAAAGGTCATGAACTTCGTAAGGTCATGCTCATAAGTGTACTAGAATGGGTTGCACCTGCCAAGTATGGGGCAACTTGCCCTGCAAAAAAGTTGATGGCCATCTTTATACAGTACCTCCCATTGTCCATATTGGGATTCAAACCCACAAATCTTGATTTGGGGAGCCAAGGATTAAAATTAAAAAAGAGAGGACCATAAAGCTGTGTTCCCAACTGGCGCGTGGACGCGGTACGCTGGCGGTTCATACGTGGCTAAACGCGCGCTCAGGCTTTCACAAAAAGCAGCAATTCGACTTGTATTTAGGGCGTGTGACTTCGAATACTGTGCATGCACATGCATCCACACAGAGCACAGTGCAGTGCGTTCAGCCTCCCCTGTGACTTCGTACTGCACGCACATGTATGTGCATATACTGGACTACCAGTGTTGCCGGTATGTATCTATTATGGCATGTATGTACTTCGAAGTACATGTAGCCTTATCTAACAGTACATTTTATGTGGCACTACTCGTACCGTTTGTCATGCCTAGTAATACTGACAATTTCCAATATTATTATTATTATTATTATGAAATGACCCAATATAATGACTGAGAGGAGGGTGTGTCACGGATGTCATCTGTGTTAACGAAAGAATATTCGTTCGTTTGTTCGTTAAAAGCCAAGGAATATTCGGCTACTGGGTTAAGCCTACTCTCAAGATGCATGCTCAAGTTGGCACAGAGCCAAATCCTTTTTGCTGTAAGTTTGGTCGGTTTTTGCCGCTCCCTGTGTGCTCTGCAGGCTTCCTTCATGCGATGGCCATCAAGGCCAATCCGGTGTCTCGCTGTATCAAGATGGCTGTTGAAGCTGTAGGTTGCCTGTGCTGGCTGTTGACCTTTCAAACAGAAATGCTCAGTGTCCTGAAGAGCCCCCTCAATGTAGAGATTCCACGCGGTATTGCTTTCCGTGTTGTGAGTCTGAAGGCATGCTTCAGACCAGTGGGTATCAGGCTTTATTGGGATTGCGGTTATGAAGAGTAATACTAGAGTAACCCAAGAGTATGCAGCTCTACAGATAGGGTTGGCTGCAGTGTATTGCTCGCACTATGTAGCTATTTAAAATGTACAAACTGGGGTAGCTGGGCCGTTGCGCCGTCACTGTTGATTTGCTGCTATTTCAACCTTCCCATGTGTGCACGTGTGTGTGTGTGTGTGTGTGTGCTTGTGTGTATGCATACATGCACATGCATGCATGCTTGTGTGTGTGTGTGTGTGGGTGTGTGTGTGTGTGTGGGTGTGCGGGTGGGTGTGTGTATCCATGCGCATGGCTCAGCGATGGGGGCTTGTGGGCTAATTGACTTGATGTTGCGCTTGGTGTACATTTCTAAAAGCGCCAATCTTGGCTGTACGACTCCTGAATTCCATCCTAGTATTTGAGCGTTTGCCTCTGGTTTGTGTGTCTTGTGGTGCAGGGCATTGGCATTGAGTGTGCATCCATTGCCGAGGTAATGCATGGTCTAAGATGTGGATGTCCAGAGGAACACATTGTCTTTGACTCACCCGTCAAGACACGGCCAGAGATCGGTGAGCAACGCTGCTTGATTGCCTTGTTGATATTCTAGCCCCGGAGTAGAACGGTTGCTTTGACATTTACAATACTGTTGCTGTTGCTGTGTCCGTTGCTGTGGAACTCAGTGCTGCAGTCCCTTTACAAAGGTGCACTGCCTTATCTTGGTCGTCTGTTGTACCGCAGTGCATAGCATACTATGCCGCGCACTGCAGTACACATGCACTGTACAATGAACTTCACCTTACCAGCACGTCAGTCGTCTGTTCTCTGTATGTTTCTACAGACTACGCCCTGGCACACAATGTTCATTTGAACATTGACAACTGGCAAGAGATGGACGTTGTTGCAGAGGCATACAACAAAGTCAAGGAGTAAGCTTGTGTGCATGCATACATCATGTATAAGTCAATCAGAGCAGGGTGCAAGGTAGCATTTCTGTCTGTAACATTCATTGTGATACACATTGTGGCTGGCTCTATACAAGTTGTTTTGGTTGTTTGTTGTTATGTCCTCTTTTACATTGTATCATGTATGGACTTTTTTTTATATGCAAAAGCTGTGTGTACTCAGTATGTACGTGTGTGCGTGTGTGCGTGCATGTGTGTATGTATGTGTGTGTGTATGTGTGCGTGCTTTGTGTGCTGTATGTGTGCATGTATGTGTGCGTGTATGTGTGCTTTGTGACATGCATTTTTGTACTTGTATCCAGTACAACCAAGGCTGTCATTGGGGTTCGTGTGAACCCAGTAGTCGGGAGTGGCTCCATGGCTATTTTCAGGTAAGGGAAATCTAGTTTAACTTTTTGGTAGAGTGTGTACTGTGCATACAGGTCTACCCTTGTTAACACGACATCGGTTACAAGACAAACCTTATTAGTAGACAACGATACACAATCCCCTGACGATTGAAACGCGTATATGCAAGTCCGGACAGTAAATAATACTCTTTTGAAGACAAACATCCCCCCCCCCCCCCCCGGATTGGTCTACTAACGAGGGTAGACCTGTGCAAGGTGCCGTTTCACCGCCCCATGCATCTGTGTGCATACTCAGTGATTCACTGATTCACTGGTTCACTGTTTCTCGCTGTTGTTGGTGTGCTACTTCATGGGGTATCCTGGGTAACACTCAGCTTCATCACCTCTTTGCCTGAGTGGGTTGTTAGTAACGACCTTGTTGCAGCCATTTTTGTTGTGTTTCTGGTCTCACGCAATAATAGCATCTAGCAGACCGGAGCAATCTTGCATGTACTTGTACGAGGGCTACGGTTGGCTCAAAGGTAGCTTTCTTCATCAGTGCCCCTGTTGTTCTTTTTGCTGTGGTATTGTGCGTGAGCACGTTTGTGTGTGTGTGTGTATGTGGTGTGTGTGTGTGTGTGTGCATGTTGTTTATCCTGATCTGGTGCAGTACGTGCACCGCCACGAGCAAATTTGGTGTGACGGTATGTACACGGAGCCACCTGAGATAGCTTATCTTCACCCTCATCTCTTTATCTCTCTCGGTTGCCACCTCCTGGTTACCATTGTATAATCGATACTTTGCGTTACAGCCATCCTTGGCTGATGTGTGGTGTGTCTGTGTGGTCCCGGGGGTTGCATTGCACCTGATATTGGCCATCGTCAGTTAATTCTGAAGTCGATACCCTTGACAGAGTGTTGCTTTGCGGAATCTACATGTGCTGTTGTTGTTTTTGGACCAATAGACTTACAGCACCAGTCAGGGTAATTAGAATAGCACACTCTTGCATGCATACTATCAATCACGCACGCACACATGCACACTCGCACACACACACACACACACACACACTCACTCACTCGCTCGCTCGCACGCACGCGCACATACACACACACACAGTGACATACACACACACACACACACACACACACACACACACACACACACACACACACACGCACACACGTGCGCCCAGATATAAACATGTATGCAATATGCATATGCACACTACACTCACAACCGTACTATATTCCGTGTTTTGCTTTTCTTGCAGATCCTGGACGATGCAGTGCGGGAGAGATTTATCGCCAAGGTGTCATCCACTCCCTGCATTACATGCCTGCATGTCCATGTTGGCTCCATGGTAAGGTCACCATCCACAGGTACCAGCAAGAGTACATAACCCCCCCCCCCCCCAGAGTGTGCAACGCCGATCCAGCTCTGCATAGGGTCTTGGTCGAGCGGAATCGGATCTTCTGATGTCATGCGTACACTCCACACCAGCGCAAGGCCGGTCTCGAGGCAGGGCACCATTGTTTTTGATCCGAGAGTACCCGCAACTCCCCGGGTTCCCCTCAGATGTGTACGGTATTATGACGCAAAGATCCGATTCCGCTCGACCAAGACCCTATGCAGAGCTGGATCAGGTGTTGCACACTCTGGGGGGGGGGGGGGGGGGTATGTACTCTTGGTACCGGGGTACTGGACTGGTACCTGTTCTGATTACTCACACATGTAGCTATTGACCTACCATGCGTACATTACCACAAGCTAGAGTACCTTACGTGAAAGCGTGTGCACCGTGTAGTGGGATGCTTCACTGTGGAGAGAACTGTTTTGGCCTGTGGATCATCCAACAGGACTTCCTAACTCTCCATTACATAATGCTTATCTGTCGACCTTGGTGGCGAGGGTTTTTTTAGTCTGAAAGGACATCAGTACTTTTCACTATAATTGTTGCTCTGCTTTTTGTCATTCTTGGACAGGGCTGTAAGCTGGAGCTAATGGCCGAGGGCGTTCAGAAAACAGTGCAGCTAGCCCTGGACATCAACAAGCGTGCCGGATTTGATCAAATCACTGTCTTAGACGTTGGTGGTGGTTTGCCGGTAAGTAATGCAACTACACTGTATGCTATGCCAGGGTTCTAGCCAGGTCTAAATAGTCACCGTAAGTGGGGGAGGGGGGGGGGGGGGGGGGCATGGGAAACAGTTACCCCGTAACCCATTTTTCCATTTTCCAAAATTGTCTCTCCATGCAAAATGCAGCGTATGGTGCGAACCCCCAACACATGTACCTTTATGAACCCCGGGGTACTGACTACCGACTGCATTTTCGTTGAATGGCATGAAAAAAAACACAAACCGACAAAAGAGTAGGGGGCGCCAGTTGGGGGGGAGGGGGGAGCACTCAATCAGAGTAGGAGGGTGCTGCCTGTAGACATCTATTCAGTCACTCACAAGACAGCCATTGTGCTAAACAGATCTTCTTTAGTTCTCTATCAGAAGTGCGCCATGTCATCTCTCTCGTGCTATACATAAAGCGGTACAAGCACGGCATGCCTGCACGTGCGTACATAGTACTACATACAACTGCATGTACGATATCTACATTACCCCCCTTCCCTCAAAAAGAAAAAAAAAAAAAAGAAAGAGAAAAAAGGAAAACTAAAACAAACAAAAAAACACTTGCATCCGTATCCTGCAGCTTGCAGAGGAATGTACGTACATGTGTTGGAGTAAAAGAGAGACGGGAAGTGTTGCAACTATTAGAAATAATCTGACTCAAAACTTGAGGCAAAAACACCATGAGTTTGAGTTACAATGCAAACTCGACCAATAAGGGGAAAAAATAAAGAAAAATCTAAATATTCACAAGGTAGTTAGAAGATTCTAAACAACGCCAATCTGGTTAGAAGATTCTAAACAACGCCAATCTGGTAGCGATTGAAGCCACTCATTTGGTAATGCATGACTCGACGACTCAGATGTCAGCTTCACGTGCTTTCTCTGTAAGCTTGATCTGACGGCCAGCTCTGGTCTGTACGCCCTCACGGAATACACTTGGACGAGAAGTTGGCGGTGACAGTGACATACAGGCCGGTGTTGCAGGTGATGCTGTCGTCTCCGGTGAAGCTGCAGGAGACAACGGCAATGTGAGCGCAGTTACCGGAGCTTCGGGCCTGGATGTTGCGCTGCTCGCTGACGGAAGGCTTGTTGGGTCGGACACTGGCAGTGCTGGAGCACACACTGGCTCTGGCACATGCTCCCTCTCTGACTGTGCCGGAGGTTCACTCATGGGTGCTTTCTCCGCTGCTGCTGCTGCTGCTGGTGCTACAAACTCGGTAACATGCTGACGGTTCCGGAGCAGTATGCGTGACCCATCAGTGACCCCAACCTGACGACCATACTGCTCTACTACCTTCCATTCTTTTCGAGGGTCGCTGTACCCATCATGGAGCACTACCCGCGTACCTGATGGCAAATGGGGTAACTTGCGGACACCTCGGCGCGAGTCATGACCTTCAACCATTGCTGCTTTCGCCTTGATCTGCTCAGATGGGTTGACGATCTGTGGGGTGATGGATGCTGGAACCCGTGTCCGAATGACTCTGCTGAACAACGCTTCGCTCGGCGATGTACCTAGCATCCGGTGCCGCGAATTGCGAATGTCGAACAAGACTTGAGTGATGCGGCGGTGTAGCGGTAGATGAGGTCTCAGGCTGGCAACTCGTTCTTTCACCAGACGATGTAGTCGCTCCACCATACCGTTAGAGCGGGCATACCGGGGGCTAGACTTGCAATGCTCAACACCCAACTGAGCGAGAAACTTGGACATCTCAGTGGATGCAAACTGTGGGCCCCAATCCGAGACGAGTGTTGAAGGCAGACCAAACCGTGCGAACAACTCCATCAGCTTGTCGATCACACCCGTTGTCGTAGTATTGGACAGTGGTAGAAGCTCTGGCCAGCGGGAACCATAATCAATAGCAGACAGGAACGTGGCTCCCTCAATGGTAACAAGGTCAATGGCCAGTTTCTGCCAGACACCTTCTATCTCTGTAGGGAGGAGCTGTTGCGCTGGATTGGAGCGTTTACGCCAGCATTCAGAGCATTTCTCTGCAAACAGATTGGCATCCTTCATGAGACCTGGCCACCAAACCCGTTCGCGAAGGGTATCCCGGAATGCATCGATGCCTGGATGACCTTCATGTGCTAGTCGCAGCACCGCTGGGCGGAGCTCTTCTGGAATGACGTAGCGATTGTCTAGCATGACAATCCCTTCAATGACTGTCAGCTGATGGCGTAGCAGGAAGTAAGGCTCTTCCGTTTGGATGCACCCTGACCAAACTGATGTGCCCACTCTTTGTCGGACGCTGCTCAGTGTCGGATCAGAGTCCGTGGCCTGGCGAATATCCTTGGAACGAACCGGACAAGCCTCGAGAATGAGACTAACGAATTCCGCCATTGAACGTGCCTCTGCAGGTGAAGCTGTGCGATCAGGTAGAGGAGCTCGAGAGAGGGTGTCAGCACAAACCATCTGCTGGCCAGGGACGAACACCAAGCTGTAGCGATAGGGCATCAATGCGACCAGCCATCTCTGAAGCCTCGGTGGCACTTCGTCGAACGGCTTCTGGACGATAGAAATAAGCGGCTTGTGATCCGTAAACACTTGCACTTCTCGGCCTAGTACATACTGCCGAAAGCGAGTCAGGCCGAATACCACTCCCAGCATCTCTCGTTCCAGCTGAGAATAGCGTGACTCAACATCTGATAGAGAGCGACTGGCACATGTCACTGGTACCCAACAGCCACTGGTATTCTTCTGCCACAGGACTGCTCCCAAACCGTCTGGCGATGCATCACAGCTGATAGCAGTAGGGACGTCTAATGCTGGTTGAAAGAATGCCAACGCTTGCAAAGCTGACGCTATACCAGCCTTTGCTGAGGTGAATGCCTGCAGGACTTCATCATCCACACTGAAGGGATCACGCTTTGCTAGCCTGCGCAGAGAAGCCGTGATCTGGGCCAAGTTCGGAATGAACTTTCCAAGGTACGTAGCCATCCCCAGGAACCGTCGCACATCAGAGATAGATTTCGGAGGGGCCAGCTCCTGGATGGCTTGTAACTTGTCATCATCTGGGGACAAGCCGGTCGCACTTAGCCAATGTCCCAGATACTTCACACGGTCCTGGTTCAGTCGGCACTTGGTCCAGTTGAGTTGGAGGTTAGCTGCTCGCAGTCGCTGCTTGACTGCTTCTAGCCGTGCATCGTGTTCTGCTTGATTGGAGCCAAACACTAGGATGTCGTCGATGTAGACGATGACTCCTGGCAGGCCTTCCAGAATGTCGGACACCACTCGCTGGAAAATCTCAGGCGCACATGCGATACCGAAAGGTAAACGCTTGAAACGGAACAGGCCACAGTGCGATGAGAAAGTCGTTAGAGGCCTTGCTTCTTCTGACAAGAGTAGCTGATGGAATCCAGATTCCGCATCCAGAACTGAGAAGACCCCTGCGCCATCAAGCTGAGCTGTGATCTCGTCAACGGTTGGAAGAACGTTGCGCTCACGTGTAACTCTCTTGTTCAGTTCTCTGTAGTCCACGCATAGTCGCAATGCTCCATTCGGTTTGCGGACTGGAACAAGTGGTGACACCCACGGCGTGGCTTCCTTGACGGGTTCAATGATATCCAACTTGGTCAGCCGTTTCAGCTCGGTCTCGATGTCAGCCCGGATACTGAAAGCTGGGCGTCGTGGTGGCTGGGCTAGAGGCTTTGAACCGTCTTCCAGAGAGATTTCGATGGGTGACACGTTCACCACGTTTGCTTGTGACAGGAGGTTCAGCTCCTTGATGACATCCTGTCCGAAGAGAACGGAGTGCTGACTGGCTGCTACCACGAAACAACTGCACTTCACGTTCTTGCCACCATGTGAAATGTGGACGTCAGCCATGCCCAAAGTCTCTACGACACCGCCATTGTACGCTTTCAGCAAGCGGTCACTCTTGCGCGTGGGCTTGATCACATCATCAGTGAGGATCGTCCGAGTTGCACCTGTGTCTAACAGTCCAGTGCACAGCTCACCATTGACTTTGAGTGTAGTCTGGAATGTCTTGTCGCCAGCGAGTGCATAGCTACTGACGGCGAAAGCGGAGTCGTACATGCGACTTGCATGCTCATACTCATCAGGCTCATCCTCTACTGGCCGGGCTCTTTCTTCGTGTCTTTCCACTTTGTTTGACATGCAGACCGCTGCAAAATGCCCTCGCTTGCCACACTTGTTGCAGGTGACGTTGGCCGCAGGACAGTTACGCATGCCTGGTTTGTGACTACGTCCGCAGTATTTGCACTTCTTTCCCTCTGATCCAGAACCAGCTGCAGAGACAGCTTGCACACGCTGGATGGGCACGGGGAACACAGGCGGTGCGTCACTAGCTCTGGTACTATCGTACAGTTTACTGTCAGTAATCGACGCTTCCAACGCCACTGACTTGGTGACGGCGTCGTTCAGGGTCAGCTTCGACTGTTTCAGCAGCTCCTTTCGAAGCTCAACAGAACGCAGGCCCACGATCAGCTGGTCGCGAATTTGGCAGTTGACAATGGTATCCACAGAAGTGGAGCTGAATTCGCAAACATCTGCCTTTTCTCTCAGCCGCCCAACGAACGAAGTCACCGACTCGCCCTCCATTTGGCGGAGTTGGCGGAATTTGTGACGTTCAGACGTGACATTTGTTGACGGTCGAAAGTGTGCCAACAATGCGTCCGTCAAGGCTTGGTACTCATCTCCAGGTGAGCCATCTTGTGTCTGCTCCACCGTGACAACCAGACCTTTCACAATGCGCCTCACTGCTAATCCAGCCAGATTCAAGAACAAGCGTTTCTTGTCAGCTGCTGCCGTCACTTCACTGATTGAAAGGAAATCATTTTTATGTCCTCGAGCCAGAGTTCAAAATCAGCACCGACGTTGCTCGCAGCATAGTCAGGAATAAATTCCTTGGGCGTCCTGCCCTTTGTCATTTTCGTTCACTGCGCCAATGTAGACATCTATTCAGTCACTCACAAGACAGCCATTGTGCTAAACAGATCTTCTTTAGTTCTCTATCAGAAGTGCGCCATGTCATCTCTCTCGTGCTATACATAAAGCGGTACAAGCACGGCATGCCTGCACGTGCGTACATAGTACTACATACAACTGCATGTACGATATCTACACTGCCCCTCCTCCCCCCCCCCCCCCCCCACACACACACACACCCTCCTTTTGTCTAGAACCCTGCTATCCTGTGTAGTTGATGGTGTTGAATGTGCAGATTATGCTATCCAGTGTAGGGTGATGGACCACTGATGGTGTTGATAGTCACTACGTGCAGACATGATTAGTGGCAGTGGTCACTTGGTGCTTGGCATGACCCACATGTGGAAACAAGTCCTTCATTCAGTACTGTTGGGTTGCGAAGAACAGAGGGATCAGCCTCGTAGCCTAGGCCCTTCTTATTTTTCTTTTACTATGGTCCATGCACAGTTGAGTCACCGTGTATACATTGCTATGCTGTGCTTGATGAAATTCTAGCCTGGTCGTTCTTCAGCACCCGACAGTGCTGTAGTGATACTCTGAAATCATTCCTCCGTAGGTTGGTATTGAGCTAGCAGCATTATCATGTGTGACTGTCTACAACATAGTTCCAAATAATAATTCCGATCTTATTTACATGATTGTACATGTATGTAATGTAGACTTCGCACCATGAAATTCAGCGAATATTTCGATTTTGTTCATATTGTATGAATCACTCTCTTCCCACTATGTGATGCTATGTGTATTTTTAGATGTCTCACGTTGTACATACACATACTTCGAAGTACACTGTTTTATATTTGTGTGTGCATGCGTGTGTGTGTTGACATGACTGTTGTCCTCTTGCTTGGGTATACCTCCTGGTGTGGCTGTGCATGTATGTATGATGGTGGTGTACATGATTGTATGTGTGATGATGGTGTACATGATTGTATGTGTGATGATGGTGTGGTGGTGTGCATGTACATATGATGGTGGTGTGGTGGTGTGCACACACTACACACAGGCCAATGTTGATACTGAGGAAACCACTCCAACATTTGAAGAGTACGTCAAAGCTCTCAAGGTTCGTGCCTGTACTGTGCTTGGAATACGATATCATGCCGCTGCATTTTCCCCGGACGTTGTGTTTCTGTTGAAATTGCTTGCTTACTTGAGCTATGGGTCACCAGCAGCCCGGCTTTGCATTCCAATCTCACAACGTAATTGTGCACATTTTAGGCAAGCTTCACTTGCTCCTGCATAGCATGGGTTGCAATGCCGGTACAACTCATACCTGACTCAGCATGGTGACAAGAGGACATACACTAGAATATATACCGAACTGGTATTTCGGAAAGCAGAATTTGTTGTTCATGCCCTCTTTCAATGAGTCATGGAAGCCATGAAAAGCGACTGCACACTAAAAGTCTTGCATCCCGCATCAGTATCTTATACTGATGTCACAAGATGTACGGATGTGATGGAAGTATGATGTACACTTCACTGTGCCGGGACCTGAATGAAGAATTGCACTTTCTGAAATCATAATTCGGAGTTACACGCTTTCTAGCTTTGTACTCTTGATGGTGTGTAGTGTGTACAAGACAGTATCTGACAACCGGTTAAGGGTTGTAGTAAGGAGCACTGCTGTGCTGTGCGCCCTCCGCCTTGTAACATGCTGTCATCGTCAAAACAAGTACATGTACACTCGGACGTCTCTTATCCGGGCACCTTGGGACCGGGCACTGCCCGTATCTCTGATTTGCCCGTATCTCAGGATAACTCATGTACCATGTATCATATCATTTTTGAAGAAGTTTATTTGGAACGTATTGCACATGTTCAGGATACAAAAGGAACCCATTGATAAAAATGCGTGGATTACATAGGTTGGCAGTGAAAAATGAGCACTTCCTCGTACGGAAAAAAAGTTCAAAACTCCCAAATTCGAAGCATTTGTGCTATAGGAACTCAAGCTGAAGGTGCCCGGTAGAGAGACGTGCCCGTATCTGAGGCGTCCGGATAAGAGGCGTTTGAGTGTCTGTAGTTGTAAGTTGCAATGTTGCATACAAGCATGCTCTGCTCCATGTTTCTCTCTCTCTCTCTCTCTCTCTTTCTCTCTCTCTCCCTCACTCTCTCCCTCCGTCTCATTTCTTTCCTTTGGTACCTGCTCAGGATGTCGTTCCAGAGATGTTCCCAGGAAAGGGTCCATTCAAGCGTGTCATTACTGAGTTTGGACAGGCTTTCAACTGCAAGGTATCTTATGCGTGTCATAGGTACTACCGTACTTGTACTTTACACGATGGCAACTGCTCCAATACATGTACAGTGCGTATCGGTTATAGCAAGAGTACATGAAAACCAGAGTGTGCAGCTCGGATGGGTTGCTGTCACGGCGAAATTCCGTGATTACATCATTTTAGTGATGTAGTGCGTACAAGCAGGATTCAAGCAGGTCTCTTTCTGCACAACTGCAGCTCAGTTGTACGCACTACGCCACTTCCCGCCTCAGATCTGGGCCAAATATGATGTAATCACGGAATTTCGCCGTGACAGACACCCATAGCAGAAAAGGCCCCAAGCTGCACACTCTGGTTTTCATGTACTCTTGGTTATAGTGTGGTCGTGTAAAAGAATATACTGCCGACAAGAATGAACTCTCATGTTTTCATAATCATAACATTGGTTTCAAGTGCACATTTATTCTTACAAGCAATTTTATCGTACAGTAGAATATATCGGTCCTAACCATGGAGTTTGTGTAGCAAAACATGCCAGATTAGTACAAAGTATATCGCCTGTAGTAATAACATTCATCCAATGCAGTTCTGATCTGACTCGCGTTGGGTCGTGGTGCTGCAGGTTCAACTGTTGTGGTCATGTAACTCATGTTGCATAGCCACATGGTAAGCCTATGTCACAGTATGTGACTATGACCAGCCGCATGCACAGTAGCACTACATGTACATTGCATGTACATTGCATGTACGATGATCTTCCTGCCTCTACGCACATGCACGTGATAATCATGTCACACTTGATTTATCGTGTGTAAGAAATATCAGAAATAAGAATAGAAAGTCATTTTTCAAACACCCACGCTATAACCGATACCTTGTATGTGATTTTGGACACACAGTATTGCCTGAACAACTTGGAGAGTAAATGTAAACCGAAAGCGCTGAAGAAGTACACGTATGCCATTGGCAATTTTGTACTGTTTTCTTTGTTGGTCTTTTTTATAATTTGTATTCCTGTTCACAGTCTCATGCTTGGTTACTTCTACCCCCCCCCCTCCTTGGTGTGTGTTTCTTTCTTTTGTGTAGCCAAGGACTTTGTGTGGCTGTGTGTGGTACTAGTAATAATCATGACAAGGCTACAGAGGAGTTACACCATTCCGATTAAGTTTCATACTTGCCATTGTTATTGTCAATCAATATTCATGGTGTGAGAAGCTTGCACTTGCCGTACATTTATATGTACAGGTACGGGTAGTAGCTGGTGGTGTTATCAATTTTTTCAAAAATAATTTGCTACGCTTTCCTGGGTAGTTTCTATTTTGATCCATGTGTATTGGACTAAGACAGAGCTTCTACCTCTCTCTCTCCTCGTGATGTGTCCCTGTGTCATCTTTGCAGAGTGGTTGGATTGCAAGTCGCGTCGAGTATGACAAGGAGGTCGGCGACGAAACTCACCTGCCGCTCATCCACGCTGGTGCTGTGAGTAGTGAGACCATCCTATGCAACGCCGCGCAGTGCTGCTGGTGGATGTTTCAGATTCCTCCCTGTGAACACTGTTGAACTGGAGCTATGCTATGCTGTTGCTGCAGCACGGTGCTGTATTCATACAATGTCATGCTAGAGATGTTGTTGTTGTTTTATTTTAATTCGCAGAATCAAACGGGCAGCAAGCCCAATTACATGAGAGCGAATACGTATAGTGCGTGCTCATAGAAGCAGGGTTATAAGAGAATGCGAGGAGGTGAACTGCTGTGTTTGCTCACGAAGTTATGCGAAATCGCCATCAGTCCTCCAGACCCCTGTGACTTAAAGTCTTTGTTGATTGTGTGCCTGCTTCTAACTCACCCCGGTGTATATTGTTTATGCACTGTTTTGTGTGTGTAGGATATTCTGATGCGTACATGCTACTTAGCTGACATGCCCAAGCATCAGGTAAGCATAATGTGTTCGCGGCGGCACCACGTATTCAACTCATGACACCGCGTCTGTGCCGACACGCAGTGCTGAAGTTTGCTACATGTTAGCAGTGTTTGCCAGCCAGGTCGGTTGTAATGTGTGTAGTACTTCGATGTACAGCATACTCAATGCATTGTGTGTTTGGTCTGTTGGGTGCACTTGGGGTCTGTTGGGTGCACTTGGATAGCAGAAGCATGTGTGCCCACGCCATTGGGTAGATCTTGCTGCTCTGAATGTTGCGAACAATGAATTCCGCTCTGTGCATTGTCTTATCTTCACGCAGAAACGCTTGTTTGTCTACGGCTCTAACGGTGATATCAAAGAGGATGATGTAAGGTTGTATAGTGTTGTTAAACTGTACTGTGTGCACATAGTGTGCCCTCTGTCTTCACTAGCCCCCATGGGCATAGTCATACTTCAGTAGATAAGGCACTTCACTGCTGTGTAGCCGCCTAAACATGACAACAGTTCACTACTGAAGTATAATAGGCAAGAGTTTGATTTTCCACGCAATGACGTGCATGCATGTACTCTTAAAGTTCCAGCTGCAAGATGTGTAAAGAATAGGTGTATTTCTTGGCTGCGCTGTGACTGCATGTCGTTCCATGCCAGTGTAACAGCGAACATGCTAGTACATGTCTACGGTGCATACATGAATTATCTGAACTTTCCGTCCGCTGTTGACACCCTATCACCTGCAGGTGTGCCTCCAAGACATCGGCGGTCCGCTTTGTTTCTCTGGAGATGTGGTAGCCAAGCAGCGGCAGCTGCCCAGAGTAAGTTTGGGTTTAATTTCACGGGACAAGTTTTGCATACATGTATACCGTAGTGACATCTACCTGTGACGTCACTGGCACTAAAGTACTGTAAAAGCCATTATTCTAACGAGGCGCATATATAACGATTTCCCAAAATTGACTAGTTTACGTGTACCAAAGGTAACGATTCTCACTCATTCTCAACGCTCAATAGGACAGTATATGTATCGATTTCTGTATAACGATTTCTATTTTAACGACAGATTTCTCCTCCTTAACTCGTTAGAGTTAGCACTTCGTTATATATATATGGCTTTTACAGTAGTACTACAATGCAGTAAGATAGGGCGCCGAAGAACACTCTATACTGTTTTCTACATTTTCACGTGGTGTGATCGCATCGTATGATGCTCTCCATGATCGCGGAATAAGAACAAAACGAGCATTTGCGAACAGTGCCAGGCTGCACCTTGAGTCCCTACGTTCTTCGGCGCCCAATCTTACTGTACTCCATACTATAAAGTGGTTTGTGTTTGCGATGATGTACACAATACAATGTATATTATATTCATTGGTTTGAAGGAAAGATGCAAACGGGAAAAGTCTGAAGAAAAATTGACTGTCACCTAGGGATGAAGCGTACATGGATTTCGTTTTAACGAACCTTCTTCATCATAGCGAACGAACATGGTCTTTGGGAGACTTCAATTGGTTCATGTACTTTATTTCAGTATTTTGACCAGAGTCACAGAGGTGAGTACTACAAGTATTTAACATGTCTTGTTGCGAGTGGCTCTATTTATTTAGAGTTTATTTTAGACAACATCTCCTGGCACGTCAGAAGATGGCCAAATATTCAGTTGAGAAGAAGTGTGAGAGCCAACCATGGCAGAACGGAAACAAAGAGGGAGGAGGACAGAGAGAACTGAAAAAGGCTTATGCTTAATGCATGTGCTTCTGCATTACTTTAACCATAGTTAAGAAGCGCGCATATGTTGAGGCTCGGATGGTGAGCCAATTAAATTATGGTGAAAAAAGGAGGACAAAATGTTACTCCTCTCAGTACTCCTTGTCAGTTTTGTGCCATTTTGTCGCACTCGCTGACTGTATAAGATCTGGTTACGTTGGTGGACAGTTAGTCATAACTCGTAACATTTTGTCCTCCTTTTTTCACCATATGTTGAGGCATTCGTGCATTTCTCTGTTGAGCTCTGACTTATTCCTCTGTATTCTTTCATCACGTGTTTCGTATGCAGGCCAACCGCGGAGACTTTGTTGTGCTGCGGGACTGTGGAGCAAACTCAATCTCCATCTTCTCCCGCCACTGCAGCCGCTTGGCGCCACCTGTTTATGGTGAGTTCTCTTTAACATGGGTGTGCAGTGCAGTGCAACATGCACATGCGCCTTGCAATATCACCGCAGCCAGGCGTTGATAGCATGAGCCCGTAATACACACCTCACTGTGCATGCACATGTGTCATGGTATTTACTGCCCGCTCCTAAAAATTGAAACGATGGATATCGAGATATATGCACCAATGCGTGTAAGCTTATGTCACTGACTCAGTCACTGTTCTGGCTTGTGCCTCGCGGTTGAAAGCGTCATGCACGTCAGCAGCAGCATGTACTCAAGCATGTGTAGTGGCAATAGTGCAGATGAACCAGCTTCAAAATCTCTTCCCCTGCATGGCATGCATGGTACTTGTTCACAGCACATTACACGTATTACAGTAGGGCGCGTCTTTGCCGGTACATCTTGCTTTGTCTGTACAGCCTCTTTTGCAGGCAAAATAAACACAATGACTATTTGTTTCCCAAGTGCCCCGGTACATCTTGCTTTGTCTGTACAGCCTCTTTTGCAGGCAAAATAAACACAATGAATATTTTTTTCCCAAGTGCCCCGGTACATCTTGCTTTGTTGACAACACATTACAGTAGTGTAAGTATTTGCCGGTACACCTTGCGTTGTTCATAGGCTATGTGGTTGTGGACGGCAAGGCACAGCTGACAATATTCAAGGTAAGCCTCTCAGTGTGTGACACTAGTAGTACTGTAGTATCATGCTTATTGAGCTTTGACGTACTGCTTTATGGTTAAGGTGTTTCCTAATGTACAGTGTACTTTTAGTGTGCAGGGAGACTTGAATGAACTGCTGGCTTTCTCGCAGATCTAAAAAATCTGACCGCAGACTATCTGCCCACTGCTGTCGTCACAATTGCTTGGATTTTCTGGTGTGTTTGATTACTACCCGGTATATGACCTAGTTGTAGGAAGAACCTACAGCTGTGATCTACAGATAGTCAACAGAAACTTCCCAATGCTGTCTTTTACTTTTGAAGTATCAGTATCTGGAACAGTACTTCCACAAGTAAAATGCAACTACAATTAGTGCCAAACTGCAGTATCGTAAGCTATAAAGTGCCATAGATATGTCATAATTTCCTTTTGCAACGGATACGAAGTACAGATTGATATGACCCTTGGAGGTACAGTATGCTGAAGTGTTACTGAATTCCTTGCGCACACGATACCAGTGTTTAGTTTGTCTTGTTACTGAATTCCTTGCGTACGATACCAGTGTTTGGTTTGTCTTCTCCCATCGGCTGCCACTCACAATCCCGGCCATCCAGGACAATTTCCGCTTGTAGTCGCAGTGGTTTATTTTACCTTGGTGTCATGTGATGTGTGTGTGCTCTTACTGGGAACTTATTATTTGTGTACCCATGTGTATGTTCTTGCAGGAGTCTGAGCGAGTTGACGACATCCTTCACTTCTTTGGAGGTACGGCTGCTGTGTAGTGTTCACTGCTGCATGTACTCCTGTATAAAATACCCACCGAGTGTTGTTTTTTGTGTGTGCTATCTTCCTGGGCGGTTAGTAGTGGCGGTGCATCGTGCGCATCAGGCTTGAAACGTTCGAGTGAACCGACAAGTTTGCCGTGCAGTCTGTCAGTATTATATTATCACACCGCTGTCGGGTAATACGGTGCTGAGACTTGAGAGGGTTATTTCGTTTGTCATGAAATCGACGTGCGGATGCAATCCTGTATCATGGCCATCACAATGTTCCCCTTGCTGCTTCGCACGGTCAGTATCAGTATCAGTGTCGGCCTTCTTTTCTTCCATCCTCATCTTCTTGTTTCCAATCCTGGTTTTTTTTCAGCTCAAAATTATACTCTTGGTAGCTCTCGGCCTCCTTTGCTTCCTCACAGGTTTTATTTCCCCCGGCTAATACGCACGTGACAGATACACGCACTACCACTAGTATCCCGGGAAATCCAGCAGCTGTGTTTGGTTCTTGAAGGAGCTTGCAGAACACGTATGTGTAGCTGAAGTGACTGGCATAGAACACTGATAGATACATTAACCCGTGATGGCTGATATGTCGGTAGTTCAAGTCCTGTGCCAAAGCCAGGGACTTTTTTAAACATGCTCAGCTGCCTTGCAACCCTCCCTATACTTCAAACATGTGCAACATGTTTTCCACACCAATGTTATCTATGTAAACCATATTTTACACGTCAAAATCCACAGCCTGGATTTGGTACAAATGTGTCATTACAGCAGGTGCGTTCATATGCTAAAGCCTGATTCATACTTCATTTCATCCACAGGAAATGTGCCGCATCGCAAAATTGGCCCATCGCATGATCGTCGCGCGGTGTTTTTCGTGTTTCCTGTACACAAAATGATGTATGAATCAGGCTTCATAACACTTCCGGAAACGTTTCGCCTTGTCCTCCTCTTGTTGTGCAGGTGAAAGTACATGGCCAAGGCAATCGTAAGAAGATACCTGTACCTGAAAAGTAGCTGCAGTTCGGTACATTCTTGTCAAATTTGTGAAACACAGTCTCTTCTTTTGTGATCATTTCTTTTTCTTCCTTTTTCTGGTATCTTTCTTCGCTTCGTGCACGCGAGCACTCGAGCAGAAGCTTCACGTCACGTCTGAATCACGATCATTATTTCTGCTCATATGGGTTATTGGGTCTTTAGAAAAGTGTGGCCCTGTCATTACAGAAACTGTCCGTCGTCAGAAGATTGCATACCAGCACGATGAAACTTATTTTCTTATGGTAGCAAATTATGCGAAAGCATTGAATTGAGGAAAGACTTTACAATTTTTACGACTGTTCTTTACCTTGTAGTTTGGCATAGGAGGTTTGTGGTTGTTCCTGGTTTTACTTTCATTTTACTCGTGAATTATTTAAAAGGCACCCGGAATAACGTTAGAAATAACAACTTTATTTACTTGCTTTTTTGCTAGTTTTGATTGAAGTGGCACCCGGAATAGAAATAACTTGATTTACTTGCTTTTTTGCTAGTTTTGATTGAAGTGGCAACGGCTGTTTCTTTTAAAATACATAAAACTCTCCTCCTCCAACTTTATCTACTTACCTTTTTGCTAGTTTTTGATTGAAGTGGCTATGTCACTACTGACTATTCAGAGCATTCTCTCTAGATATTCCTTGAAAACGGAGTCGAGTGCAAAGTTATTTACTTCATTTAAGGATTTTTTCTCTTTGGATTTTCTTCTTCTCTTCCTGATCCTGCCATTCGGTCTTTTTTTCACTTTCCTTTGTCCGTTGCTGGCATGATTACTTGCGTCTCACGCCGGTTTCCATGGTTATTTTACCGCACCACAACAGTAGTTTGACTAAGTTCTGTTGTGCATTGCTGCTGGTCGTATACGGAAGGTGAAGTAATTTTCCATATCACAGCCTACATGTTGTCGTATAGAGAATATGCAAACATTTTCTAATGGGCGTGAGTCAGCGGATTTTCAAATGGGCGCTAACAAGAGTACATGAAAATGGTTTTCATGTACTCTTGGCGCTAAGTATGCAACATGAGTCGCTAGTGCAAGTGCAGTGCTGTGCTGCGAGTCCGCGACTTCGCCAAAGCATCGCAACTGATGATGTAACCACATGCATGTAAAGTAACCTTGCGATGGTGATGTGTGATGCCCTGCACATATTAGAGGTATGACCTGAGGAAAACCGACTTCGAAGTATGATTCATGATAATTATCAAGAGTATAATTTATAAGCTTGTACACACTGCTCTGCACCTTTGTGCATTGAGCACTCTACCTCGAGCTGCCTAGACCGGCCTCGTATAAGCTTGTATACATGAATACTCAATTTGTGGACAGAACTGCTTCACCCCTTGTGGACTCATCAGCGCAGCACAGAGAAAATGAGGCCGAACCTGATAGAATGTTAATGGGGAAGTTAAGGCAAAAATTAAAATTTCACCAGTTGTAGTCTTCGGGGGGCAGAGTCGAATGGTCGTGGTCCGAGGAAGCTGAGACGCTCCCTTCCTACTTGAATCCCAATCGAACTCGCGCACTTCCACCGAAACTGGGTGACTGCGCCCTACTAGATGGGGATTTGTATGCAAAATGTCACTAAAAGCGCCATTTCGTTCATATAAAAGCATGGATGACCGCGATTGGCCCATATGTTGTAGTCTTTTGGACGCTGAGTCAATTGGTTTTGGTCCGAAAAGGCTGCGATGCAGCGTTCCTCCTTTATTCCCAATCGAACATGGTTGAACAAGCGGTCACGTGCTCCTGCGTACGCCAGTCACCTGGTCACCGTGCCTGCAGGGTACAACTTACTAGCCTGTTTGACCTTTTTTGGGTGCAGTCCTGTCACTTGAGTTGAACCTTGGTGTGAAAGTTGTCGCCTGCTGGCGTGGTGACCAGGTGATTTGGGCACCCAGGGGGGTATACTCTTGGTGGTAGCAAGAGTATGGGGGGGGGGGGTTATACTCTTGGTGGTAGTAGAAGTACAGTCAACGCTAAAGACTGCGGATATAACGACAATTGCGAATAACGGCAGAATTTCCATGCCCAGAGCAAAGTCCATACTACCAAGAGTACATAACCCGGGGGGGGGGGGGGGGCTATGTACTCTTGATACTACCTGTATACATAATGAGACTTTGGGTATAACGACACTTCGCGAATAAGGACACTTTTCTGATGCCCTGAGTTTAGTTGACTGAGTCTGTACATCTAGTCTGTGATGATCACAGTCACATGTACCAGTACTACTACTGTAGTAGTAGTACTAGTAGTATCAAGAGTACATAATTATGTACTCTTGGTAGTATGCTGATTCAGCGACATGATGCATGATGACCCCTGGCCTGACTGGATCATGGATGACTGCACAAAACTACTTGCACATGTGCCCCACGTGACCTTTGTTGTGCTTTGACATGACAAGTCCATTCAAACTAAAGTCGTAAAGACTTTGTAAGTAAACCTTGAGCTGAGGCGCTAGGCCAGGGAGTCGTACCCAAATGTTAGGGTACGACTCCCTGGTTGAGGCCATGTGGTTTGTCTAGACGTCTACCAACAGTACCGTGTGGGTTTAGCTAGAAGTAGACCATGGTACTTATTACTAGACTACAAAGAGTTAGGCAGTAGAGTTAGAGGAGTCGAGTGTTTTCGACACATGTAAATACACCCAGCACCAAGTACCAACTCGATCTTACCGCCTTCGTTCTTGCTCGAGTGCTCATTCAGTCATTGATTTGGTGGAGGAAATCAGAAATCCATTTCTCAGTCTGCCGTTGAATTGATTTGAAAACATTTTCAAACAGATCGGTCTGTGAATATTCGAATGAAGTGAAGTTTTTTTCATGGAAGAGGATAGGAGCTACCGCACCACGTGAAATCTTCGTAGCGCGCACGCACGTGGTGGCAAGCCACAGACAGAAGAACAGCTAGCTTGTACGGTACTTGTGCATCGATCCCTTCCTATCCTACACTGGCTCCAGCTCCTGTTGTTTTTTGAAAATCAACAAGAATACTGCAGTACTGGCACATAACTTCATAAGCTCTTGATATCACACTCAGTCACTGCAGCTGGACAGTAGAACGGACGGATTTGTTGTTCATCGTCAGGTTGAAGCAGTCATTGGTGCCGTAGGCCGGTGCAGGAGACCTTTCAATGGCTCAGCTTCTGAGGAGCACGGGCGATGCAGTTCGCTTGGCACTGCAGCCAATTGAGACTCTTCTCTTTCAGATGGTAAGGGCATTGCTCATAATTCTTTTCACAACAAGAGTATGGTACTGCTTACTCTTTCTCATCTTTCACAAGTTTCAGTTGACGGTAACTCTTCAGTCTTGAATTAATCGAGGTGAACGAAACATGTTTGTTTTGAATTTTGAATTAGTAACTTGTGTTCATTTCACCTCACCAGCATCTGGCGAAGGAGTAAGGGACCGTCCATAAATTTCGCCTGTCACTACGCGTAGATCTACGATGGCATAAACGTAGCTTTTTTCTGGCCACCAGTTTGAACACACACTGTGTGCTCATTTCTAACCTTGACTGAACGCTGCGTCCGAAATGGCAGGAGAGAGCAAACGATGGTTGGCTATCACCCACATCTTCCCGTTTTGGCTGCCATCGGAAGCCATAAGATGTTGATTAAATAAATAAAATAACCCTCAAACAAGTCAAAATAAAATAACATAGGATTCCATAGACCCAGATGATCCGATACATGACATGTAGACACAAGTTCACAATGGCCGGAAACCAAAAAACTGGGATTTCAGTAAGTAATTCCCAGTTCCATGGTATTTGGTCGATTATCATGACAAGAATGATGAGGCTGCCCACGGTTAGAGTATAATGTGGGAGGCGCGCAAGAAATTGCGATAAAAGTGGGCGCAGTGCCCTCTATATAGCAGTGCCCTTGTTCTAAACAATCACCATAAATGAGGTACCGTATTATCTCTAATATAAGCACGGTCCTTTATTTTTTCAATGTACCTCCGCCCCGTGCTATTAATGGAGACGTTCCTTTATTGGAGACTGTTCCATTATTATTTCAACCTCATTTCAGAGGCATGTTGCCATGCCAAATTCATGTATGGCACACACATTTCAGGGTTTTTTTCGCCGGTACAGATAATGAATTTACACAGTGTGCTTATAATGGAGACTGAGCACTTTATTTTTTGAATGCCGCCCCAAGGTGTTCTATTATTGGAGACGTGCTATTATTGGAGACTGTGCTTATATTAGAGATAATACGGTATGTGTCCTATGAGTGGGTGCTTCCTACAAGAAATCTACTCCTATTTACGTACATGTACTGTCGTGGACATGGAAATGACCGGGGCTGGCGCCCTGAGTGCGTACAGAATGTTGCATGCAGTGCACATGTTGATCGTATGCGTACTCGCGGCTGCATGGCCAGCGCCCTGGGGCCGCGTGACCTCCGACCGGATTTCCTATGTCCATGGCAGTTGCTAGTAGTAGTACACATGGTGTGGGTATGCCCAGGAAAACACAGTCCGTTTATGGTATCGTGACTCCTGATTAATGACAATGCTTGCTGGTCTAGTGGGGCCCTAAGTTTGGACAAAACCATTTTGGTTGCAAGCAGTACTAGTTGCAAGGTTGCACATCGTCTGCCTCTACTCACCTGTGCCGTTTTGACTGGTCGTCTCACAGCTACCCTGGTACGATAAATACATGTATGGACCGCTCAGTGTAAAGCTGTCGCCGCACGTTGCCAGAATACCGCGCTACGCTCAACTCAATGGTCAACAGTACACCGTCTTCACAGCGAACATCCTCTCGTCGGCACGAGCTGCGATGGTAGTGATTGCCGCTATGTTTCTGAAGTAAGTGAATATGACACATTTGTGTACATGTAGATTGCTGCTGCTGCTGCTGCTGCTGCGGGGGGTTGAGATTACTGTGAAGCTCCATGCACCGGGAGTAGTACGGTGAAACCAGTAAAGGACCAGCCGATGCCCATGCTTTTTTTAAATAGTTCTCTGAAAAATTGAGAGTGCAGCCGGTGTGTAGTTATTCTAAGCCGATAGTAAGAATAGGTATTCATTCCGGTCCCGTAGTGCGGGTTGGCCATCCCGTGCCAGCTTTCGTACTGTGCACTGTGGGGGAGAGATTATAGCAGGGGCTGGTTTAGAATTGTTTGTGGGCTCGATTTCGTACTGTTGTTGACTGGCACAGTGTATGAGGTTGTGCACAGTGTTGTCAGGGCTCATGGCAGAAGGAAATGAAGGCATTTAGCTCACGACGATTGCGCTTGCAACCCTACATTGTACGTTCTTGAGGTTATATTCAGTTAAATAACAAAACGATGAAAATAGTTCCGAAGCGTTCCGAAACCGACATGGCCAACTGAAATGGGTTTCCCGTACATAGAACACATGCTGGAGTGGAGATTTGGAACTGCAGAATACTGTGCAATGCCTGCACAAGTAGTTTACTATCGGAATACTGATCAATGTTGAATACCTAAATTGCAAGGAATTTATGTTCTGTTCTGTTCTTCAAAGCACACCTTGGGTGTATTTAGTTCATTGGATGTTTTGCAATATCTTTTTATCCCCACTATGCACTCATGTCTGTCTACACAACGTTGTGTTACAGATTCCAGTTCAGTGTACTTGCATCACTCATCGTTTTCTTCCACGACTTTCTCGACCATGTTGATGGAATGGTGGCTCGCGAGCAAAAGAAAATTTACGGCCAGATTGATGATCCTGTTCTTGGCGGATTCATGGATGCGTTCTGCGATAAAGTAAGCGACCTACCGTGAAGTGAATGAACCACAGCAGAGGAATATAGAATATTTGGATTATTTTGCCAAGGCAATATTCGAAAGAATGTTTGTTTGAAGAAAGTCCTGTTTGATAGTTGCATCGCTAGTGGTTTGCCTAGAATACTTATTATACATGTGGTGGAATAAGAGAGGACAGATAATTCTGTGCATTGATATGGACAATAACACAGGCAGTGACATAGGTAATGACACAAGCAATGACATAGGTATTATACCAACATGGTGTCTTGTCCTGTACTCTTTCATCTATATACTCAGTATTTCCTGCCTTTGTGTGCTCTGTTGCTGGAAGATTTTCAACTGCCTCTGCTTGTGGAGTTTGTTGATGGCGGTGGAAACCCAGAACATGTCCAACGTGCAGCTGTTCATCTTCCTACTGGCAACGTGCTCTATACTCATCTATGAGTTCATTCTAGGAGTCGTCCGTGTCCAGGATTATTTCCACATTAGCTATTGCCAGTAAGCCAGTGAATATATTGATCATCGTTCCTGCTGCTGGTTGTTGCTGGTTGTTGTTGTTGGTTGTTGTTGTTGGTTGTTGTTGTTGGTTGTTGTTGTTGTTGGTTGTTGTTGTTGGTTGTTGTTGTTGTTGTTGGTTGTTGTTGTTGGTTGTTGTTGTTGGTTGTTGTTGTTGGTTGTTGTTGTTGGTTGTTGTTGTTGTTGGTTGTTGTTGTTGGTTGTTGTTGTTGGTTGTTGTTGTTGGTTGTTGTTGTTGGTTGTTGTTGTTGGTTGTTGTTGTTGGTTGTTGTTGTTGGTTGTTGTTGTTGGTTGTTGTTGTTGGTTGTTGTTGTTGGTTGTTGTTGGTTGTTGTTGTTGTTGTTGTTGTTGTTGTTGTTGTTGTTGGTTGTTGTTGTTGTTGTTGTTGTTGTTGTTGGTTGTTGTTGTTGTTGGTTGTTGTTGGTCGTCGTCGTCGTCGTTGTTGTTGTTGTTGTATTTTTTTTCTTTGCTTTGCTTTACTTGGGAACGCAACCGAATGCTGCCGTCTTACAGGGTGCCCAAGAACTTTTAAACCCATGCCTCAAATAACGTGTGTGTGTGTGGATGGGTGTGCATATGTTGGTGCATGAGCATGCCCAAGCCCACCTTGTCCCTCCCATCCTCGTTCAGAGATAATCAATTTAGTGCATCCAGCCCAATGCTGTAGTTTTTCTGCAGGTTGTGTATTTGTCATGGCCATTTGCTGTGATCGTGTGTTGTCAGTGACACACTCCCTGCAACTCTGGCATTGCCTTTCTCAAGAGGATTTCATCAATGCATGCCATGGAACACCCAATCGTAGCTCTGACATCACATCTTGTTCTGTTATTGTCTGTCACAGACACTTTGGCTCTGCGGGGGCAGCCGGCGAGGTGAAAATTGCAGCAAACATGGCAGGAAAGCTCAAGGAGAAGTTGGAATCATTTGGTCTGGCGTTTCTCTGCATGGCCTCGTCATCTAGTAATATTATGACTCGACCAGGTTAGTATTGTTTAATGCCTTTGAATTCCAAACTAAATACTTAGTATGATCACAGAGGATGAGAATATTAACATATCTAATTTGTCCGGATATTGGGTTTGTCTCTAGTTGACATGCAATACTGGCTCTAGCGTACGTGCAATAACGTTACTGACTCTAGCGTACGTGTGTTTATATTGATCTCCACTGGATCTTCATGTCGAGCCCTCTACCCTTGTTGTTTTCACTGGTGATGTGAGCGTTGGAAATTGACTTCATCCCATCGTGCCATGGGTCACAAGGCTGTTGCCTGTTGTGGCCACATGTGTGCTTATTCTAGCAGTTGGATCTCCTCTTGAAGCTAGGCTCAGGTGTGTTTGCCATGCGTTAATGTGTATACTAGTAAGTGCCTTTCTACTGCTTGTTCCTATTGGCAGATGGCATCTTGGGAGTAGTTCTGCTGCTGCTGTCGGTGCGCTTAGCACATAGCAGTCTGGCGCACAAACTGGAGAGACGCTCCAAGGCAGCACCGTCAACCGGCGAGAAAAACCAACTTTCTCGCTCCGCATCATCATCCCCCGTCCCCGCTGCTGACGCCAGTGGATCTCCTCTCAGTGATGAAGAGAAGTTTGATGTGTTCTTCATCACACAGGAGCAGCAGCGCACGGAAGCGCTGCAGATCCAAGAGGACGAGGTGGTCAACAAGGTGTTCACCATTGGCTGCTTTGATTTGTTTCACTTCGGTCACGAGAAGCTGCTGCGGAGAATGCGACGCCTGGGCCAACGGGTTAGTTTTCCATTGGCAGTCCAATGATTCCATGCCTGTATGTCATTCTGCATGTGTGCTGTATAGGGCTTACATGTATCTGCTCTAGGTGCTCCTGTGCTCAGTGACTGAGTGAACCACCCTGGGGGGCGATTAACTTCACACTCGGCTCTCTCTCTCTCTCTCTCTCTCTCTCTCTCTCTCTCTCTCATCACACGTAGCATGCTGCTGTACAGAGATTGCGGTATTGCACTGCAAAATGGAGACTGAAAGTACTGGTGTCATGACCTGACCTCTTGCGCATTGGACTGCTTGCCGAAAGACTCAGCTCCCTGGCCTCAACTGGCTTGCCTTCACCTGTGTGTCTTGACACTGCCAAGTGGATCAGACATAGTTGTGACCAGGGAGTAGTAAAGTACCGGTGTTTTACTACTCCCTGGTTTTGACCTAATGTAAGGTTGCATTCGTTTTTAGCTACCTGGTAGAGTAGAGTAGAGTCACTCTACCGATAGAGGTAGATGGTAGAGGCAAGTGTACGAACGTTGTTCTACCAGATCTAGTAGTTCACACGATGTGTACGTGAAATGTTTCTCCTCTGTATGGAGTTGTGTACAAATCCTTGATCTTGCTGGAAATCCCGTAGCTCTACCAACTTTTTCCCGGTAGAGCCGGTAGAGGAAAGTAGAATCTACCCTTTTCAGTAGAATTTTTTCAAAAAACGAACACCTCTACCGAAAGAAGTAGTTTCTACCCAAACCTGTAGATCAAAAACGAACGCCCCCTAAGGCTGTGTTTACATGAGAAATTTCAACCCGGGTCGAGTTCACTCCTGGTTGAAAGTCTGTACGATAGACAAAATAGGTGAGCGTTTACATGAAGAGAGTTGACCCGGGTCAAATACTGATATGCCGCCGAAAGTCCACTTCTAGAGTCCTGCATGGTGCATGGTCACGTAAATCCGTTCGCGCAAAATTTGCATGTGCAGTGCTGTTCAAACCTGGCGCGAGATACGCACAGAAGTACGTTAGTACGATTTTCTTGACCCGGGTCAAGCGCAATGCATGTCAAGCGTCATGTAAACGCGCCATTCATTTTGTGTACATGGCGGGTTGAAATCTGACCCGGGTCGAACTCAACCCGGGTTGAAACGCCTCATGTAAACACAGCCTAAATCAACACATTTTGGCCAATCTTGAAATGAAACTTTTGGCCGTCATTAAACTTCGGCCGATTGGGGTTTTCAGAAAAGAAATCGATCGGTATTAATTTGTGTTGCTCTCACATGCATCCATGGCTCAATTATGCATCATTTGCCTCCATGACAAACTTTGGCCTGCGATTTAATTTGCCCGGTTGGTACCAAGCTGCGAAATCAAATCGCCAGCGAAAATTAGTTGATTTACAGTACTTGCACTGTGGTGTAGATCTACATGTACATGGTGGTGGTGTTCTTCTATCTTGTCTTTCAGCTCATCATTGGTGTTCACAGCGATGAGAGCATCCAAACTTTGAAGAAGAAAACACCGATTGACTCGCTGGAAACCCGGATGAAAAATGTCCGCAAACATGCCGATCAGGTCAGTGACGTTTGGAAGAGTTGCTTGCCGTACTCGTGACGTAATAGAACACAGATTAGCTTGACGTGATTGTTCCTTTCCTCTGCCCTACGCTGCTGCTGACTCTAACTCTCTCTCTCTCTCTCTCTCTCTCTCTCTCTCTCTCTCTCTCTCTCTCTCTCTCTCTCTCTCTCTCTCTCTCTCTCTCTCTCTCTTGTCCCTCTGTACGAAGGGCCAATGTGCTACGTGTCTGCAATTTCTGTACAGTGCCGTTGTCCCCCCCCCCCCCCCCCCCCCACACACACACACACACTCACGCACATACGATGTGTAACAATGGTCTTCATCATTGGATTGCACTACGTGATCATGGCACTTATCATATCAGTTCTGTGTGTGTGTGTGTGTGTGTGTGTATGTGTGCACATGGCATTTTCAACTCTGCAGGTGTTCTGCATACACAGCACGGATCCATCTGCATTCTTTCAGTGTATCGTGGACTTGTCACCGAGCGAGAAAGCACTGTATGTGCGTGGTAACGACATGGTGAACTTTCCCGCACGCAATGTGGTCGAGCAGTTGATGCCAGTTCGCTTTCTGCCGTACACAGAGGGCATTAGCTCCACTATACTACGCAAACGATTCTATTCACAACCCAGTTTGTCAAACGGCAGTATTGGTAACTCTTCCGCTCTCGGTTCCGATACCGTTGTGTCAGACGAGGAGCAGACAACAACGATCACTAACAGCATCAATGGTGTGAGCGATATTGTTCAGCAAACCGCCACAGATGGTGACCAGTGAAGCAGGCCTTACAGATAGACAATTACAAATTAGCCATGATTGCACACTGTGCAAAGAATGCACGTACAAGAATACAAATTCGTGCTGATAACGGGGACGCTTTCTAAAATCAGCAAAAGACAATTCTGATCTCGGCTGGTGTTATATTTATCAGGATGATAGGCACATTTACCTTTTCATAGAGTAGCACGCTCTGAATGCGGGCAGACATTTGAATACCGCGTTTATTTCTGTCATTTCCAGACAACACTCCTACCTGCTCCTACCTGTTGTTGCAATAGACATGGTAAAGCCTAGGTGATTTATGTCTCCCTTACTTTTTTTCTTATTTTATTAGACTTTGCAATGTTGAGGGTGCTCTTTGGTCTAGCACATTTATTACTGTCCCTTTCTAGTTTTTTTGCTGCGCGTGTGTTTGTGTGTGTTGTTGCTGTTGTTTGTGGTGGTCCTGCGGCTGGTACAAGTGTTATTTTTGAATTATCCAGTTACTCCGATCTATCTAGCCTTGCGTCTGGCATTAACCGACAAAGCAATTTAATTCCATTTTTTCCTAGTCTTTTATTCTCTGCATGTACTTGTATCACAGCGCAAGGGCAAAGATTTCTAATTTTCAGATGATTTGGTCTTTTCTATGTGCTGGCAGCAACAGAATGTGTGTGTGTCTGTATGTGGTGTGTGTGTGTGTCTGTATGTGGTGTGTGTGTGTGTGTGTGCGTTGCAAAAATTAATAATGATCCACGAGCGTAATTCGAACCCAGCACCCGTGTCTTCGGGACAGTGCCCTGCCGATTAGGCTATCGGCAAGAGTACATGTACTCTTGCTATCGGGGATCACACACATCCGTAGCTCCTTCTTGCTACACTGCATGCTCCTCCGTCCCAACATGCTGTGTCCTCACGCCGTACCTACTTGTGGGGGGGGGTGTACGACGGGCTATGGGTTCGAGCCATTGCCAGGTACTGTAAACCGTGAAATTATTGCGATGGTCTAATTTCTGCGAAATTCGCGACCGCGTGGAAATCGCGAAATTTAGACAACGCGAAAAGGAGATCCATGGAAGGTGTAGCATGAATGCCACAGTAGCAAATTCTGCAATCGCAAAATTAAAACCTCGCAAACCTGTCCGGATTCCGAAAACGCGAACTAAAAAACGTTGCGAAAATTTCACGCTTTACAGTATACCCCCCCTCCCCCCGAGTATAAGGACCAGAGAATAAGAACCAGCAGGGCGGTGAGATTGTATGCACGCATTACTACATACCGTAAAACCAGAAACCTTTGCGATCCTGAAATGGTCACAATTTTCACGATGGGTGTGAAATCGCGAAAGTAAGTGGTCTCGAAACGGTAAGCTGTAGACTTGAGGCAATCATCAAATTAACTCCAGTCGCAAACGTTGGTAGTGCAAAAAAAAAGCTTGCCATTGCAATTCGCAAACTAAAACGGGTGCGAACGATTCTGGGTTTACAGTACATCATAATGTAACTTTATGCAGGAGTATAGTGTGCTCTGGGCCTTCTGACGTTCTTGGGCTCCACATTCTTCGGCGCATGACTCTACTATAGTCAAGTAGTGGAGGTGAGCTGCACCATCCCAAGTTGCACACGCACTACATGCACAAAGTACATGCACAAACTCAAACTCCACAACAAGGCAGAGCCATTCATTACTGTGGCAATACAATGCTCAGACATTATGACATGAATCACATGATATCTACTGTGCATGCATGCACATAGAGTAATACTATTATGTTCTTTACAGCAAAAAAAACAAGAAGGACAATGGGTAACAAGTACAAAATACACGGCGTGGAGATGGCATAGTGAAACATTGCAATGAAAAAAGTCAAAGAAAAAGTAGTAGCATGTACATGTACATGATTGTATTTCTTCTGAAGTATTTACACAGCCAGAGAGCAAAATGTTACCAGCAGCAGCACTAGCGGCAGTGGCAGCGCAAGGATGCTTTATTATGCATCACCCCTAGTCCATACACTATGTACAAAGAAACCAATGACTTATTTACACTGTACAAATACTGCAGCTGGCACGCAATCACCAGAGCAGCGGGAAAGCAATAAAGTACACGTCGCGTCACACACCAATACATAGCGTGACTCACCATAATAATTATTATATGCATTGCACATACATGTCCATGTCGGCTTGCAACAACGCAATCAACAACTCGACACCACACATCACACACACACATACATAAACGTAAGTACAAAAACACACACGCACAGGTACAACAACAACAACAACAACAACAACAACAACAACAACAACAACAACAACAACAACAACAACAACAACAACAACAACAACAACAACAACAACAACAACAACAACAACAACAACCACCACCACCACCACCACCACCACCACCACCACCACCACCACCACCACCACCACCACCACCACCACCACCACCACCACCACCACCACCACCACCACCACCACCACCACCACCACCACCACCACCACCACTAGGTCCACTACTACTACTACTACGTCTTCTTTCGCTTCAGCATTGCTGCAGCATCTATTGATGACGTAGCCCGGCGCTTACGCTGCAAACACACAAGGAGAGATCCAAAAACAAGCAATGAATATTGACATATTTCATAACATCACGCACGCACACACACGCATACATTGTGTGATTCGATTGACGATCCTTTCGTCACACTCTGCTCCATAGCTTCATTCCTCCGTCCTGCACTTTTAAAGAAAAACACTACATCACAGCTCCTATAATGGTATGCCCTGCTGCAAGAAAAAATGAAACAGTCTTGTTCCCTCGGTTTCGAGGCACAGCAACTGATGGAGAATAATACAGTATTAAAACCGCTTATTTAAATGTCAAGTCGTCGGCGGAATAGCGCGAGCTCCAGTGTGGGAGCAAACCCATTCCTATTTAAATATTTGCGTCACTAAATTTCGCAATTTCGCAGAAACAAGTTTACGATGGCAAATATTCGTGGAGCACAGTGGCCACACATAAACACCCACTGTTGAACTTGAAGTTTTGATCACACGCTGGTAAACACACGCTGGTAAACATTCGCGCTCCGCTCTGCTCGCAAAGCGAACATTATTACATCGCAAACATGTAGGCAGTTTATAGATATAGAGTGGTGATGTGTGCGGCTCGGGTCTCAGAACATGTACTTTCCTCACTCACCGTGGAAGTGAACGCACGCTCCTCCAGAGGAACAATACAACCGGCTTCCAGCTGACTTCCAGTTGACTTACCATTAGTACTACATGGACATATAGTAGGTTCTTTTTTCTCTCGACCAGACGAGACTTGCGAACATACTACTACTATGAATGGATGGACCAAATGAAGCTGGCATCATGGAATTATGACTTACCATTGTTGTTCCTGCTTCCTTGCTGTTGGCCTGGTCGATAATCTGAAGGGTAGCACTCTTCATTGGCGTCTGAGTCAGCAGAAGCAAACAACAGAGTACAGTGACACAGTTCAGAACTAAGCACACTGGAGATAACATTCTTTTATGTTTGCATCAGATCTGAAGTACTTTCTTGAAGGCCCTGCATATTGTTGTGATGTCATTCGACCTCGGATCAACACTGTACCTCGCCTATAGAGCACCCGTCTCATTGTTTGTGACGGATCGTCAGACTAAACATTTCACTGTATGTGCACAACGGGAAAGGGCCTAACGTCGGAAATCCACTGTTGACTGATTTAACTACAACAAAGTCGTGGACCCCAGTTAGTCATGCATACAGGCACTCTGAGCAACGTGTACATGTACTGAAGTACTAAAAGTGAAATCATCGCACAGCATAATAGAGCCTGTCTCAAAGTCTGCGGCCATACTAGTACACTACTGTAGTACACATACATGCATAGCGCTGTTACACACTCTCACCACTCCTTCGTTCAGGGTCTTGCTCATACATGCATAGCGCTGTTACACACTCTCACCACTCCTTCGTTCAGGGTCTTGCTCATACATGCATAGCGCTGTTACACACTCTCACCACTCCTTCGTTCAGGGTCTTGCTCATACATGCATAGCGCTGTTACACACTCTCACCACTCCTTCGTTCAGGGTCTTGCTCATACATGCATAGCGCTGTTACACACTCTCACCACTCCTTCGTTCAGGGTCTTGCTCATACATGCATAGCGCTGTTACACACTCTCACCACTCCTTCGTTCAGGGTCTTGCTCATACATGCATAGCGCTGTCACACACTCTCACCACTCCTTCGTTCAGGGTCTTGCTCATACATCCATAGCGCTGTCACACACTCTCGCCACTCCTTCGTTCAGGGTCTTGCTCATACATGCATAGCGCTGTCACACACTCTCACCACTCCTTCGTTCAGGGTCTTGCTCATACATGCATAGCGCTGTTACACACTCTCACCACTCCTTCGTTCAGGTTCTTGCTCATACATGCATAGCGCTGTTACACACTCTCACCACTCCTTCGTTCAGGGTCTTGCACATACATGCATAGCGCTGTTACACACTCTCACCACTCCTTCGTTCAGGGTCTTGCTCATACATGCATAGCGCTGTTACACACTCTCACCACTCCTTCGTTCAGGGTCTTGCTCATACATGCATAGCGCTGTTACACACTCTCACCACTCCTTCGTTCAGGGTCTTGCTCATACATGCATAGCGCTGTTACACACTCTCACCACTCCTTCGTTCAGGGTCTTGCTCATACATGCATAGCGCTGTTACACACTCTCACCACTCCTTCGTTCAGGGTCTTGCTCATACATGCATAGCGCTGTCACACACTCTCACCACTCCTTCGTTCAGGGTCTTGCTCATACATCCATAGCGCTGTCACACACTCTCGCCACTCCTTCGTTCAGGGTCTTGCTCATACATGCATAGCGCTGTCACACACTCTCACCACTCCTTCGTTCAGGGTCTTGCTCATACATGCATAGCGCTGTTACACACTCTCACCACTCCTTCGTTCAGGTTCTTGCTCATACATGCATAGCGCTGTTACACACTCTCACCACTCCTTCATTCAGGGTCTTGCTCATACATGCATAGCGCTGTTACACACTCTCACCACTCCTTCGTTCAGGGTCTTGCTCATACATGCATAGCGCTGTTACACACTCTCACCACTCCTTCATTCAGGGTCTTGCTCATACATGCATAGCGCTGTTACACACTCTCACCACTCCTTCGTTCAGGGTCTTGCTCATACATGCATAGCGCTGTTACACACTCTCACCACTCCTTCGTTCAGGGTCTTGCTCATACATGCATAGCGCTGTTACACACTCTCACCACTCCTTCGTTCAGGGTCTTGCTCATACATGCATAGCGCTGTTACACACTCTCACCACTCCTTCGTTCAGGGTCTTGCACATACATGCATAGCGCTGTTACACACTATCACCACTCCTTCGTTCAGGGTCTTGCTCACACATGCATAGCGCTGTTACACACTCTCACCACTCCTTCGTTCAGGGTCTTGCTCATACATCCATAGCGCTGTTACACACTCTCACCACTCCTTCGTTCAGGGTCTTGCTCATACATGCATAGCGCTGTTACACACTCTCACCACTCCTTCGTTCAGGGTCTTGCTCATACATGCATAGCGCTGTTACACACTCTCACCACTCCTTCGTTCAGGGTCTTGCTCATACATCCATAGCGCTGTTACACACTCTCACCACTCCTTCGTTCAGGGTCTTGCTCATACATCCATAGCGCTGTTACACACTCTCACCACTCCTTCGTTCAGGGTCTTGCTCATACATGCATAGCGCTGTTACACACTCTCACCACTCCTTCGTTCAGGGTCTTGCTCATACATCCATAGCGCTGTTACACACTCTCACCACTCCTTCGTTCAGGGTCTTGCTCATACATGCATAGCGCTGTTACACACTCTCACCACTCCTTCGTTCAGGGTCTTGCTCATACATGCATAGCGCTGTTACACACTCTCACCACTCCTTCGTTCAGGGTCTTGCTCATACATGCATAGCGCTGTTACACACTCTCACCACTCCTTCGTTCAGGGTCTTGCTCATACATGCATAGCGCTGTTACACACTCTCACCACTCCTTCGTTCAGGGTCTTGCTCATACATGCATAGCGCTGTCACACACTCTCACCACTCCTTCGTTCAGGGTCTTGCTCATACATCCATAGCGCTGTCACACACTCTCACCACTCCTTCGTTCAGGGTCTTGCTCATACATGCATAGCGCTGTCACACACTCTCACCACTCCTTCGTTCAGGGTCTTGCTCATACATGCATAGCGCTGTTACACACTCTCACCACTCCTTCGTTCAGGTTCTTGCTCATACATGCATAGCGCTGTTACACACTCTCACCACTCCTTCATTCAGGGTCTTGCTCATACATGCATAGCGCTGTTACACACTCTCACCACTCCTTCGTTCAGGGTCTTGCTCATACATGCATAGCGCTGTTACACACTCTCACCACTCCTTCATTCAGGGTCTTGCTCATACATGCATAGCGCTGTTACACACTCTCACCACTCCTTCGTTCAGGGTCTTGCTCATACATGCATAGCGCTGTTACACACTCTCACCACTCCTTCGTTCAGGGTCTTGCTCATACATGCATAGCGCTGTTACACACTATCACCACTCCTTCGTTCAGGGTCTTGCTCACACATGCATAGCGCTGTTACACACTCTCACCACTCCTTCGTTCAGGGTCTTGCTCATACATCCATAGCGCTGTTACACACTCTCACCACTCCTTCGTTCAGGGTCTTGCTCATACATGCATAGCGCTGTTACACACTCTCACCACTCCTTCGTTCAGGGTCTTGCTCATACATGCATAGCGCTGTTACACACTCTCACCACTCCTTCGTTCAGGGTCTTGCTCATACATCCATAGCGCTGTTACACACTCTCACCACTCCTTCGTTCAGGGTCTTGCTCATACATCCATAGCGCTGTTACACACTCTCACCACTCCTTCGTTCAGGGTCTTGCTCATACATGCATAGCGCTGTTACACACTCTCACCACTCCTTCGTTCAGGGTCTTGCTCATACATCCATAGCGCTGTTACACACTCTCACCACTCCTTCGTTCAGGGTCTTGCTCATACATGCATAGCGCTGTTACACACTCTCACCACTCCTTCGTTCAGGGTCTTGCTCATACATGCATAGCGCTGTTACACACTCTCACCACTCCTTCGTTCAGGGTCTTGCACATACATGCATAGCGCTGTTACACACTCTCACCACTCCTTCGTTCAGGGTCTTGCTCACACATGCATAGCGCTGTTACACACTCTCACCACTCCTTCGTTCAGGGTCTTGCTCATACATCCATAGCGCTGTTACACACTCTCACCACTCCTTCGTTCAGGGTCTTGCTCATACATGCATAGCGCTGTTACACACTCTCACCACTCCTTCGTTCAGGGTCTTGCTCATACATCCATAGCGCTGTTACACACTCTCACCACTCCTTCGTTCAGGGTCTTGCTCATACATGCATAGCGCTGTTACACACTCTCACCACTCCTTCGTTCAGGGTCTTGCTCATACATGCATAGCGCTGTTACACACTCTCACCACTCCTTCGTTCAGGGTCTTGCACATACATGCATAGCGCTGTTACACACTCTCACCACTCCTTCGTTCAGGGTCTTGCTCATACATCCATAGCGCTGTTACACACTCTCACCACTCCTTCGTTCAGGGTCTTGCTCATACATGCATAGCGCTGTTACACACTCTCACCACTCCTTCGTTCAGGGTCTTGCTCATACATGCATAGCGCTGTTACACACTCTCACCACTCCTTCGTTCAGGGTCTTGCTCATACATCCATAGCGCTGTTACACACTCTCACCACTCCTTCGTTCAGGGTCTTGCTCATACATCCATAGCGCTGTTACACACTCTCACCACTCCTTCGTTCAGGGTCTTGCTCATACATGCATAGCGCTGTTACACACTCTCACCACTCCTTCGTTCAGGGTCTTGCTCATACATCCATAGCGCTGTTACACACTCTCACCACTCCTTCGTTCAGGGTCTTGCTCACACATGCATAGCGCTGTTACACACTCTCACCACTCCTTCGTTCAGGGTCTTGCTCATACATGCATAGCGCTGTTACACACTCTCACCACTCCTTCGTTCAGGGTCTTGCTCATACATCCATAGCGCTGTTACACACTCTCACCACTCCTTCGTTCAGGGTCTTGCTCATACATCCATAGCGCTGTTACACACTCTCACCACTCCTTCGTTCAGGGTCTTGCTCATACATCCATAGCGCTGTCACACACTCTCACCACTCCTTCGTTCAGGGTCTTGCTCATACATGCATAGCGCTGTTACACATTCTCACCACTCCTTCGTTCAGGGTCTTGCTCATACATCCATAGCGCTGTTACACACTCTCACCACTCCTT